AGGATGCGAGTCCTTAAAGTGCTTACTAATGATTTTACGCACTCACAGATTGCAAAACACACAGTTAGTAATAATGCCACTAGAATGCTTGCGCCAGATGGCGCCACACAAATTTAAACTCTACAAGGGAAATTTCTGTTGCAAGTGCAGCAATAAAATATTTGCAATTTAATTAAACGAAATTAAACAATCCAGCCAGCATTTGTGCAAACATGTGTGGCAATTGTGCTTGCCTCGTAATCTAAATTTGTAAGTTGCCATCTCTTTGCCTGCCCTTCCCCCATTTCTCTGTCCGTCCGTCCGTCTCTCTCTTGGCCGGACAAGGGGAAGTTTTTCGGGCTTCTGGTCCTGTTTCCACTTTTGTGGCAAGTTTCTTGAATGTCTCACAGCCTGGAGGCGCCAGCAAGAAATAGTTTTCACGTTCTATTTCTTTTGCCCAGAATTCAAACAAAAGTACCGAGGGTCCGGGGAAGGAAGCAATAAATGTAAAGTAAAGTAAGAAAAGTTTTTACTCTGATTATGATGAGGGCGGCGGGGCGTGGCAGCAGCACTTCGCATTTGGTCAGCAAATCGATTCGATTCGGAATGTGAATGTGAATATGCAACAGAGCCACGCACAATCAAAACATGCTAGCCAGTGCAGAAATATTTGCATAAATATTTGCACACGCAACCACCGAACCGACCGGGCAAAGTCAATAAAAAGGATTTTCACATTGGCCAAAAGTTTTTAATGAATTTATTTTCCCTTGGCGGCATTAAAACAACGAACAATGAACACCTCCCACCTCCGAACAGCCGTAATTTACGACATCAACAAAATGTAATACACAAGTTAGACAATAAAAAGCATCGACATCTCCCATCGAAAGGCAAACAAACAAGGTGCACAGCAGGAAAAATGGAAAATGGAAAATCGGAAAGCCCAGGAACAATGAAGCTGCAAAGCTTCCAACAAGGGGGAAAAAATGCACTAATTGAAATATATTTCCCCCGTCAGGGACTTAATTTCAAAGAAAACTTGTAAGGTGAAAAGGTCAGTGCAATGAAAAGGTTTCCAAGTTCATTGGGGGCTTTAAAATGCATTCTAAAATGATCTATTCAAGAAGTTATGAAAAGAGCTTTTCGCTGGGAAAATTAGCAATGAAAGGATATTTATACCCGTTACTCGTAGAGTAAAAGGGTATACTAGATTCGTGCAAAAGTATGTAACAGCTAGAAGGAAGCGTTTCCGACCCCATAAAGTATATATATTCTTGATCAGGGTCACTAGCCGAGTCGATCTAGCCATGTCCGTCTGTCCGTCTGTCCGTCTGTCCGTCTGTCTGTCTGTCCGTCTGTCCGTCTGTATGAACGCTGAGATCTCAGAAACTACAAAAGCTAGAAGGTTGAGATTTCCCACACATATTCTTTGGCTTCCTACGCAGCGCAAGTTTATTTTAGCCAAGCGCCACGCCCCCTCTAACGCCCACAATCGCCCACTAACGTTTTTAAAATGGGTCCTGCGCCCACATCTTTAAAGATTTCCGAGAAGTATAAATGCAATTTTGTTGTGTATATTTATACCTATCGAAATGTAGAAGACATTTTTCAAATCGGACCATTCATTAAAAAGTTATACGCAATCAAAATTTCTATATCTATCTCCCTCCCACTCCCTTTAGCTGAGTTACGATTATTAGTCGGCACACCAACCCGACACAGCGTTCGCCCTCCCTTTAGCTGAGTGACGGGTATTAGATAGTCGGGACACCAACCCGACTATAGCGTTCTCTCTTGTTTTTTTAATTGTAAGCTACTCAATGGCAAAAACATAATAAAAATCATAATAAAAATGGGTACTCCAGATGGAGATTTGAAATACTAGAGGTATACATTATTACCATAATTGGAAGATTACATTTATCAATTAATAAACAATTAATTAATAAAATGTATGCTTACCAGAAAGTATGCAATTTAATTTATGAAATGTTATTAAGTAAACAACACATTTTATCTAGTTGTTTCTCTTTGTAAGAAGTACTCATCACATAACAAGTAATCCACAATTGACAGCCGTTTATAAAGCAATTTGAAAAGCAAAAAGAACAACCTCAAGCTCCATAAAACCATATGCACCTTGCAACACAATGGTAATCACGTTTTCAACTCCTTGCGTTCAGCAATTGACCCGATTGCCGGGGCATGCGGCATAATCGACAATCGTTGCCAGGAATTGATAATCTAAACACTCCAATTGAATTGCAATTGCAGCTACACACAAATAATTTGTCTCACTTAAATGGGGTAGATGGGGTATAAGCTTGTCGTATTCAATTAGGGGTAATTAGACCATTTTCCATTTTCCAATGGACAGCAAATGGAGGAGGTCTCCGCCTGCGTCAGTTTGTGTGCCACGTGAACAGAAATCCGAGTCCATATATGTATGGAATGGTATATCTATAGATTCGCACATTCACTAGATAGATACACCCACACGACAGCAGCAGCAGCAGCAATCTGCGAGGCACGCATAGAGAAATTCAATTTTAATGCGGCTATTACATAATTTGATCCCTGCCCTGCCAGACACTGAATGCATATTAATTAACGTTCAAAATCTGATTGTGTGCCAAACTGCAGCAGCAGCTGAAGGATCCCCGAATGGCAGGCAAGGCATATGCCATACAAAATCCAGAATTATCCTTAGGCATTGGGCTTTCAAAAGAGCCAACCAAGCATAAAACTTTCGCCTCAAATTACTCACACATTCGCCTCGAGGAAAAGCAATAAAAATTCATCAATTTTATATTGAAGAATAACATTTTTAAATCAGTCATGAGAGAAAAGCCAAAGCTTGAGTGATTTAAGTCTTTAAAATATAATTCTTAGAACAATCAAACGAAGAAAGGAAAAGATTTAGTCTTTAATGGCTAATTTCATAAGATTAAACATTTTAAATAGTTAAAAGATGACAGCAAAGGATTAAGTGTCTAGTAATAAAAGTCATACCCTATAAATTTGGAAATAATATTTTTGAGCAGTTAACAGATTACCGAATTATATGGCCTGTACGTTACTTATTGAAATTTAGTTATATAAGAGCTGAAATTTTATATACTTTTTATTTTCCCGTACTACATACCATATATCTTTTTTAAAGAATACTTCAGTTAAGCAATTAATTTGACATTTCAGCCGCATTTTCGCTCGTTGGCGTTGCATTCGGATTCAATTAATTTGTGATAAATAAATAAGCAAAAAGTAGCGCTAAAATGCCGATGTTCAGCGTAAATATTTAACATGAAATAATCCGGAATCCGAGAGTCCGTATGTGTCGAAAAACATTTGCACATCAACTGGACCAAATTGTTCTGTGCTGTTTCTGTTCTGTTCTACACGCACGTCAAGCTGGCATCACATTTAATTAATTTAATAACCGCTTTTAACAAGCATTAATATCGTTAATTTTTCTGACAGGGCCACTTTTCATTTGCATTTTGCATTTATGTATGAATTTCCCAACGAAATTTTAACGTGCCACATAGCGCGATGCATACTATATAAGATGTATGTCCATATGCATTCCCTTTGTGGTCTCAATTATGGGTCATCAATTGATTGATTCAGCACAATATTTACTTGAATGAACTCTACTGCCGAATTATTGTCAAGGGAAGTTTTGTTAAAAGCCTTTTTGTCCTTCCTGAATATTATTACTGTCTATATTGAGTTTTATTTAGCAAAGGATTGCATTTATTTGTTTCTTAAGGTTTACATTTTCTTAGTCAATATAATTGATTTGGCAATTATCCGAAATTAATTAGTCTAACAACTACACGCCATGTCTACCTTAACATCCTCATCCTTTCACCTCAAAATAGTATATATTAATTGTATTAATTTCAATTTAGCCTGATAAGCTTTCAATCGAATTAGATTTCATCAACTCCAGGCGATTGTCAGCCGTAATCCTGCAAAATATTCCTCATTGTCTGCTTAAGCAGTCAACAAACAAATCAAAGCTGTGATTGTTGGTAACTGCAAGTTGAAGTGGCTGCGATACAAGCCATCAAATTGGTTGCAATTGACAGTTACTTTTGCCTGATTGACGCCTTAAGTCTCACTTTTGCCATGCAATCCATTAACCCTTCTGGCACATCAATTACAACCGATTAATTTGTCTAATTGGCAGCCAGTTGTGTGGATCTCGGATCTTCGGGAATCCTATTCAGATGACAAACAAAGGGGATAACTAAATGCCGGGCCGCCATTTCCATGTTCTTTCCACATGTCATCGTCATCAACATCGCTGGATATGGTATGGTATATGGTATATGGTGAATGGCAGTGAGGAATACATATTTTGACGTACCCGTGTAAACGTCAAATGCCAGAAAGGACCAAGCAGCTCCGCCAAAACAAAGGAGCTGCTGGATGGATAGTGTCGGTGTGTGTCCCGTGTCCTGTGTCCCGTGTCAGGCAATCCACAATCCACATCCACCAGTCAAAGTCAAACCCCTGACAGGACCCGTTCCTGACAGCCGGCCTCCTCGAGTCCTCTATTCCCCCTATCCGCCCACACCTAAATCGCATTCCTTTCAATGCCGGCTCCAAGATTTCATCGCTATTGCCTTAATTAATACCGAGAACATGGAACCTGACAGTTCGCCGAATCTTGGCCAGCATTAGTTGACACAGGTGCCTGTCCTGAAAGGCATACAAAAGAATGGGAACAAAAAATAAACTAAAATAAACTATGCACTAAATCAACAAAATAGCCTGAAAGTGTATTAGTATTTAAAAAAGAAATATAAATATTTGTATATTTATTTTATTTGATATTTTTATTATGCTTTTTAATTTGACTGGTTTTTACGCGCTTTGTTTGCCACTTTCAGCTATTTTTATGTACTTTGTATACGCTAGCAAATCGGATGTTATTTTTGAAGTTTAAACATAAATATAATTTGAAGTAATTTTATTTAATTAAATAAAAATACATTTTAGATCTTAAGCCCAAAAAGTGTCCATCTTAGATTTACAATAAAATACAGTATTTCAATTTAAAGGTATAATTTTAAGGTTTCTTATTTCTTAGTTCACATTAATTAAATTAAACTTATTAAATCAATTTACCCAGCGCCTCTATAAAATCACTTGAGCAATCCTTCTGCCATTTCTGATTTATTTTAACCAGGTCATGAGCTTTTTGCAGGCCTTCCTCGAACTCGTTGAGGTCCTTTAACTGCTCCTTAAGTTGTTCCAGTTCCTCAGGACTTTGAAGATTTCCAGCCAAACTGACCAAGAGTCCTGTAAGCTCTTTCTTTTTGAATTTTTCACTAAGAAAAGGATTGTTATGGTAAATAATGAATATGATATATGTGTTTTGCTTACCCCAAAGTTTTTGCATTATTCAGGATATACTTCCCTGTCGGAGTAAACAAATGATCTCTGCTCAGGGCTGTTTTGACTGCCAACATACTGCAATCGCTTAGGATTTTTTCATCGGAATTTATGGTAAAGTTTAAAAACTGCTCGAAATTTTTGAAGTTACGGCAACAACCCAGAGCCGATGCCAATATCCTTTGCTGTGCTCCATTTGTAGAGTTCTGGAATTGGGCAAATATCTCCCGGAATTCCGCATCGCCACCTTCTTCCAGAAAAGAGCAATAGGCAAGCTGTTGGAAATTGGAGGGCAGCTCATCATTTTCCCCATTCCGATGGGATATAGTCAGTATCTTAGCCTGATCGGTGCAATCAGCTACGTGATAACGACAAGCCTGGGAGTACGCGAAATGAGCAAAGGGAATATCCTTGACAGGCGTATTTGATCCTGTTCTTCCTGCCAACTTAGGAAAGCGATTGTACAAGGGCAAAATAAGTTTTTGCATATAGATCTTAAAGGAAAAATTCAAATTAATAATTGAAACCATAACATAAAATAAGGCTCACCTTAAATTGCTTTGCATTCTCTTCATTCAATAAAGGTCTCAAGCTGTTCAAGATATTAACAGCTCTCTGCCAAGGCAAAAAGACCTTCTCTTTTTCCAGATATCTCAAAAGATCAAAGGCCATATCATATTTGTGTATTTGCACTGCAGCCAATGACAAAAGATCATCCAGCAATTGAGCTCGATTAAGTTTATGAATACCACCAAAGTTGGGATCATTCAATAGGCTTTCCGTTATCAAGCGCCAGTTCTTTTTGTCATAGTTAACCCTAAAAATGGTGCTAACTTGGGGATTTCAGAATGATCCATTCATTAGGGGATGGAACACCTGGTAAAAGCAGATCTTTTGTGGCCAAAGGGCACTCCAACCAAAACTTTGGGATAGTTTGCTCAAAGTCGGGCAGATTTTGTCTAACAAAACTTCAAAGGCACCCACCAGCAGGATGAATCGCTTATAATATCCTGCCCTTTAAAAAACCTAGTTTGTTTCAGGTTTACCCTGCCCGTTTCGTAATCCCGAATGAGGGTAACCAAGGGATAACCACCTTGCAAGGGTCCAAGAATCCATGGCTCTACTAAGATTAAAGTCAAAGGGAATAACCTCCTTTTGGAGGGCAGCCTCTTGAAGGGAATTCCAAAGATCCCTTTGAGCCACATTTCCCAGTTGGTATTTTCCCAAAAAAGATCGAATTCCCTGGAAAAAGGCTTCCTCACCGAGCACTTTGTGCAGCATGCGGATGGTCAAGGATCCCTTCTGGTAAACATAGTCAGTAAATTGTCCGAGAATCTCTGCTGGATCCTTAACATCCTTTGAAATGGCAGGCACAGTACCATTCGAATCCTTGGCAAAAAAGTTCGCCAAGTCCCTACTTATAAACCGTTCACCTCTAGTTCAATTCTGGTTGTAAAGGCATCCAAAGCCAAGTAGCCGAAATAGGTAGATGGACCCTCCTTTAGCCAGAGATCATTCCACCATTTCATGGTGACCAGATTTCCGAACCACTGATGGGCATATTCATGGGCCACAGTAAAGGATGTATCATCCTTTTGCTGCTGCAGATAAACGCCCTTGTTTTGTGGCAACTTCTCTTCGTTGTAGGTGACCAGACCCCAGTTTTCCATTGCCGTAAATCGGTGAGTGGGCACCGTAAGCTGATCGATTTTCACCAGGGGAAAGTCCATTTGAAAGAGATTCTCATAAAATGCAAGCAGCTTGGGAGCTATTTCCATGGAAATCATTTCCTGATCCAACAACTTTGGCTGCATCCAATTGCGGAAGGTCACTTTGATTGCTGGTCTTGCTCTCTGAGTTTTTAAGATCATGTACAGCATAGGCCACTAAATAGGTGGAGGTCTTCAAAAGCGATTGGTGATCGCACCATATATAGTTTTCCAGACTTTTACTAAAAGAAATAAATAACAAGTAGATAGGGACAGTAGGAATTATTTTCTAAGATAAATCGGATTCAATAATGCCCAGAACTCATATAGAACTTACTGCTTTTCGACAGCCTATAATAGGTGTACCACTAAGACCCGTGTACTTCTTGTCATATCCCAGTGATACATTAAAGGTGGATTTCCAGGAGGGTTCATCGAAACAGGGAAATGCCTGCCTGGCAAACGTAGGCGAGAATTGTGTGACTGCTAGGTGACTAAAAAAATATATTATAATCGTAAGTTATGAAAATTTAAACAATTAAACTTACTGAACTTCTTTGGTAACAGCATCTGTGTAGTTACTTTTGTAATAGCCACTCAAGGAATCATTTAAACTGGCTTCGAAATGCATTTCCAACTGGTAGATCTCACCCTTTTTTAATTCGCGAGATAAGTGCAGTGTATAGAAATTATACAACTCGTTTATTTCAATGCCAGTAACACGGTTTTTTTCAGCCTCTGAGCTAACTGACGTCCGATCTTCATGTATCTTCAAGTAAGCGGCGTGCAAAGTAATATTTTTGGTCGATTCCCTTGCTAAAATATCGATTTTTACAGAGCCTTCAAACATTTGATCTGTACTATTCAAATAGGTAAGAATTCGCAGGTTATAGTGCAGGGGTTCCACCGAATTGGGCAACCGATAATGATCGTAGACAGCCCATGTAGAAGGAATTCCAAGGATCAAGAAGATTCCGAAACATTTGTAGAACTGCGACATGCTGTAAAAGGAAAATGGGAGATTACTGACCAGAAAGGATTGGTTTTACAAGTTTTAAAATAAAATATTTATGATTTAACAATTAAATCCAGTAATAGATTATAAAAATAAAAACCTGAATTGAGAAATGTAAATGGATTATAATCTCAAATTAGGATTCCGAAGAAGAATTTTCTAATAAATAAAAGCAGCCTTTAACGATATTCCACTTTAGGGAGTTTAAAGTCTTCTGAAATTAGATATTATAAACTGAAATGAAATCCCAAACTTTAGTATTTCTTATTATATCGGTTTTTAGCTTTAGGTAGGCCTTGACTTCTCCATTAGTTTTCTTAGTTTTTTGGTTAATCTCTTTAGTTTGGAATATGTTTTTGAGGGTTTTTCGCGGTTCGGGCGCCTCCAAAATTGTGTGTTTAGCGCGGGGTGGTGGCGTCTGTTATCCAACCACCTCCCAATCGCTCCACCCCGCCGCACTGCAACAACCACTGCAACGCGGGGTGTGCCACATGTCGCGGAGGCGACTCCGTTGGAAGCTCAGCATGATGCAGTTGCTCAGTGGCCTGCGGCATCGTTACTGCCTGTGGCGCCTCCGTAGCCTCCTGGGAGTTTCCTTCGACGAGGGCGGCTTTCAGGAGGGCACTCGCCAGGCGGCGGCCACCATGATTGAGGCAGTGCGTCAGGCGGACTGGCCCTGCATCCGGAGTTGCTGCACGGAGCGCGGATCGGCGGATATATACGGATTGTCGCAGGTGCGCAGTTCCTACGCCAGTTTGGTGCGATTCCAGAGGGAGCACCTGCGTCATGCCCTTCCCGTGAGAGTGGTTCGTCGGTGGATCGATGGACGTTGCTATGTCCTGGTGGATATGCTATTTGTCGGCCTGCGCAATCTCCTGGATCTTGGAACGACGCAGGAGAAGGAGGAAATGATCCAGCGGATTCAGGGTGCCCTAACTGATTCGCAGATCGACGATCAGTTCGATCCGAACAACTGTCGACTGGCCATCGCCGAATTGGTGCTCACCTTCTGCAAAGAACTGGGTGAATCCTCCGGATTGGAGGATCCTCTGGATTCCGATTCAGATATTAAAAACGAGGAGCCGGAGAATGGCTGGCTAGTGGATTCGTACAAAGTGCACCGCTTCAAACTGATAAGCTTTAGTCCAAAAACTCTGAGCTTTCGGGTTATAGAATTTCTGAAACCGGTTTAGTAATGTCTACGCTTTTTAAGGTGTTTTTATTAAGGCACTCGAAGAAGCAATTGCAGTCACGTGCCGGTCGATGGTTCAACGATCTCTAAAACCGAATTTGCATTATTTACAACCGACTTTGCCAGCGATCACTCTCCGGCGATCATCGCGCGACTCGGGTCTGAAGTGAACTGATCGGTTTCGAGGGCAACCCGACTTATTTATGGCTCTACTTCGAGTGGTGTGTTTTGTAGTCAGCTATCACTGTGATTTTAGTAGCGATTTCTTCAGTATCTCATTAAATGTGTACTTTTTTAATTTGGGTTAGAGAATTATGGTTTAGGTTTTATTTTTCATTTTTAATTATACAAATTTAAAACAATGATAAACATATTATTTTGTCTTCAAAAAAAAACACATTAAAAGGTAACAAATCTAATTTATATATTTGGCAGTTCCTATGCATAGATTCATGTTGGTATTTTTTTTTAAATCAGTCCAAAAATTTTGCTTACTTAAAATTTTTATTTTCAAGAGCTTGCTACTGTTTTTTTTGTGAGTTCTAATGATTTATGATTGTGTACAAAGTTGTATTTTTCCAACTATTATTTGTTTTTTTTAGAAACTAAATTTAAAGATATAAGGATCGGTTTTTTTTTTTTTTTTTTTTACATTGTATTTTAAAAAAATAATTTTGTAGTACCTAAATATCGAAAAATTAATTAAAAAATTTACGTTTTTTAAAGAAGAATTTAAATTTAAAAAATTCTGTAGCCGGAATACACCGGTTTCCGAATATTTCAAGGGACCAATTTTTATTTGCAATACCTACTACTAAAGACATTACGATTTTTATTTTAGCAACTTTGCATCAGAGCAAAAACAGCGCAACGGTAAGAAGAGAATTGCAATTACGGACACGGGAGGCGCATAGTGCTCTTTCTTACGTTGCGCTGTTGTTGCATGATGCAAAGTTGCTAAACTAAAATCGTTGTCTTTACTAGTAGGTCTTGCAAATACAAAATTTTATTTTACCACTTCGTGAAGAATTGATGAAGCAATATGAGGATATTTTTTTATTCGGAAACCGCGTGATTTCCGGCATACAGAAGTTTTTTAAATTTTTTAAAAAATACATAATTTTAAAATTAAAAATTTTTTAAATTATTTTGCTCTGAAAGACATGAACATATCCCACAAAGTTGCATACCAAATATTGAAATAACTCAAACGAGTCTCAAGTGATGCATAATTGAAAAATCGGAGCTTAATTAGAAAATTAATTTTTTAAGTCCCAAAGTTAAAAAAAAAAATAAAAAACGATCCTTATATTTCAATCCTCTATCGAAAAAAAGTTTCGATTGATTCTGAGATTTGACCCAAATTGGCCTGTCACGTTTACGTGGAATGAGCCTTTTACGATTTTTTTATGATTAATTGTTGGTAAGAAAAATTAAATTTAAAAACACTAATATTAATTCAGCCAACTTTAAGTACTGTCGCCAGTACTGGCTACTAATTGCACTTTATCAATGTTTGCTTGGGATAATTAAAACCGGAGTTGAGAACAAAACAGACGCCTTTGAATTTAAGCCGGAGAGTAAGAATAATTTGTCAAGCTGCGAGCTCTTAACCCATGTACGCACATTTACACTCCAGATGCTGCTGGCTGAAAGAGTAAACTATTTGTGTCCGGAACCCAAGGATGTGGAATGGTGGGGGCTGAGGGGGTGAGGGGGTGCCATAGCGAGCAGAAGGAAAATCACGGCGTGTCGCTTTCGAATGGAACATAAAAAATTGAGGGCTTAATTAAAAAGCAAAAATGTGCTGCGATTTTCCGCTTTTTTAACGCCAACAGCAGCAACTTCGGCAGTCGTGGCCCGTCGTACCCGTATTTATATCCATACCCGTACTCTTACCGCCAAAAAAATAAGGAAAAAGAAAAACGGAACACATTTTCCAGGGCCAGGGACCAAAAACAAGGGAAGAGCAGCTCTACAAGAGCAAAAACTACTTGCTGGCGACTTTTTATGTGCCCCATGTTCCTTGGAAGCAACGAAAACCAAGTTCCATTTGAAATTTTCCGGGCCTCATGTGTCTTTTTATTTCGTCTCCTTTTCCCGTGGCCCCGTGTTGTGCGCCTTTCCTTCACTTACAAATTAAGCTTTCCCATTGCTTTTCTTTTTGTTTTTCATTTCGTTTTTGCAGGCCAAGACCATGACTTTTGTTGTTAATTAAAGTTCCGGCTAAAAACGTGAAACTCTCAAGTGCTCATTAAAATTGAAATGCGACTGCAGGAACAAAACCAAGACCAAATGTGTGCCAAATAATGATGTTCCAGCCGGAGCCAAATGGGATTGTAAAGTTCAGTTTTTTAGTTACATTGTCCAGGTGGAAAATTCGGAATGGTTTTGTCCAATTTTTGTGTGATTCACTGACTTAGAAGAAAAGCTTTGTTTAGCTTAAATTGTAAAATAAATAAATGGGTTATAAAACTATAAAAAATGGGGGAAACAAAATTTCATAACAAATTTTGAGACGAAACATTAATATACAATCGACTTAATAATTGCTATACAATTCGGATTATTCATTTTAATAGTGGTAAAACATTATTAAAATACATTCTTTCAGTAATTCATATTCAAGACAATTTATAGGTTTAGATGTCCTATTTAAGCTTTTGGATTTTTTAATTGGTTCAATCTATCATTTTTGCTTAGAAAAACACGCAACTGGCCCCACTATGCGCCGTCTTTTTAGTCATAAGATTTTCTTTTTTAAGAGAAGAACAACCGATTTTTCGGTTTTAACTGTGTTCTGGTTTTGGATGATCGAAAAAAAAGACGAACCGAAAAAGAAAAACAAAGAGAAACTAACTGTTCTGTTCAGATAAGAAAGATCGCAAAACTTTTAAAACTCTATCATAGAAACAGTTGCTTTAAAATATACCGTGTTCATTAACAAAAATTATTTAAATAAATAAATAAATAACAAAAACAATTAATGTCGTAAAACAAAAATACCTGCTGTTAAAAATCTGGCACTCTAGAAACAGTAGGAAAAATTCACAAATCATTTGTTGGCCAAGTCCAGTTACAGTTACAGTTGCAGTTGCAGTTCCCAGAGTCTATATAAACTAGCCGTACTCTCCGCCCAAAATCAGGGCAATTGCAGGGCTTTAAAGTGCTCCTTGGCAGGCCACATAAATAAATGTTTGCACATTTACTTTACAAGGCTTCCCCTCGTCTTTCAGTTTCTGTTCCTCTGGATTGCGGGTGTTGTGTTCGTTTCGTTCGCTTTGTTGCTCCCAGCACGTTCATAACTCAACTCCCTGCTCCAAGGATGCTCCGATTGTGCGAGGATGAGAACGAGGATGCGGATGTGGATGTGGAGGTGGCTCAGCCGGAGGTGTTGCCTCCCAGACGCTTTATTTACTTGCAATTCGAAGCCGAGGCTCCGGCTGGCAATCTCGATACTTTCGAACTCGGTTTACGCCCCGCATTGTTTCCTTCAGTTTCCGTTCCGCTGGCTATATGATTCTCCGGAGAGAGATTGCCATAACTTTGTATAGTGTAATGGCAATGCAATTGGATAAATTTGGCAGCACGATGAACTGCACCCATCACCGGGGATCGAGAGCCAGTTAGTGGGAGCTCAAATTGCAAGACAAAAAGCTCTGGAGCCCAAGTCAATTTGGCCAAGTCTCACAGGCGGTCAAAATATCGGAGTGATGCAGGACTAACTGAATCGAATCGCTGCAATCACGTCCCCAATGGGCATATTAGTGTTACTAGCTGACGAGGATGGATTAGGATGTGCTGGACGAGGGGGGCGGTAACTAACTGCAATCTAATTCTGTGTAGGTGGGAGGACATTTATCTGTATGGTTTCTTAGCAGGGTATCAGTCATTCAAAGGGGTAGTCACCTTGGTTAAATTTATAGAAAGGAGATAAAGAAATAAAATGGCTAATGAGATAAGTTAAATAAAGAAATCTTGATTTTAATGTAATTGCGATTTTTTAAACCTTTTTTAAGCAAAGATTAAACTTTTAAAAACATAAAATATCAAGAAATGAACTTTTAAACATTTTTTTCTGACCCAAAGACAAGCAAATAAAATACAGGGAATCCGAAATGTGAATCCAAAAATAAGAAAATGACGTTTAGGGTATTGGAAAGGTTCATCGACACCCGATTTACTGGCTTATAAAGCCATGGGGTTATAAGCTGAGCCGACAATGGCCCAAGTGCGACGAGGCACTGGCTCCATTTTCGGGGCAGTTAGCAGAATGTCACGTAGCAAATGCGACAGCGTGGTCAACATAATGAATGGGGCGGCCACCCGCTCCGCCCCTCGAACCACGCCTTCTGCTTCTTTGGGACCAAAAGAGTGCAGCATGATGCAGGTGCAGACTGCGAGTCCTTAGACCAGGAAAAGTGTTGACTTTTTGACTATTTTTCAGATAAATCCGGATATTTTCCAAATCTATTTTTATAGAGATTTTCAAAATATTAAATCTCCTGGTGAAGTATCCATCCTTGGCATTAATTAATCTTTGGACTTAAGTGAAAAATCAAATCAACAAATATACTTTAAAAATTCAAACCACCCATTTTTGCTTTTTTCATTAAAATAAGGTAAATCTAACTACAAAATTTTAAAAATTATTATAAGTTTATTAAGATTCTGAATTAGCATACTGAAATACCTTACTAAAAAATCATGTATTTTTACAAAATCTTTAAATTTAGAAATTGCTAAAATGTCTGAAATGATTGGTTCAGAATAATTCTTTATAATTTATTTAAAGCTACTTACAACAGCTATTTCTTAAGTTTGAGGGCACCTCTGGCCGGAGCTTCCAATCCGTGGTATCCATTCGTGTCTGGTGTCCACTGATTGCTCTGGCGGGCGATTGCAATAACCTTTGCCCATGTCGACCATGTCACGACATCTCCGCTCCATGGGAATGGGTATGGGTATGGTTTTTGGGGCTGGAGCCGAAAAAGGAACCCTCAGACGGTTGGCTGCGAAAAATGTGTCGATGCACGTGACATTTTCGGATGCAATTTGCAATTTGATTTTGTTCCCCGGGGTTTTCGGAGGATGGGGCAGTCGGCAGTCTGCAGGTTGCAGGTTGCAAGTTGCAGATTCAGTTTGTAGCCTAAGTTCAAGGATCAAATTGATTCCCCCGTTTGGCAGCAGCAGGTGTGAGATGTGAGCTGCGTCTTTGCATTGTTACACTTGACCAATTCGGATTGCAATTACACACCTGACTGTTTTCCCGCCCCCCGCCTTTTTGGGTGAACCTGACTTTAGGTCTGGAAAGGTGGAAAGTGGGTGGCTGGCTGTCTATAGTTCGCCAGATATCTTTGATACTCAGGTGTGAGTAGGAGTGGTGAGTGGTGGGCTGGCTGGCAATTGCCGAACAACGATTTTTGTGTTGGTTTTGGCTTGTTTTTCAATCTACTTTCTTTGTTGGCATCGCCTCCGCACCAGCACACCACTACTTAGTCTGTTTATTGTTTCTTCTGCGCGCTGTGCAATTTGTGGGGATTATTTGTGTGGGGTAAGTCGGAGAGTGCCATCGAGAAAGTGGAAGACAGACAATTAGGAGACAAGTGGATGGGACACTGGGCTTAATTGGAATCTTCTTTAGGGGCATGTCCTAATCACCAAATTATACTGGGCACCCTTAGTTCTTTCGTTTTTTTTTTTTTTTTTCATTTAAAAAGATTATGGAAAAATTAACAGCTGAAAAAAGAAGGATATTACTACGGGTAGTGTTTAAAAATGTAATTTAAACAATGGAAAATATATAAATGGGTTTTTATTTCAATCCTTTTTCTTATATTAGCAATTTAAGGCTTAGAATATTTTTAAGTTATACAATAAATTAAAGTTATTTAATAGTTATACACATTTCAGCCATTTTATTTTAATTTATATTTAGCAAGAATTCAATAGTAGGAATTTTGAAAAGCTTTTTATCTGAATCTTTATTTTATAAATATAGATAAACAATTAAAAATCGCTTTTGATGGTCTTACAAATATTTTTATTATTTATTTGATTTATTTTGAAACATAGTTAAGCTAATAAAATGTAGCAAGAACAAACGAATTTAATTAGCTATTTAAAGCAGCCACTTAACAACGAGAAATCTGAGTAGACAGCAAAGTTTACTAACATTTGCACTCAGACTCTGGAGTTAATAGCACCCTTGTGTTAACGGATGTGGATAGTCCTTTACCCCCTGACTACAAACTTCTCTTCCTTGGTTCGGCTTCTCAGGTCACTTGATTGACCTTCTGTGAGTGGCAAACGGTGTTGAATGTCAGTCAGCTGCAACACTCCGCCCAATTTCCTTCTCCATCCGGCCAATCCTTGGCCTTTCGATTAGTGGGCAACCTAATTGGGGCATCGAACCTGGCTCGGAGAATTCTGTCGGCTGGGTTACATTAGTGTTTCAATCACCGTACATTAGGCACACTGCTTTCTGTCTTCTACTCATTCAGCCGCAAGATGAAGAAAGCTGGGGATTTGTAAGAGTTAATCAGAAGGATTCGTAGTTCAATCGTTTTATACCCCTTCTTTCGATAGCCTCTCACTGCTGAACAACCGCGATCTTCTAAAAACCCCTTCCGGAAATCCCATTGTCAATTTCCTGGTGAAGCCAATGAGTGTGGAGATGACTACGGCGGATAAGCTTATCACAGGTGCCCGGCGCCAGCGGATGATGGAGCTCTTCGAACAGGATCGCGCCTGGGAAGCCGCCGAGTTGTCCCGATTTGGATTGAGTTGCATCAAGGCCCCGGATTGCTACCCCTGCTGCACTCCATTCGAATGCTCGAAAGCCAAGTTTTAGGATTTGCTTATATTTCGAATTCATGGAGCTATAAATTGTATCTTGCTTTTAAGTAAAATCTTTAAATATTTAAACGAAATAAATTTAATGACAACAGTATATTAGTTTCCTAAAAAATACTACTAATATTTGTTAGTTTCATTTAAAGATTTTATTATACTATTAATAATGTAATAACGAATAAATTTAATTATATTTTTAGCTCATTAAAATAAGTTTCACAATTTTGTGTCTTGAGGAAATATTTAATAATGGTAGCGCTTAGGATCAAATTTAAAGTATTTAATGACGAATAATAAAAGATCGCAAAAATAGAAAAGAAAATACATCTAGGAATTTTTTTTTTTAAAACCAAATATATTATATATTTCTAAAAATCAATTTTTTGAATTTATTTATTTTCTCCTCTTTAGTTCTAAGAGAACACCTATTTTCCCTGTTCCTGCGGTCATCTGTCGGCTGTGTAATAAATTGATTCGGTGGGCCTTGTCTGCGGCCATTAATCTATTTCCCGGGCAGAGAGGGCCACGCCCCCAGCTGGTTTTGTTGTTCATTGTTTAATGAATGGCAGGCAAATTTCGGCGCCTTTGTTTCGAGATAAAACCCTTTTGGGCGGATCGTGTTTTTTCGGTAGGATTTCTCTCCATTTATTCTTTTTTTCTCTTGCGGGGAACAAAACACAACTGATTATGGCGGCAGGCCTAAGCTCAATAAAAGCGCCACTTGCTCGGATTAATTGAAAGCCAAGGGAGAAAGGCAGGCTTTTTGCTCACTTCGGTTTGGTTTTGGTTTGGTTTCGCTTTTTTTTACTTTTGGAGGATTATCCTGCGACCGCTCCTCCATCATCATTTGTCATTGTCACCTAACGGAGTGTGATGGCCCGCTCCATTTTGCAATAGATGAGATAAGAGGCGGACCACCTCCTCTTCCGCAACCCGGTTTCGCTCAGTGCACTCGGCTGCACTTCCCGCCTGACTTTTGAGCGTGATTTTCTTTTCCGTGTGCATTCAGCGATGCGCTAATCAAATTATAAATCGTGCCCATTGGAAAGTCGTTCGATGCAGGGGTCGTTCGAGAGTCGACATTGTCATCATCAGCATGGGCAATCATAACTCGCACAAAGGGAAAGGCAGGCTGAGCTTTCTCCCACTTTGCCCTCTTTTCCGCCACTTTTCCGGCATTTTTTCCAGATCCCATTTGAGGTGCTGGTGGGGTCATAATGGATGTCGGGGCAGCTGCATTTGGGTCTAGGTCCATTTGCACTTTTCGCCCTTAGCTCGTTGTTTTTTTTTTAAATATTTATACCCTCTCTAAAGAGAATCTATAGCCTTTGGGACTTATGATAATTCTGTGTGTCTGTTTTTTTTTTAAATATTTATAATTTTTTAAACATGAAACAGGGTTTGGATAAATAGAAAATAAAAAAATTGAAATAAATTAAAAACAAAGATTTTTTAACATGTCAAAAATTAAAATATCATCGTAATTATATAACTGTATTTATTTATATATAATCTATCTGAAGATCACAATATGAATATTACATAAAATAAAATGGGAATCCATTTACTCTACAAATAAATAAAAAATACATTGAAAATTTTTTTTTTAATTTTTATTTTAGATGTCAAAGATTTTACTTTTAGATGGCAGGGTATCCTTTGTTTCCAGCACTCGAAAAATGCATTGCCCTTATGTTTTTCTTGTTTTTTTTTTCTTATATAAAGTTTTTTCACGTGTAATTGAGAAGGGCGCCGAGGAGGAGGATGAAGTGGGTGGTTCTGGGCTCAGGTGTTGGCCTGCAACATTTCACATGGGTCGCATTAAACAATGCCCATTTCTTTAATTAACAATTTGCATTTGCTGTGTTTCCCCGATTTTTTCCTGAGCCCTCTTTGTTGCTCTTAATTGCTGTTTACTTTGCTCGGCTGTTATTTTATGTTCACTTGCAATAATAGAGCTCCGTTTTCAGTAATTCCACTGGGGAATGGCAGGTATATTTGTATCATCGATGCAGGACTTTTCCCCCCTATGATCCCCTTTATAATCCCCAACTGATGGAATTTCCCTGCATTCCCCTGGCCTTTGTGTGGCATCTTTTTTGCTAATGACTCGAAATCCCATCCAATCATGCAAACTGCTTGGAACTTTGTTTGCGGCTCGACCTCCGGATTTTCCCCTCCGGCCGGAGATAGTAATTTATTTCTTAAAAAGTGAAATCCATTAACACAAATTCTTTGGCCCCACTATCTTTTCACGTCTCGCCCCCTTTTTTTCTATGTATATCTTTATGTCTTTCCCTGACCATTCACGTGGCTCTTATGTTCCGGTTTCCCAGATTTTCCAGCTTTTCCGCCTGCTGCTTGGCCAGAGAAAAATTGCAATCACCTTTGTGATTGTGTTCTGCCTTTCAGCTCTATCGCTCGGCATTCAACAGTTCTCGCTTTGTGCACTAAAAGTATTAAATTTCTTCAAATATTCTCTGTGTATTTTTGTATTTTTGTATGTATGTATGTATGGTTCATGCAACTCTCGACCATTTGTGGGGATTCCCCTTTTTGACTTTTCTCATCGCCCGGCAGTAAGTCACTTTTAAATGCTTTTTTGTGCGTTTACGGTATTATCGTGGTCCACAAATTATTTTTTAGAAACACAAGCTTGTTCTATTGGTAATCTCATGACTAAAATATATTTAACTCCAAGTAAAACATTAGTATTAGTAGCATAACCTGACCTAATATATAAGTATTTAATTAGACTTTTCCTTTATTTTACAGTTTTACAGTCAAGAATGGAAACTTTTTCATTTCATATAAATTAATAAAATTTAAGAATAAATTTGAAGAACTTTTTTCGAAAATCTAAATTAAAAAGATTAATTAGAAACAAAAAAAAAAAAAAAATGAAATGTTACAAACCCTTATACATACATAGATGTAAAAAATTTAAGAATTCAAAGAAGAAGATTTAATAAATTAATAAACAATTTAAATACATTTTTATAACAATATACAAATAAATTTTAATAAAAATAGTAATACCAAATTTAGCATTCAAAATACCGCACGAAGCTAAGAAGGCGTTAGGATCTCCTTTCTTTCAAATTGGCGGAATAAGACTTTTTGGCGTGGGTACAGAATTCATTTCTAAAGAATCTTTCAAAGTGATCGGGTCGTAAATACAGTTTCCCGCTCGCAACGGCGACAACCGAGGTTTATTTAATAGCCTACATAAATAAAAATTTCCAACATCTGAAACGAATTAAAGTGGGTAAGCCGATCCTCCAATAAATCTGCTGACTGTGCTACATATATTTAAGTGCCTTTTTCTTAGAAGGAGGCCATGAGGCTGCTGCTCTTTTGCTGCGCACTTGGCGTGCTAACTGCTCCGGGTTATGGAGGAGCCGTTAAGGAAACAGTGGACATTATCCGATTGATCCAGGACGTCACACACTCCATCCTCAAGACCTGGGATCTGATCAACAAGATGCCCGTGGCTGAGGTCACGGCGGGTGCTCTGATCTACGAGAATCAGCGCCAGATGATGAACAAAATCGAGGAGGTGAACGGGAATATCCGGAGTCTGGAGGAGCAGCAGGAGCGGAGCACTGTTCTGACCATTGAGACCCTCCTGAGGGAGACGCAGGCTCAATCTCAGGTGCTCTACCGACTCAACCAACTGAAGGATCTCACCAAGTCCATAGATCTGCGCTACGAACAGCTGCAGGGCTACGAGCAGGACAGGAATTCGCTGGAGCCCAGCACTCTCATCGCCTTTGCCAACTGGAACGTTAATCCCGGCTCCAATTCGCTTGCCTACTTGCTGCAACTGCACCATGATAGTCTGTATTTGGGCGACTCCATGGTCGAGGAGCAGGACTACAAGGACTCGCTGCTCTGGGAACTAACGGCCAGTGCCGACGCCTCTCCGGAGCAAATGTGCCTGGCCAGGCAGTCTGCCCAACAGTTTGCCTACCAGCTCTTCTCCAAGTCAGTTCTCAGCGAGCTGAAGGGCTACAGCATGATTGAATTCTCCTGGATGTTAATGCGCCAATCCGGTCGCGGAAACTACACCCAGGAGCTGCTGCTGATGCGCCGGAGCCACCAGAAGCGCATCGAGCAGGCTCAGCAAGTGCTCCTGGCGGTCATGACCCACAGCAGCCGGCTGTACTGGCGCTGCGATCCCGGGAAAGATGAGCATGTGGAGGGCAAAACCTATGATCGTGTCACACGCCTGCTGCAAGGCTTCGTGGAGAACGAGGTCAACCTGAATCCAGAACAGAGCTGCACGAGCGATTGCCCCAGTTACCGGGACACCCGCTCCAGTGGCTGCTATCAGCCGGAGGAGGAGTTCTGTGGCCAGCAGCCCGCCTGCAAGGGAAGGCTCTACAACTGCAACTCCATCGACACGGACATGTCGATCTGTCTAGCCTCCAATCGGTCTACAAGGCGCTATGAATACATCAACTTCGGAGACGATAAGTCCAACCAGGATTGCAAATCCAAGCTGCGGGAGCCCTCCTCCTGGTCGAGCTGGATCTTCTGGCGCTGCCACTACTGCTTTTGCCTGTGCGATGAACCGGGACCCAAGTCGGATCGCTACTTTAACCTTCGTGATGCGATTACCGACTTCAAGCAGAACAAAATTGTGACTGGCGTTAGGTTTGTGAAGAGCCAGCGCGTCTTCCACTTGCAGCTGCAGCAGGGTGAGCTTCTGCCCCGAGGAACCATCAACAATAGCTCTCTGGAATGGCTGCCCGTGGAGGATTACAACGTGAGCGATGTGGACATTCGCGATGGCTACGACTACCACACCTTGAGCATGGACAGCAGGGCCATCGATCTGGACGAGATTTCGGTTAATGCAACCGACCAAGTGGTCACCGGCGTCCGTTTCCGGATCTTTAAGAATCACCTGAACCTGGAGGTGCGTTTCTCTTTCTTCAATTTCACCACCGGTCGTCTGATCGAACCGCTGACCAAGAGCTATTGGCTGGGCAATGAAAAAAATCAGCGAAACAAATTTATTTTGAAGGAAAGTGATTTATCCACCGCCTCGGAGCTTCCATCGCTACCGCTTTCTAAGGACAACCAATACCTGGAGTTTGTTAGCTCCAGCCAGTGGAAGGATGCCGCTCAGAGCACTTTGCCTTTCGTAGATGTCCAGGAAGTGGTGCCACATCCGGCGGTTCCATTGGCCGGCTTGGGAATCTACTACAAGGGACGACCTGGTTACGGCGGCTTCCTTGCCCCCAAGGTGTTGACCTACGATTTAAGCAAAGGGCTGCTGGATCCACGCACCTAAGGACGTGGAAAATTTGACGAATTTCTTATATTTAACAATATGTTCCGAAAAAAGGGCGAAACAAATATTTTAATTTAAAGGAGGCATTCCTGGGAAACTATGTACTAAATATATCAAAAAGAAAAGCGTATGCCAAAAGAAGTGCCAACAAGAATGCTAAGAATACCCCCTTAAAATCGCTTTCATATTTCATTCACTTATAATGTCCTTTTAATTTGAATATTTTCTCCAATATACTATTATTTAAAAAATTTGAATAAAGAAAGTTCATCTTTTAAATCACTGTTTTTATCTACCAACTGTCCCAAAAAAAACTTTAAATCAGATATTAAAATTCTGAAAAAAAAGATTCCTAAAAATATTCTTCAACTATTTACATACTTAATCTTTTTTTGAAACACAATTCTAATTTGACGAATAATTTTAATATTTTAAATAAAATAATTTTTAGAAATAAACCTTTGCAAGATAAATGCAAATTTTATTTAAAAATACCGATTAAAGATTTTACAGAGAAATGAAAAAACATCTCCTTAAAACTTACCAATATGCTGTATCTCCTTCAATAAAAGGGCAACAAAACTAAATATTTCGGGATCAAAAGATTAGTACAAAAATGAATTAAGCAAACTTCAATAAAACTTCAGTCTATGACAGAGAAAAATATTATAAATTATGCTCTCGTCTTGTCAATAATACTTAATTTACTTATGAATGACTGGAGAATTGTGTCAAATACAGACACATGTAATTAATAAGGTAACCCAAACTACTTTTATCGCATTAAAACTACACCCTAATGTAACAAGGAATTCAAATAACCGCGCGCGCCACTTAAAAGTTCTGTTAACTCAGCCGGCGCAACTGTGAGAAATCCCTAGCGCGCGCCAAAAACCGCAGGCGGCTTGATCTCTGTGACATTGAAGTTGTGATTAAAAATAAAATAAAAAAGCTGTTAACCACATGTTATCTGGGTTATTGCGACAAGGCGTCCAAAATCTCGGCAGAGCACTATACCTCAGGGCACCCAAGCACACCAAGCACTACTCCCAGTCCCGCAACATGGACGACATTGCTCTGGACGCGGCCAAGAAGACGGCGGCCCGCACGGCCGTGGATCAGTGGATCACGGAGGACACGAAGATTCTGGGCATCGGGAGCGGCTCCACCGTCGTCTACGCCGTCCAGCGGATCGCGGAGCGCGTGTGGAAGGAGGGGGAGCTGACCGACCTCATCTGCGTGCCCTCGTCCTACCAGGCGCGCCACCTGATCCTCGACTACAACCTCAATCTGGGCGACCTGGACCGGAATCCCAACATAGACGTAGCCATCGACGGGGCCGACGAGGTGGACAGGCACATGGTGCTCATCAAGGGAGGCGGCGGCTGCCTGCTGCAGGAGAAGGTGGTGGCCTCCTGTGCCAAGCACTTCATCGTGGTGGCCGATTACACAAAGAACTCCATCCGTTTGGGCGAACAGTGGTGCCGCGGAGTGCCCATCGAGGTGGCCCCCATGGCCTATGTGCCCATCAAGCTGCACATCGAGGCTCTGTTCGGCGGAGAGGCCTCGCTGCGGATGGCCAAGGTCAAGGCCGGACCCATTGTCACGGATAATGGCAACTTCCTGCTGGACTGGAAGTTCATCGCCAACCGGGAGTACGACTGGGATGAGGTCAATCGGGCCATCACCATGATTCCGGGCGTCCTGGAGACGGGACTGTTCGTCAACATGACCCACAAGTGCTACTTTGGGATGGCGGATGGCACGGTCAAGGTCCAAAACAAGTAGAATACGGGGATTATAAATAAAGTTCAAAAATCAAACAGGTTTTCTTTAAAAAAAACGTTGAATGAGCCATAGTTACGTTCTGTTTTGCATTTATCTATTACTACTATGTTCCTTAATGCTGAAGTTTTTTCATAAATAAAGATTGAATTATATTTCTTAAATGTGTTTAATTAAAAGTTCAAAACTAAAAAGGGAAAAAACTCACAAAATAAAAATGGTTGCATATAGGGATTTATTCAGCATCTACGAAAAATAAAATAATTATAAATAAGTCGGTATTTATTCAAAATCATAAACATTCACACGAAAGTCTCTACAAGGTGAACCTATAAAAGTTAAATCACTATCATATCACCGACATATCATTATTAAGATCTTCTTTTTATGAATTAACAAGTCATTATTCATACTCTTTTTCTTTTCAGCCCAAAATAATCAATAATAATCTCCATTTCCAACAAGTCAATAGCGAATGTCATTGCATAAACGTAGTTTTCATACGCTTCTTGTATACTTTTGTCTCGATTTCGGCTACAAAAATAAATAAACATTAAATAAACTACGTCTAGAAGGCCTTCTTGGTCCGACCAGGCAGCAGAGTCTCTTTCAGATACTGGAACAGGGACAGCAGGCCCTGCTTTTTGTTCCGCGAGAAGTAATTGCTGACCACATCCGGACTTCGCCTGCTCTGATCGCTGACTGTGGTGGGCAGGACACTATCATTCGCACTGAGTGAGACGAACAGGGCGAAGGGCACGATCCACAGGCAGATGGTGAAGTAGGCCAACACCTGGAAATAAAAAATGTAATAAGTCTCAGCTCTAAAATAAAAAAATTATACAACTATGATTTTAAATTTTATGTAAGAAAATTAAATCGTTATTTTTATCAACTATTATGTTGATTATTTTTCAATTTTGAAAAATATATTGCAAAAATATTAAAAAGTAATTTAATAAAAGAATTAATAAAAAATTAAATTAGTCTAAGTCTTAAGTAAGCGAATGATCAACTTTTTTTTATCAAATATTATGTTGATTAGTTTCAATTTTGTAATGCAAATACGTTACGAATTATATATGCAAAATGCAAAATATATTGCAAAAATATTATAAAGTTATTTTAATAAAAAAAATTAATTAAAAATTAAAAATTACTAATAAGTTATTAGTGTTTGAATAAATCAAACAAAATGTATAAATAAATTAAAACCATTAGTTCACAAAATTTTTAAAAATTTGCTTTAAAACAAGTAAGAACAAGAACCAAAAATATTAATAGATCAAAAACCCACCTAATTAATGTAATATACATAACGAATGCGCTATCCATGACTAATGATTTATGCAATACATAAGTTTTGAATATTATCATATCCCAGTTCCTAACTCACCTGCGTGAAAGGCACATAGACGGTGGTGAAATGCTGGAAGGCCAGGAAGTGGTTGACGACCAGCAGGGCCAAAGATCCCAGGAGCGGAAGCGACAGGAGCCGCACGAAGGGAAATCCTCCCATGATGCCCAGGTGGAAGCCCTGGGCCACAAAACCACAGATTATCAGGCTCCACGGGAGGTCCTCGAAGAGCATGAGCAGGATGTAGACGAAGATCGTGAAGCTGATCAGGAAGAGGATGCACTTCCTCGCCGCCGTCGTGTACTCCTCCGCCAATTCCGCCAGGTAATAAAGTCCAGCCACTGGGAAAACAATTGCAGACGTTGCAGACAGTCGGAAAGTCGGGATAGCCACGCCTTACCTATGGACAATGTGAGGAATACGATCTGTATGCCCAGGGAAATCCAGCCCAGTATGTAGAGGAAGGCCATGATGCGTACTCAGAGCCAAACTTAAAGATATATACGCGGATATAGACGGCAAAAATCGGCCGACAAAAAACAAAACAATGGGAATAGTGTGTTGTATGGGTGGTGGCTAGAAATACCGCAGCCTTGTTTTGGTATATTAGGGCTACCAAGCGGTCACACTATTAGGTGCCTAAACTTTTAGCGCGTTTTTATTTCTATCTAAAAAAACCGGTTTAAAGGATATTTCTTATCCTTATCCATAACGTTTATAATTCAGGATAATATTTATGCCAAAAGTTCAAGTATAAAAAGACTAATTTTAGCGGTTGAGAAACCAAAACAAACCTTTTAGTGTGACCTTTATGGCCAGCCAAAACTGTCACATTTCCCTGGTATTTTCTACAATACAGGCATTCTCCCGCCAACTGCAAGCGGTCTTACAGAATTTGCAAAAATTTCGAGCGCGTGGTATTTTATGCCGCACTTTATTTCGCCACTGGAAGTAAGTTTCGGATTGTCTAGTTGCAGACCAAGTGAACGACCAGTACCAGAGCAAGTGCACCCAAGTCCCGGCGATCCATTTCGATGTCTGAGGGCAGTGGAAGCGAGAATGCGGCCGCAGCAGAGGCGTCGGCAGAGGCAGCGGCCGAGGCAGAGGCGGCGACCGAGGCCGCGCTGATGGCAGAGGCAGTGGCGGTGGCCTACCAGAGCGAGGATGAGGAGGCGGAGGTCGAGGTCGAGGAGGATCAGGAGGCGGCCGATAACCAGGACGAGGAGCCCGCCGAACAGCAGGATGGCGAGGGGGAAGCAGAGGCCGAGGAGGATGCCGACGCCATGAGTGTGGAAAACGCGGAAAACGAAAGCGACAGCGGTGGAAATCCGGAGGAGGCTGCTGCCGCCGACCGCCGCCAGGCCACCAAAAAGGAACTCACCCAGATCATCGACAAGTGGGAGCAGCAGCAGACCCAAAATGGCTACGATCCAGTGCCCACTTTGAGGAGGTTAAAGGAGCTTTCTCAAAATTCCATATATCATATTTAATAAATTCCCTTACTTTCACAGTCTGGCGGAGATCTTTGAGCGCGAGAAGGACGTTTACCGGCGCAAGGACCCAGATCCCTTGGACTCGCGACATCCCTACAGAGCCGATCCCAGCTGCCAGTACGGATTGCTGCTGAAGCTGCTCTTTCGCAAGGATACCTTTATGAGCAAAGTAAGAAATGGGATCTAAGGATCATAATTTACACCTTCTTTAAAATATTTCAGAGTTCGGAAATTGACACACATGTTAAACAGTTTGAGCAAAAGTTTTGACATGTGTGTCAAATACAAAAGTGTTAAAATCTGCAAAATAATTGTTAACACACAGCTCACTTGTTTTTTTACACAATGTGTTAACATGTTTTTTACACACTGTGTTTTTAACACAAATGAAAATTACATTTCACTGACATTAACGAGTCGAAAGGAAAATGAAAAACTAACTAGTGTAAATAACACAAATGACATGTGTGTGTTATTTACGTTTTTAACATATGTAGGATACAATTTTTTACACACAAGTCAATAAATGTTATTGAACTTAACACTTTGGCATTTAACATGTTAATAACACAAGTATTTTACAGTGTGTGTTATTTTCAGAACCCTGAAATATTTATAAAAGCTTAAATGAATACTGTTTTTCTTTATTAACCGCTTTCTTAAATCCATTATTTTATAGCTACTCAACGACTATCTGCGTGAGAACTACTTCAGTCGCCAGAGCGTTAGTCGCAGTTCTCTGGAACTGAACATCCTGGCCTGCCGCCTCATCCTGGAGATCATGCCGGGCATGGAGACCTCTGCCGTCTTCCAGACCGCCGAAGGTGACGGCACCATCAACCGCATCTACACCTGGGCAGAGGACAGCATTGAACCGCTGCAGAGCTATGCCACTGGACTTTTGGCGGAAGCCATGGAAGTCAGCGACATTGCCATCAACTTCCGGGATCAGAACATCCGCCTGGTGCCCAAGATGATCAAGCGCCTGCACATGCTGCTGGCCATCAGCAAGAGTCCGGATGCGAATACCTCGCTAAACAACCAATCGGCGGACAGCAGTGCGGCGGGAATGCTCAGCTGGGTGGCCTGCGCCAGCAATGCCTCTGCACCGCAGTCGCCGCAGCACAATGGCAGCGGAATGGGAGCCAGTTCCTCGCAGCATGGCGACGCCTCCAATATGTCCATACTCTTCGAGAACAGCCAGGGATGCCTTTCCCGTGTCCCGCTATTACAAACGGATGTACATCCCATTGCATCCGCCCACGGCGGACACCAGCCAAATGCTAATCATGCGCTTCCTAACCAGCCTCGGCGAATATCAGGAGTTCCTGGCCATGGCCTTTGAAAACAATGTGATGCAGCTGATCTTCGGCTACCTGGAGAACTTGGATCGCAGAGACACCTGCTTGGCCTACGAGGTTCTCAAGTATCTGGCTTCGCTTCTCTGCCACAAGAAGTTTGCCTTGGAGTTTATTTCCCACGGCGGACTGGAGGTTAGTTAAATTTGATTTACTAAAAGGAATAATATTAAAATTATTTTTATATTTTTTGTAGTTACTTTTAAAAGTACCACGCCCCAGTTTGGCCACCACAGGCGTTTCCATCGCCATCTACTACCTCGCCTACTGCGAGGACGCCATGGAGCGCATCTGCAGTATGCAACGTTCACTCATTTCGGAGCTGGTGCGCTACGCCCTTTGGATCCTGGGTCGCTGCCATGACTCCTCCAAGTGCCATGCCACCATGTTCTTCAGTCTGAGCTTCCAGTTTAAGGTTATTCTAGAGGAGTTCGATGCCCAGGATGGACTGAGAAAGCTCTACAATGTGGTGAGTAAACTGGGAATATAATAGAGCCCTGCATGAAACATTCAATTTTTGTTTTATCATAGTATGCCAGGAAATTTCTGATTTGTTTAATTCAATTCTATGTGAAATAAATTGAATGTTTTTCAAATTAAAGTATCTATGAATATATTTGTTCTTTCTTTTGAGAACAAAAAGTGGAACATTTTTAACAAATCAACGTTAACTGAACAGTAAATAAAATTCAGGCATTTATTCAATTCTATTAAAGTAAAAATTCAAACTTATTCGATCCTATTAAACTCAAAATTTCTAATTAATTCATTTATATAAAAAATTCCAAATAATTCATTGAATCCATTCATGCAGGGCACTAGAATATATCTACTAAAGTAAATGGTAAACTAACACCTTAACTTTATAGATCTCCGTTCTGAAGATCCTTGATCCGAGTCACAATGACAGCGACAACGACTCTGATATCAACGAAGATGTGGAATGTGCTTCCCGGCAAATGGTGCGCCATGTGTGCGTAGCTTTAAAGCGCTATATGGAGGCGCACTTTTTCTACAAGTACAACAGCTTCCTGTGCCAGCACAACGCGGCCTCCTCGTCGCCTTCGTCCAACCACTACTTCAACCAGAATCCCACAGTGGCGGCCAAGCTGAATTTCGACCAGCTGCACGACCAGATTCGCACGCTCCAAGAGCACACCTCAATTCGGGCTCACTGGCAGCCGGTGGATCAGCTGATGAAGCTCGGCGGCATCACCATGCTGCTCAGGATCATCGCCTTTAGCTACGATTGGGTGAACAGCGGACGCTCGGAGACGGTGCGTTCGGCCTTGGATGTCTTGAGCGTTTGCTGCATCATTCCACGCGTCTACGTGGTTCTCTGCGAACGTCTGCTGATGCTGGACAAAACTACAACCTCGGGATTCTGCTCTGTTCTGGGCGCTGCTGCAGGAGAGATCACCTCGGATGCGGAGGTTATTAAGTCTGCTTTAGCGGTGCTCTGTCACTGTGTCTGCTCGCCCATCATTCGCAAGGATAGCGGCAGTAGTCTGATTAAGTTTGGAAACTCTTCGCGGAAGAACAAGGCTAATCACAAGTACGCCGAGGAGCTGATTGAGCGAGTTTGGGAGTGTGTGTGCTCCAACAATGGCATCGTAGTGCTGCTATCGCTGATGCAGACCAAGGGACCGATTACGGATGCGGACTGCATCCGAGGAATGGCCTGCCGAGCACTGGCGGGTCTAGCTCGCTCTGATAGAGTGAGGCAAATTGTCAGCAAGCTTCCTTTGTTCGCTGGCGGACAGCTGCAGACACTGATGCGCGATCCCATACTCCAGGAGAAGCGGGCCGAGCATGTGATCTTCCAGAAATACGCGCTGGAGCTGCTCGAAAGGGTTTCGGGCAAGACGAAGCCGCTCAACAATCCGCTGGATCCGTCGCTCTCCAATATGCACAAAGCCAATGTGATTGCCCAGACGCGCATCCAGTACAACAAGCAGCAGCTGTATCAGCTTATATTCGAGCACCTGGAGAGCAATGGTCTTTCGCAGACGGCACAAATGCTGCAGCGTGAGGTGGGTCTTCCACTGCAGACGCCGACCACGCGCAGCTTTCATCAGTCGCCGTTTGACTACAAATCGCTGCCCAGTGGCAGTGGTTCGCTGTCGAGGAATCGCCTGCGAAGCCGCATGCAAGATGTGAATGCAGCGATCATGGGGAGCACAGATTTGAACCGGAGCTTTGGCGAGGATTCATCGATGGCTGCGGGAGCAGGAAGCAGCAATGCGGGCGACGGAGGAGTCAGCATACCGAACTTTGGCTGCCTCAACACCACGCAGACGCCCATTAAGATCAGGAGGACAGATAGGAACTCGGTGAGCCGCTCGATTCAGAAGCAATCGCTGGAGCCTGGCGGCATGTCGGTGGGTTTGCCGGATGACGGGCAGCTGCATCCCAAGAGAATCACCCTGAATACCATCGTCACGGAATATCTCACCAATCAGCACTCGCTGTGCAACAATCCGGTGACCACCTGCCCGCAGTTCGATCTGTATGAGCCGCACAAGTGTCCGGATCCCAAGCCCAGTCGTCTGTTGAGCTCCAATTATAACCTGACCAGCCGGCATGCTCGCACTCAAGCAGGATTCAATACAGGGCGCTTTGATCGTCGCTATGTGCACACGCACTTTTCGCCATGGCGCAGCATTCGATCGGCCGACTACGAGGATTTGGAGTTCACCTGCTGCGATCTGGTGGGCAAGTACATCATCGTGGGCACGCAGCAGGGCGACGGACGAGTGTTCAACATGAACGACGGCGTGGAGCAGTTCTTCTCCAATTGCCACAACTTTAGCGTGGATGCTATTAAGGCGAACAGAGCTGGAGATCTGGTCATCACATCGAGCTTCTGGCGCACGCCAACCAGCATTCTGTGGTCCATCGCCGACGATGAGTTCAAGTTGAAGCTGCGTCTGCCTGATGTCACCTACTGTGAGTTTAGCCAGACGGCGCAGGATCGCCTCCTGGGCACCCAAAATGAGGTAAATGGTTTGTTTTTAAATTTGTTATTCTTCTTATTAATCGCTTTGCTTTTGTTTTCAAGTGCTGCACGCTCTTTGACATCAATACTGGCTCCAAGGTGGCCTCTTTCACGCCAACCATACCCAATCTGTACACCAAAAACCGAGCGACTCTCTGTCGAACCGATGAATTGATTTTGTCTGGTACGGAATATATTATTAATTAATTGGTAAACGATTTTCTAATGTAATTAAATGATCTTTAGATGGCGTGCTGTGGGATGTGCGTTCCGGCAAGGAAATCCACAAGTTTGAGAAGTTCAATCAATGCATATCAGGCGTCTTTCATCCAAATTGCCTGGAGGTAAGATCTAACTTTATCTCAGGGACCGAAAATAACAGTTATTTTATTATTTTTAATCGAAAAAGTGTTTTCTATGACTTTGAAAAACAAAAAATTTGAAAAAAAAAAAATCATAAAGCCAATTTAATGGCTTTATTCGCTTTATTCATATTCGCAATGACCTAAAGATTTGTACCTTTTTTAAATTACTTAGACTTCAGACTTTTAAAATAAAAGTCAGAGAATAACAGTTATTTTATTCCGCGACTTTTATAATAAAAGGCTAAAAATAACAAACTATGCGTCTGAAACACAAAAAGTCCAAAATATATATTGCCAATGACGTCACAAAATCTCATCTGTTGAAACTCGGTAGGAATTTGTATTTATGTTCTTATGGTGGCAATTTGTATTTATTTTAAAAGTCTGAAATACCGTTACTTCATGACTTAAAAATAAATAGTGGTGAATAACGATTAATTAATCACTTTTAAAGTAAAACTTATAACTATTACGGTCCCTGCTTTATCTACAAGTTCCCCATACTAATAATCTCTACTCCCTTACAAGATCATCGCCAACACCGAGGTGTGGGATCTGCGCACCTTCCACTTGCTGCAGACGGTGCCCGTGCTGGATCAGCGCAACTGCACCTTCTCGCCGATGCATGTGATCTACGGGGCCAGTTTGGGGGCGGACAGGGACCACGACATGGAGACGACCACCTACGACACCAGCTTTAATGTGCTGGACGCGTACGACTACTCGAGCATTGCGACCATCGACGTGAAGCGCAACATCAACGATCTAAGCGTCAGCGCCAACGGGAGCCTGATCGCAGTGGTCGAGGACTACAGCGGCTACGAGTCGAAGCAGGAGACCTACGTGAAGATCTACGCGGTGGGCGTGAAGAAGAGCGAGCGGTCGGAAGAGGTGCGTGCGGTTAAGGAGCTGGCCAGCGAGGTGGTGTCGTCGGACGCAGTTGCGCCGGCGCCGCCGAATGCCAACGATAATGGCGGTGCTTCGCTGCTGCGCGTCTTTGAGGAGGCACCACCGGTGCGCCCGCAGCCGGCGGAGAACGCGGCGGGCGCCAATGAATTCGACGAGGAGCAGCTCCGCCGGCTAAGTCCCGCATTGCACGCAAGTCCGAATCTTTCTCGCCAACATGCACCCAACAGCTCAATTGTTGGGGTGCGACGGCGGGCACGTACACTGGGTGGCAATGGCAGTAGCGGCGGCGGGAATGGGAATCTGAATCTAAATGGCGGCGGCGGAGTCGGAATCGGCGCTGCTATAGATCTGAGAACCCTCATGCGGCGGATGGATGATATTGAACTAAATATTATGTCTATGCTTGCAGGAAGATGATGAGGAGGTGCCCGAATCTGATGAGGACGGTTCGGAAACGGGCTCCGAGAACAGTAAGTTGGATTTGATCGGTTACCCTGCGTTTCCCTAAATATCCTCACCCGCGTAGCTTTTGCTCTAGGTCCGAATTTCATGGGATTCCCGCTGCTGCGCAACCTGGGACTCGGCTCGGATAACGACGACGACGACGGCGACCTGGATGATGACGGCGATGATGGAGACCTGATGGACTCCGATGACGACATGGACGACGACGACGGTTCCGACAATGGCGATGACGAAGGCGACTTTGAAGACGTGCTCGAATACTTCGAGAGGAGCAGCTCAGACGGTAACTCTCGATCATTAGACTCTGTTCGTGTACGACTTGTATTTTCTCCTGCCCTAGATTGAGCCCTCCTCCACCACCGATCCACCTCCACCACCACCGATCCACACTGCTCCATTGTTGTCCCCCTGTTTCACGTCTCGTCTCGTTCGATCCTCTCTGTTGTCCTTCAGCGTGCATCATCGAGGGATGAGATATCAGCAAACGTCGATAGTTTTAGTCATTTAGTTTTTAGGCTGTTACCATTTACACCTTTATATTGTTATTTTTGAATTTTGTACAAACAAACAACACATACGAATGCCGCAGGATTGCATTGTAGCCAGCAAGAGATAATTATTGGGATCGCATGATGAGTACCGACTGTGAGAATCAAATCTGTAAATTGTCCAACAATTTCCATTGTACAAACCTAAATAAGAATTGTATACTTTTGCTATAAAAACAAAATAAACGATTGTGTTAGAATCAAATGTTTATCGTACGCTGTGTAACCATCTAGGTAATCCTAGAAACAATTGAACATGTATAATTTTAAGCCCCAATTCTGTAATCCCTTATATTTTGCAGACTTTTCATGCGCCAATCTAAGTGATCAGAACCGTATACTAAGTAATTAGAAAAGAATTAAATATTTCGTTTCAGAAATTTGAAAATTATATTCACCTTTGTTTTTGCTATAAACTAAAAACTGTGTATAGAGATGTAATCTTTGATAAAATTTAATATTTTTGGTTATTTTTCTTTAGGAATTTAACTTGAAATATACAACTATAAACTAACTGAAAACAAAGAGCATTATTAGATATACTTATTTCCACAAAGATCTACAAATATTGGTTGAAATACTATGGATCAGAATTCAAGAAGAAATTTAAATGTTTTTCTATGATATATATCTAAACTACTATAAAATTGGACCTCTCAAAAACGGTCAGTAGCAAATTTCACCCAGAACGGATTGACATAAAAATCTAAAAAAATCACATTAATTACTAAAATAATATTTTATTGAAGTTGACTGCACAATATCGATCCACCCTACTGCCACTCAAAGCATAAACTAACCGGTGTTACACATACGGTCTATTTGGAGTTCGAGTCGAATGCTAGCCGTTGTCGTTGCCCGATTATCTTATCGCCGCGTGTGGACTCCAAGTTGGGGAAACGAACACACTCCCTGTCCCCCAATTCTTACTCACTAACTGGCATTGCGGTGACGTTAATACGGATCGGCTCTCGCCGAAAATCGAAGTAAATCTCGGACGAATCCTTCATCGGTAGATAAATATGGTGATATTCGGGTGTTCGTTAAGCGACTGCTTGGCGGTCAAGTTAAATGCGTTCGATTATGCCGACCGTCGCTCAGTTGTCATTTTAAAATTGCAAATTTAGTTACGACTTGTCTACCGAAGTGTGCTCATCGACGACTCCGGCGCATTTGAAGCCAAGAACTGCGACCACTGGAACTACGGAAATGTTTAAATTGCTTATCATCGGATGTCTGACCTTCCTGGTGTCGCTGGTTGGTGCTTTCGAGGAGCACCCCCATTTCTGCATCGAAACGGAGCCGCTCCTCCTGTCCGAGATCGATCGCCATGTGGTTATGCCTAGCGAGAAGGATCTGCAGTGCCACATTAAGGCCACCACGTTGACCCAAAAGGAGAAGGTGAATCATTAGAAATGGGGAATAACAACAGATAAGCTATTTAAATATTTCTTAAAATCAGAAAAATAACGGAAATCATATTCTGTTCAGTGTTAAAATGATCTAAAAGTACCAGTTCCACAAAAATAAATATAAAATAAAATCTAATTTAAATATGGTAATGTGGTAATTGCACTAGATGTATATAAAAAGTAAATTTCTTGATTTTACAATTTACTTGCCTGTTTATTTGCATTAAAGGTTTACCTTTCAGAGGTAACTTTACATATTTATTTTAAATTCTTTACTGTGCTGTTTTTAAACTGTCATTGGAATAGGTGTTAATAATTGTAGCCGTTTTCCTGTCCGCTTTTTATTATTTTAATAGGATATTTCTTGATTTTAAACTCTAATTTCCCATACGATTTCGAGGTTTTAACCTTACTTTAAATTTAACAAATGGACGAGAAAAAGTCCCTCGATTTGTTTTAAAGTGTTAGCTTTCTAAAAAATCGAGCTTTCTATTCTTATTGATATTATTCTCAAAAATTCTATTTATAAAATACATTTAAAAAATCCTCTAAAATCAAATAACTTAGTTTTAGATTAGTTGACCAAAAGTGAATTACATTTATCCGAATTCGTACCGAATGACCTCCCAGCATGAATGAAAATTCGCAGCCTTAAATGGCGAATTGTGTTTCGTGCAAACAAGTTTCCCTCATCGACATCCTTAAGTGACGAATCCAATGCCAGCCATAAATTATTCGTGTGCCAGCCACCTTCGAGTGGCTGATATTCCAAATTGAATTAGCTTGACGATAAAGAGACAAAGTGTCCATCGCAGCTGGGGGAAGATAATGCGGGCGGAGCTGAGATAAGCCTCTACTGGTGCTGGTTTCCCGTCCAAACGTTTATCTCTCAAACTTTACAGGCGGCTCTCGTGGACACCCTGTGCGCGGATCACGGCTCCACGACGATCAAGCGGGACAATCATCACTTCCTGCGGCTGCACAATGGGGAGTTGAATGGACGCGGTGTCCAGTCGGAGGTGTGTGCCAATGGAGCGGATTCTGTCTTGGCCTGGGTGCCCTACCACATGGTGCTCAAGAACTATGCGGCCGAATTGAATCCCAAGGAGCGGCTGACCTACATTGCCAAGGCCACCAATGTGGAGCGCGAGAAGACGGAGCTGTGCCACTTTCGGCACACGGATCTGGTCAATGCGGTGTCCGATAATCTCTTCACCTGCGTGGTCATGATCTTTGGCGATAACTTTGTGAGTTTCTTGAGGAGATTTACCCCTTAGATAGCCTAAAAATGCATAAATCATTACAGTATGGACTGGAGGACAACATCAATGTGCTGGTGGAGCTGCAACCGCTGATGTATCAGCTGAGGAACATCACCTACCTGCCTTGGAGGAATGTTTCCAACAGCTACAAGATGCATTTGGGCGACAGCGTGCTCCGGAATCCCAGTGGCGAACGGAAGCCCATCTACGGCAGCTTGAATTACGAGTTTGTGGAGAAGATCCTGGTGAACATGACCAGTGTCTACCAGGATAAAAAGCTGGCCAAGCTGCCGCTGCTCCTCGAGCATCGTTCTTCTGTTTTAGAACTAAATTCGGATGGAGTGGGCGGCATGGAGGTGGCGGAGAAGGCCTATTTCGGACGCAGCATGGATCCCAGGAGCGAGGTGAAGGTCCAGGTGATTGGCCAGTGGGTGGACCAGCATAGGGAGTTTGGAGCCGACATCTACGAGTATTATGGACATGGTTTAAGGCGCTATTCCCAACCGATGACCGGCGGAAGGCTCACCTTTGTGCGGATCGACAATACGGAGCCGGTTTTCATGGCCCCGGAATCGAGTAATCTGGCCAAGGCCTCGCTTTTCCACGAGCAGAAGGCCGGCAAGCTAAAGGAGGATCCATCGGGCAACTTCACCGAGTGGGAAAACGTCCAGGAGGATGAGGAGCCGGGTTTCTATTGCTGGTTTGTTGTGACCTCCCTTTTCTTGGCCCTCCTCGTTATCCTGGGCATTTACCTAGTGGTTCGCACCCAGAGCAGAAGGACCAAGCAGCGCCATGTGTACGAAGTGGCCAACACGAATGTTTCTCCAACAGCCTAAAAAGAAATTTAAACTTTAGATTTAAGTTTTGTAAATCCGAAAAACGCACTAGGATCAACAGGTGTTCTTACTCCGAAATGTCAGTTTAATTAAACGAGTTGGCAGCACTAGTGCCAAATCCTTGAATTTACTTTATGTTTCTATTTATCTGGAATATTCGGTTGTAAAATGTTTGTTTTTAAGCAGAAAAATTATTGAAGTGAGTTTAATTTTAAGTAAAGTGAAATCAAATGGAAAAATTATAAGAATTCAACTACAAGATTTGTCAAGGAACAGATAATAAAGGCCAATGGATTAGCACAAAAAAAAGGTAGGGTTTAATAAGAATTTTAAATTATAAATACATTATTTAGGTTTAATTAGCTTAGTTATAAAAAATAAACAAACCGATTTTGCAACCGGCGCGCATTAGGCAATTTCACCGCCACCGAGTTGGCAGCGCCGTCCGCAACACGCCTATCATCTCACTCACACACAGAGAAAGACAGAGGCAGAAGTTCAGCGGAGAAATTCATTCATCTCCATCTCAACGAAAGAACCCTATTGATAACGTCTAGTGATTTCATTCGATCCACCGATCCGGGGTCCCGAAAGACCCACTGGTGTGCGTTTGTTTTGATTTTGAATTGAGAGCCCCCGGAAACGCGGGTGTTTCGGCCCCAGAACCACAAATATGTGAGTTTCGAAAGGGTTTTCGTGTGACGCGGCCATATTTGAAGAGTTTTGTGTGTTGGATGTGGGGCGAGCGGCGAGAATTACATAAATACAGCGCAGGTGAGCTGGAATCCTGGTCAAAAATCCCGGTTGAAAGGTGCACGCATTGCAGGTGCAAGTGAATCGAAAACATTTGCCCAATTCAAGTCGTGGATTATGTATTTGTTTCGTTTTTTGGGCCTGAAAATATGATTTTTCGCTCACACCAACACCAAGATGCTAAATTGTGTATAACACTATAGCTGTCTCTGTCTGGCGCAGGGCGCTACCAGATGTCTGGAATGGCCCCTGTTAGCAGCAGCAGCGCCTTAACAGGGCCGTTAATAACAGATGTTGTCTGCGATTTAATTGGTGAATTTTTGGCGGGCAAATCTCAGTGGTGCACCTTTCGGGGATTTCCCTGCAAATCAATGGGCTAATCACCTTGTAAACCTTTTCAGCCACCCCCTAGTAGGACACACAGTAATGGATCGCAAGAAGGTCCTGGAGCTGGACAAGATCTGCCGCCTGTGCATCTCGGAGCGCAAGGAGATGCGCCCGCTGTTCAGCGAAAAGGTGCCAGAAATGCTGATGGACTGCACCAGCGTGCGGGTGGAGCCCACGGAGGGCTGGCCGGACAAGATCTGCGTGCAGTGCGTCCACGCGGTGAGCCGGAATCACGCCTTCAAGACGCTCGTCGAGCGCAGCGACAAGGAGCTGCGCGAATACATTCGCGGCCTCACCGTCGCCTTGGTCATGGAGGAGCAGCAGCAGCAGGCGGCGGCGAGTGCCAAGCAGCAGCTGCAGCTGGAGCGCAAGCAGCAGCGGATGCTGCAGAAGCAGCAGAAGATCATCGACGAGCAGGTGCAGATGGCCTTCCAGCAGCAACAGACTCCGAGCAAACCCAAGCTGAAGCCGCTGCTGAGGAAGGGCTCCTCCCGCCAGCAGAAGCAGCGGCATCTGGAGGCTGCTCCTGCTCCTGCTCCCGCTCCTGCACAGCCCGCCCCCCAGCCACAGATGCAATTGCTGCAGGAACCTGCTCCGTTGCAGCAGCAGATCCAGCAGATTCAGCTGCCCACCCTGCAGCCTGCTCCCGCCCAGCTACTGTCCACTGCCGGCGCCACCACATCGATACCGCAGCAGATCCTGCTGCCCAACGGCCAGCTCATCACGACGGCCCAGATTGTGGCGCCCCAGATGGCGCAGATCATCAGCACAACGGCGCAGGGAACGGTTAATGGCCAGGCCACCGCTCAGCAATCGCAATTCCTGCCGCAACTCCTGCAGACGCCCAATGGGCAGACCCTCCAGATTGTCCAGCAACCGAATGGCACGCAGACCCTGCAGCTCGTGCAATTGGTTCCCCAGCGCAGCATGGCGCCCACGGGAGTGACAACGGTGACCACCACTACAAATGCCACGGATATGGGCCATCATCATGTGGGCCAATCACTGGGCGATGCCGACGTTCAGCTGCTGGAGGATGGCTGCGATGTGGAGGACGAGGAGCTGGAGGATGTGTACGAGCAGCTGGACGGCAAGGGAGACCACAGCTTCGAGACAATAGTCCTGGACGACGACCAGCAGCAGGACTTCCTGAAGGACCACCACGAGCATCATCACCAGGTGATGATCAACGAGGATCTGACGCAGAGCGAAAGTCAGGAGCACGAGTACTTTGACGATCTGGACCAACAGCAGCAGGCGATGGATGAGGTGGAGGACGAGGAGGACGAGCAGCTGAAGCACGAGGAGGAGCAGGACACGTTCATCATCGAGGAGATTCAGCTGGAGGACGACGAGATGCTGGAGGATCCCGAGGCGGAGGAGATTGACCAGGACTGTGAGTACATCACGGACGATCAGGATCCGCATCTCTCCGGCGACGTGGACGACGACCTGCAGTACGCAATAATGGAGCCACCGGATGGGGAAACAAGTGTGGACATAGATCAAGCCTTCCTCGAGTCGGATCATCATCAGCAGCAGCAGGAGGAGTTGCCGAGCATTTCTCTGGAGAACGCGGTGGTTGAGTTCAGTCAGGCCAACTCCGATGCTTTGGTGGCTCCCACTCTAAACGTGAGTTCTCCGAGTCCCACGGCCAAGCGGGCCAAGCGAGGCCACCAAGTTGGCGTGACCCTGGAGCCCTGCGATCACCAGCCAATCGCCGCTGGACCGGCGATCAGCAGCAAACTGGCGGCGGCCAATTCCCGCCAGCTGGTGCAGACGGCCAGCGTGATTGCGGCCGCGGGAGCAGACGACAACTACGAGATAGACGCTAATCTGGTCACCGAGTTCATACGCCAGCACACCTCGCCGCTGGGATCGGGCCGCTATATCTGCCACCTATGCAGCACCGAGTTCCGGCAGTTCAAGGGCCTGCAGAACCACATGCACTCGCACACCAACTGGATACGGGCCAATTGCAAGAAGCAGCCGCAGTGCGAGATCTGTTTGAAGAGCTTCAAGGGCCCAGGGATGCTGAGGATGCACATGAAAACCCACGACGCCGAGTCCAGCACACCAGTGTGCACCATCTGCAATAGGACGTTCAAATCCAAGGCGATTTTATACCGTCACCGGCAGACGCATCAGCAGAGAGCCTACTGCTGTGGGGTGAACAACTGCCGAAAGAACTTCTCGTCGGCGGTCAACCTCAAGTGGCATGTGGAGCGCAAGCATCCGGAGGTTGTGGAGCCGCTCTTCAAGTGCGGCGAGTGTGGATCCCTGTACGACAGCGTGGACTCGCTGCAGTTGCATGTGGAGAGCACCGATCACTCGGCGGATGTGCAGATGAGCAACCAGGACGATGGCTTCAGCGGGGCAGTGAGCATCGTTAGCGACGGCACCACCACCACCACCACCGACATGTCCAGCATAATGGCCACGGGCCAAAGTGCCACCTTGGCGGGCACAGCGGGCGACACCCACGCCGTCGTCGTGGGCTCCTCCGGCGAGGTGTACTTCGTGACGCAGGCGTAGCCAGCGGAGTTTGCCGCAGCAGCCGCAGCCGCCGTTTCTGGGAACGGCGAGTGCCTGCTCGGCATCTAGATGACCACTTAGATGTAACATATATACATATATTTTTGTACTACCCCCGTCTAGATAACACTTAGCAATTAGCAAACACAAATATTGCAATCCTAGATTTCTGTCGTAGAACTTGTTTAGTAGAACCTAAGAGCGATTCACTCGAATTTTGTAAGCAAATACGAAACATTAGGTAGGCATCATCGGGGATCGGAACAGAATACATAAATCCTGCGGGGACTGTGCCAGTTTTTGTTTTTAATTTTATTACCATTACCTTACCATTATTATTTTGTTTTCTCCCGGGGAATATCAGACTGGCATTTTAGGCTAAACGTATTTTGGCGTTGGGTTTTCATTGTTGGGCTTGAAACGTAAATAAGTAAAAAATTGTTTTAACTGCAACAGAATAAATTAACAAACCTTCTAAAAAAAACAACTATATGCTTATCTTTTTACGTCGCCATTGGGGGTTGATATTTATTTATTTTTAAGCATGTAATCCAATTCTTTGGTCCCGGTTTTTGTTTTGCTGGCTTGTTATTCAATTGCGGTGTAAGAGGACCGGAAAAAACAAGAACCAAAACAAAATTGATCGAACGAAAACAACAATCAGTCCAAGGTCTACAGTCTATTGATTCCCAATTGCCACGTGTCCGGTTCTTCCGGCGATTCCAGAGTATCTGGATAATTGCAAGCTTAGTTTGTACTTAAATTGATATTTATATAATAATTTCCTTACTTATTATCTGGCCTTATGGATATATATCATTTAAGTCTCCGGTAATCAGTTACCTGATCGCAATCTTCAGTCGCCCGCTGTCACACGAAATTGTTAATTAATTAGCAAATAAGTTGCCCAATATCATCAATTGGAATAACATTGTGACAGCTTAAATCGCCTGCGGTTTATTTACTTTGTTCAGATTATATATGATGGTCAGCCGAGTGGCGAAAGATAAGATAAGAGTTTCCTCCATTTATATGACGCATTTTTGCGACATAATTTTCCAGCCAGCTGTTGAGAAAATACTTTTTGACTGCCACAGAATTAATTATAGAGTTTAGGAGTACTCTCATATTTACATCGATTTTTCAAGCTATCAAAAACGATATAAGGTCAATCCTTAAATAATTAAAACTTGACATTTTCTTTGCTGTGAGCATAGAATTAAAATTCTACAACCCTTCCCAAACTAAAATTCCGTCTCGACCTTTCCTTTGAATTCACTGAAAAATATATTTCCTAAACCTTAGAATGCATCTGCTTTCATGCTTGACTGGAAACGTCCTTGAACTTCGAACCATCTACATGAAACTTGGCCACGCAGCCAAAAGAATGAATAAATGGCTGAATAAATGTCGTGCGGTATAGAACCTACATATCGTAGAAATGCATATGCTTACACTCAGAAGAAATACCTAATCTTTTAAAATTTATAATTAGCTAAATACTATTTCTTTAAAGATTCTTTGTACTTGTCATACAAATCATAATCTTTTTAGAACACAAAAATCTGAAACATTTTAGTTCGATAGGAAAAATGTTAATGGGGTTTTACGTTTTGAAAATATTTCCAACATATCTATTTTTGAAACTCACCCTATCGAACAGAAACACGGCGACTGTTGGCTCCCAACAGTTGGCCATCCATTTCAAATTTAATTGATCTGACACAGGCAAGGGGTATGAAGAGTGGGGCCCCAATCGAAATAATTGCACAAAATAAATTCCTTTGATTCACCAAAATTGCATTCACAAATCACACATTTTCAGCTTATTAATGCACATTATATTGTATTAATATTCGGGCGTTTTGCCATTTATTTAGCATTTTGAATCAAAATCCACGACGTCACCGAACATGGGACATTAGTCACGCGAAAGGCAGAAATTTCGCAGCAAAGAAAATAGATTTTTCAGCCGACCTTTTCAGGGGTTTGTGCTGGGCAATTCCAATCCCCATCCTTCTTTTGGGGGAGTGAAATTAAAACGCAATTGGGATATTTCGAGGCGCAGTGCAATTAGAATTATTAATATTGCGCCGCTTGTGTGCTTATGAAAACATTTAACAATAAGCCTTTCTGAAGAATAATAATACTGAAATCTCATAATTAAGATTATCTTGTTCTAGGTTTTCACATTAAACTCACTGCTGGAAAAAGATAAATTTTCTTTGTATTCAGAATTTTATATATTTCCATCTAAAATTCAAAATTATTATTATTATTAACCTGTGAATAAGACTTTAAAGTTAACGTTACAAAAGGTCAAAATTTGTTTATGTATTCCGAGCGCCTATAAAAAATTGTCTGTTTACTCCTCAAAGTGATTGAACTCAATGCTGAAAAAGATTGCATTTCAAAGGTTCCGATTTTACGCACTCTTGAGATTTGTTGAAAACAAAAACATTTTCCCATGGCTCTCTAGCCGAGTTTGTGTCATTAAACCGACGACTGAGTAAACAAAATCGAAAACAGCAACAGCCGCAAAAATATTCAGCGTTCGTCTGCCGGAAGAAAATGAAAGCGAAATAAAAAGTACTGTTTAGAGAATTAAATAATGTTTACTGATCCGATCGCTGATAATGATGGATCGATGATCGGCGTATTCCGTTGAAAGTTTCCCAGACAGGGCCGAAATATGTGCTAATACCTTACGCCAGACCGATTTGAGAGGGCCAACACCTGTTAGCCCACTTGCTAGCCACCCTATACTTATATGTACACCTACACCCACCTTTCCCACCTCCTCAGAATTCTAAGACCCCATTGACGCAATTGAAAAGAATAACAAAATTGTTTATTTTGTGCTCGCCGCTTCGCAAATAATTCTCCTACTTAAACCCGATTATTAACAATTTTTGTGCCTGGCCTTTTTGCTGTTATTTTATTTTTGTTTGTGTTATTTTACAATTTACTGGATATTTTCCATACAACAAATTTTTCCACACCAAATAGGTTTTGTTTATGACTTTTTCTGAATTTAATTTGAAATATTTTTTGTGCCCCTTATATGGTCTTGTAGTTTTGGAGCTTTTCCATTATAACATTTCAACAAATCTATTTGAAATGAATTTAATTAGATTTAAAATGATTTACTTAATTTTTAAAGTAAAATATCGTAATATACTTAATATCAAATTGTACTTGCATTCATTTTCCTGGGATTCCCCTGATTTTTATAAAAGTTTATTAACTGATTAATGTAACTGATTTTGTTCGAGGTGAGAGTAATAATAGTTGGTTTTATCAAACATTTTGTAATCAATCTATTGTGAGGAACTTCCATTTTTCTGTTAAATTTATAATTATAATATTACCATATTTTAAGGGTATTACCACTTCGAATACTTAAACTTAAATCTCTTGGCGCCTTCATTCCGTCACGAATATCCAATTCACACGTTGAATTTTATTTTGTTTTGGTTTTTCGACGCAGCTATGCTCTACACATTCGTGTTTTCTCACGGAATTCGATTTTTGGCTGTATATCTTGGCTACAAATCCCTCCATTATTAATAAAGGCCCATTATAAATTATTTAGTATCACTTTACAAATAAGATGTTTCCCACTTGGCCATATTTTGCCACCCTTTTCTCTTATCCTCGGTATTAAATTAAACTTGAACTACATTTGGCCAACGGCAAATACAAACAAATGGGCAAACAGTCAGAATACTCTTCAAATATTTATATAATTTAGTACAATTATAGACCGTCTGCAGATCGAGACAATATTTTTAGCATTATCGCTGCTGCTTTTTTCAGCTTGCGGCGCAATTTCATTTTCATTTCCGATTTCGGCTATTCAAAAAACGAATTCGCATATGTACGTTTGTACAATATAAAGAAGAAAATCGTGTAGATAGATATGTATTTAATCGGAGGCACACGAGCCGAATTTTGCTTTTTTTTTCTAGCTTATCTTCTTCTTCTTCTTCTGAGATTGGGGCGTGTGCTATTGACATTGCACCCATTTGGTCATGAATTCGTTGGTCGTCGTCGTCGTCTGGCGAACTTTTTGGCTCACTGTTCGAGCGAAGAATTTCAGAATTTCAAGGCTCCATTTGGTTAGATATTCCCCTTAAAGTGGGTGAAGGATAAAGATGAAAGTGTCGAGCCTTGTTCCTATTTTAGCTCGATAACAAAGGAGGATCCTCTTAATAACAAACATAGATTTTTAAAGTATATTTGGGAAAATGAGTTTTTGGTACAGAATACAACTAAGATATAAATAGCTCTAAAAATTATTTAAATTGTATTACCTATAACTTTTTGGTTTATTGGAAAAGTATGAACGAATTTTAGTTCGTTTGTTTTAGGTAGATATTTAAAAATTTTGTGATGTTACTTGTTTTAAAATTTAAAAAAAAAATTCTTGTTTAATTTTAATTTGGGTATATATTTTCTTGTCCGATTAATCCGTGTCCGATTATAATATTCCCCCTAAAATTCGATGAGATTTATATTTATTTGGGGAGTTCCTTTTCCAAATTAGGGGCATTTTCCAAGTCAAAGGGTTTTCCACTGATCGGGGGAATTAATCTCTTTCCTCTGAACACATGCGAATCATATTTATCATCGAATGCCGGCATTTGAGATTTGGCAGCTGGCCACGAATTCGTGGCCCACCCGCAGCAGCTGCGAATGGGACTAGATTTGGTGTGGTCAGTGCCAGAATGAGTCGCCCCCACGTTGGAAATGTGCACCATGGTAACCACATGGCTGTTAGATTGGCCCTGAAAACACGTCTTTGTCAGGGGCGAGAATTCCCGGGCGTTTTTCATTTACCGCCGCGTGCCCGGGCAACGCCTTCTAATTTCTTAAGCATTTTCCTCTTGGTTGCCAGACAGAAGACCCTCCCCCCTATTTTTGCCACCCACCAATGCGGAAACGTACCCGTCGATTTTGTCATCGAAGCGCCGGCGGAGATCACGGCACAAGCTCGTGGCCATTGTTCCGGTAACCGGTGACGTCTCTTTAAGATACAATCGAGTGAATTCCCTCTTTGATTCTCAATTCAAAATCTAGATACATCGGGAAATACTTGGCATAGTACGAAATAGTAAAATTTGTAGAATTGGGGGAATTCTCCTCACTGAAACAAAAAAGAGGAGAAGACAATGCATTGATTGAAATACTTTTTGGCTATCTTACTTTCTATATGCGGCGTTCAATGTCAGGGTCGGTTAAAAAATTGCAGACTTTGCGAGGGTGCTTCTATCCTAATACTAGTACTGAATGCTAAAATGCCATGTCAACGTCTGGCTGCTAAAAATAAACATTTTTCATTCAAAATAAAATTAATAAAATTCACTTTTTGGTTGCCACATATGATGCCAACAATTTTATTTCATCAAATATATATATATTTGTGTTGTGAAATGTGTAAACTAGTTGTTAAATTAAACAAAATTTGTAAGAATTTGTCAAAGAAAAAGGTATAAAAGGTGGGGGTGCAACATTTACATTCAGATTTATTAATTCTTTTTTATTAAATGTAATTTTCAATTTGAATTTACTTTTGTTAATTATAGAAATAAGTATCAAATGGTTTTAAATCCTGTCTTAAGAAGTTAAAAGTTGTAAGAAAATCAGGGTAATTATGGACTTACAAATAAGAACTCAAAAATAGTTTAAATTTGAAATGATTTTTAATGACTCAAACCTCTTCTCTGTTTGTTAAGCTACTTAAATAGTGTTCTATTCTCAACTAGATACGATTATAAATCAAGTCTGTGCTTCTCAATGACTCATTAAGGTATCAAAAGCATTCTTTAGAAGTCTTCGCACTGAAGCTATCGTTTAGAATAGTTTAGAATTCGTTTTAATTAATTGGAATCAAATGGATCGCTGACTAATGGAAACCAGCTGATAAACTCAATTTATTCGCTGCGTGTGATTCATTATTGGCCAAACAAGTAGGTAAACGACGAATGACGAACAATCTCCTGATTGTTGACGGGCAATTTCAATTGTTGTTCCAGTTGTTTGCTGTTTTGCCGGCTGATTTCAATTAAGCTTTGGGTCTGAGACACACGAGCGACTGGCGCGTGTTTTCAATAATACTGGGTATCAATAGAAGTGCACCAGACAGCCAGGCACGGAGTGGAACGATCATAAAACCATTTGAAAAAACCCCTCTCAAAACAATCTTCCCAACTGTCACTCTGAAATAGCAGCTCAAATCGCCTCCTGGCACGCATTCTACAGAGGAAAATACCTCCTGGCTAATTGACATTTCTTGCAATCCACGTTTAATCCACTAATGCAGGCCCAATGCCATTTCCATGTCCTTGCTCCCAGCTAAAAAAAAAAATCGATTTAGTGGGTGGAGCAGGTGCATTTGCAGGCGAGTGTCCTTGCCAGAGACTGAGGCTGTTCGCAAGGTCGTTACTCAGCCATCAATCAGATAAACAAATATTCATTTATGCATATAAATATGAACAACTCAGTTTTTACCATTAAACGAGTGACTGACACTGATTGGCCTGATCTGATACACCCCCTTAATTTGAATTTTCATCATCTAAATGCCACGAGTTTTCTGACTGACAGCTTCCCTTTTGCCTGTCATCCAAATTGGCCCACCAGAAGAACCCGGATGAGTAATAAAGCACTACGTATGAATCTTGTTTGACTCGACTGACAGCGGAACAAGCCCCAAAAAATATATAGAAACACACGAAATTAAAATAGTCATATATTTGCCGACTGACAATTTCCCCCACGAAAACATATTTTGCAAAATCTGCCCAAAGAACACAATCAAATATTTACTTGAGAGCGAGCGAAGTCAATTTGGATTTTAAGAACAGCATTAAGAATCCGCTGTGAAGCGGATCTGTAGTGAATTTAATTAATGACATTTTAGATGGGTTTAAGTGCCACACGTGGAATATATTAAACAGGTGATTGTTAAATTTTATTGAAGTGTCCCGAAATTTAATTTTCTAAGATCTGTCTGAGAATGAAACTCAGTTTTACGCTTTGCATGGGAATCATGGAATTCATGCCAATCAAGTCTAAGTAAAGTGGATTCGTTTCACATTTTTATAGAATAAGTGTTTAAAAGTATTTATTTTTTAATATGAGTCCAGGTACATATTTAGTTTTAGAAAGGCTACCGTATTTATAAATTTAAAACTGCTTCTTTTTTGTTTATTGTAAATTACAATGTAAACTTCATCCAGTTTCCTATCGTGACATCCTTTCCCTTTATTTTTCCATGATTTAGAATTCCGAATATAATAGAACCTCCATTGTATGCATGTCATATGGGGAAGTGAAGGCCTCGCCTTTTGGCTGCATTCAGAGTCAAAGTCAAGGATGTGAGCTTTATAGAACAATGGAGGCGACAAGCGATGTGGCGCCCACTTGCCCACTTATCCGCAGCCTTGACAATGGCCTTCATTTCCCCACCCCTTTCCCTTCCCCTTCCCCTGCCAAGCCCCTCTTTCATCCAAACTGTTCTGAGAGCTCTTTGAATAAATTATTCATGGGTGCAGCACGGACACCCCAGGGTCAATGGGATCGTTACTGGGATTGGGCTGAAATTTCAGGCCAACTCGGAGGCATAACTCTTATCGGTTATGAATGGGTTTCCCACAGCTGGGGGTTCTGTTTTTTTTCGGGATTTCTGAGTGGGTTGTGGGTGGACAAAGAATGGGGCGGCCTATCTCTGGGTTTATCACCCATTGGGCTTCTGGCTGATGTAAAAATACCCCAAGGTTGCGTCACTTTTGCCATTTTCCCATCCGAACGGAAACCTTTTCAGTTTTATTTCGGATGGATGTGCCTGAAATGAAGAGCGAGTCGAAGCTCACGCGATTCTATTCTATGTGCTCGAGCTTATTACCATTTATATTATCTATTCCAAAACGACGTCGCCAGCAAACACTTTCGATAATGGCACTACAGTACCTGGAAGTAAGTGTACATGTATCTGCACAGCGAAAAAATACTTGTTTTAGTAACACTGATCTATTATTTTACCAATAATTACTATTGAACCAAGGGATTACATCTCAAATCTCATGCAAAAGTGCATACATTAAAAAATATATTGCATCGTAATCGATGATTTATTTAGTTTAATTTTTCATGCAAAAATCAAACCTTCTTAAATCAATCATGCATTAGTTTTCTCAGTGTTTTAGCTTTGTTACTAGTTCTGACGTGATATTGTTTTGGAGCGTTGGGAAAGTTCTAGAGCTCCCCAATAAATGAATTCTTCAGTGAAAGCTGGGCCATAAACAAACTTAAGTTTCAAGTGGAATTCCTGACACCTGCTGATAATATCTGCTGGTGGCTGCACATTGGAAGTAGTAAAGCACCTTAATCTTTCGCTGATTCCTTGTCAAGAGCCTCCAGACAGTCTGTACCACTATCACCACTCCCCTTGCACCGATCAAACTTATAGATTGGCCAGCCACATAATGGAATGGAATATTCTGAGATAAGATGTGAACGATAATGCCAAACGGAACATTTGTCAACATTCAGCAGCTGTGCGAATTTATTTTTTTTTCCAATATTGTTTGGACCCTGGTAATTTAATTAGGCCGCTCAATGAGTTCCAATTATGCGGAAATCGCTGGGAGCCCGATTCTATATACTATATATGGTTGCTTCCGTCAACAAATATTTACTCTGGAATTTTTATGGCACAAACAGTGGGCAGTCGCTGGGATTAAGAGGAAAAAACAGTTTACCGAAGAGATTTTCCATTGTTTATTGTTTTTGTCACCATCGGCAATTAAATTGGTTTCTGGGAATTGCAGACTGGATTTCCAGCTTAGAGGAGGAAGCTCTAGAAATAGAATGTATCCACCAGGAGCCTTTGTTGACCCACAAAAAGATACAAATCGGGGACACTTTTCCGGGGGGGATATTCTGAGCTGAGCGCGTGTCTTGGGACAATTTGTCATCTAAATCCAAATCCGCGGAAAATCAGTTGGGGAAATAAGAAAATTTACTTTTGAGCTGGGAAAGGAACCAGCAGGAAAAAAGTAAAAGAGTTGCTACTCTCTCTTCCCGAAGAGCATGAAAAAGAGGGTGCGCAGCAGAAAGAGAGCGTATACACACAAAAAAAGTACTGGGTGGAATTATTAACTTTCATCCTCTACTAATATGTATATTATAATTTTGGTCAGAAGTTTGTCACGCAGTGAAGGAGATGTTTCCGAACCGTATATATTTCTTGATCAGGATCAATAGGGGAGTCGATGTAGCCGTGTCCGTCTGTCTATCTGTATGTCCGTTTGCGAGCTCAGTTTAAAAGATAGCTTTTAAAAAATGAAGATATTTCGCGCAGTGTAAAAGCTTGAATCTTTCCAAATCCTATTCTTTAATGCATACCTTGATCAGGGTAAAAGCTCATTCCGATCATATATCTATATCCTATAGCTCCCACAATAGGCTGATAACTATAAAGTATTTGGTTGTTTATTAATTCATGTTGCTATATTAGTCAAATTTTCATTCGGCTTTGGTTTGCCGAAGTTAGCTTCCGCCCTGAAAATTGTTTCAAAAGATTAAACCGTGTTATGAGATAAGTTTACACTTACCCATCATTTAAATTTATATATTTCACCGCTAATTTTTCCCAGTGTACTAGCTGCTCGAAAAGTATCTGGAGAGCGCCTCGGCTCAGCTAGCTGACTCGCTCGCACACCCGCAGACTGCCGCTGGGCGGGCGAACAAGTGCCACGCGCGAGAGCGGTTGTCCCGCTCTAAGCCCTCGCACCGTGGTCATCTGAACAAGCAACGGCGCTGGTTTCGTTCAATTGTTTTTGAAAATTCGTTCGGATCGGACGTGTGCGCGCCTGGAATAGAAAAGTGAAAAACTGTGTGACAAAGTGCAAATAAGCCACAACGCGCATGTGAGAAATCAAATCAAATTTAATTGAGAAGCAGAGCATCCCAAATTATTGTATACATATCCGAGCATACCGTGCGTGTGCCAGTGTTAGTGTGGTTTTCCTTAAACGCAGCGGAAAATATGCAAACTGAATGAAAAGCTGAACGCAGTCAGCCAGCGTCGAATTGGAAAAGAGTTACTCGCATTGGGGACACGCAGAGGTGTCTCGAAAAAGGTAAAATTCGTTACACAGAAACGACGCCAGAAAGCGATTAGCGATTTTTTGGCTCTGTGTGAGTGTGTAATTTCGGTGTGCTTCGGTGTGTGCGTGATTTTTATTTAATTTTTTTTCGTGTATGTGCACTGTAAAAATAGCTGAAGAGAGAGGGCAAGACTCTTTGGCTCTCCCGAGAGAGAGTAAACTGCGACGTCATCGTTCACGCAGAGAGTTAGTTTTTTTTTTAAGTGGCGTTTCTTTCTTTTTTATGTTGCTGCTGCTGCTGTGCTTCTTCTTCTGGTCTTTATCTTTATCTTTATCTACTTTGTGGTTAATCTTTTGTTTTGAATACGCTTTATCTACGTCTGTTCATGTGCGCCTGTGTGTGTGACTGAGATGATCATGATCTTCTCTCTCGTTCTTTCCTCTCTTTTTTGTTCTTGCTTTTGTTTTTTTGTACACGTAATTCCCGTAGATATCGAACTCGAACTCAGCTGCTTTTTGTTTTGATACGTGAAATCCATAATCAACCTGCTATCGTTCGAGCAGGTAAAAAAGAAAAAACAAGCCGAAAAACCCGTTTTGTTGACGAAAAAATAAGTATAAAGTTATGCGAATATCTCAGTGTAAAATGTTTAAAATCCCCGCCTGAAAAAGTATCAAACTTTTCCATTACCCATTGAATTTACTTGAATTGTCAGCCTGAGAACATGACTAATTGCTGTTTTAATTGTTCATTTGTTCAGTTTCAAGTGCTCAACTTTTGTTTTTATCGCAGTTGTTAGTCGCAAGATTCAGATTGTTTTTGCACAGAGTCCAGTGATAACTGTTTATACTCATAAAGGTGCTCAGATTCCAGTCTCCAATTTAATTCCACACAAATATTGCAATTTTATTTACTGGGCATGGGGATTTCTCCCCCTTGTATTTATTTATTCGTATTGCGCTGTATTCGCCTTGTTTTTGTTGCCAGGCACTCGCCAAATTCAGTTTCATTTGATTACTGGAAAGCTTATCAGTGGGCAGAGTTCACATACGATTGGAAAACAGAAAACAGAGAAAAGGGGAAAATAGGGGGCTCTAGAGGGGCTCCAAACAAAGGCAGGCCTCCTTTTTGTTTAGTATGGGTAGTACATGGTATATGGCTGTCTGCTGCTCTCATTTAAATGCCAGCAAAATGCTAGGGAAAAATAACAAGCAGCTCCAATTCCGCCTCGTTTCACATTGCTTCCTACTTCATTTGCAAATTGCAAATTCAGTGAATCCACTTCGCTTGGCAGGCAGCCAAACAATTTGTGTTTACTTACCGCGTTAAATTTCCCAAACGACTTGCAACTCTGGTTTCACACGCAACACAAATCCTAATCTCAATTTAAGCAGCGCAAAAGTTCAAGCTAAAGTAGCACACCAAAAGTTGGGGATTCTTAGACTTCAATCAGAACAGAATATGTATTATGTTGGTCCTAAGCTGACTAATAATACCTATAAAACATCCGGTTTATAAAAGTTTTAAAAATAATTAAAACAAATACAAAAAATTATTTATTATTATGGCATTTTAACATTTTAGTTTTCTTTCAAACAAGTTTAGACCAGTTCTAATTAAATATTATACGGATTTGACACAGTAATCTTTTCCATTTTAAAGTCAAACTCGGTGCTTAGAAATTTTTTTCATTTTGACTAAACTATTTAAAAACCAAGAATAGTAATTAAATATCTTACTATTGTCTCCAACTTAATTATAAAATATTTTTGAAATAAATAGAAATATCTGCATCTTAGTTTCCAGTCTAATCAAGTTTATCTCATTGGTTTAAAATAGATACAAAATGTATTCACCCCGAATTCCATCGAAACGGAATTGGGAACAGGGCCCAATGAACTTTCGATCGCTGAAATTTGAAAAAGCAAAACACATTTGTTAGTATGTAAACGAAATTGGCCTAATCAAAGTTTGTTTAGCTGGCAATTCACACTTGCGTCTTTGTCTGTTTTTGTCTACTGTCTGTAGAGTTGCCAAATTCAACGGATCGGTGCTAAAGTGAGGCGCGTTTTCCGCTTTATTTGTAAGCTGAAAGTGCTGCAATTGATCTGTGTAATGGGGCTGATGTACATATCTCTTTCAGTTGAAGTTCTATTATCATAGCTTGCTTTTGTTCGATTGCCTTTGTCTGGGAGAACAGCTGACAGCTGCTGATTTGAATGTCTTCCCCTCATTTGTTTTGATTTTGCAGTCGAGTGCTAATCAAATTTGCTTTGGGCAACGCACTGAATCTTCCCAGACAAAGTATCTTTGAATTCCTCCGGCGCAATTGCAAATGTTTCAGTTTCACTGAGTTCCCAGTTCTCAGCTCCCCGGATTCCTTTCTCTGTCTGCGTTATTCGCTGTCGTTGACCCAGTTTCAGTCCACCTTATATACATTTACATACGAGTATATGCAGGCAAACAGATACCCCCACACGAAAACCCCACTAATGTGGGGCAATTGGGGAGTGAGGAAGTAAGTTTTGCGTCGTACTCGCCTTTTTTGCCCAGTTTCCCCAAAGTTTTCCTTTCCACACACACGCATTTTGCTCAGTTTTTTCCGCTCGCTGATAAGGTCATTGTTTTTCGCTTACTCATTTGGTTGGCGATCTTTGCCTGATCTTCAATCTCTGACAATCGGTTTCAATTAATTGCCCGATTAGCTATATTTACTTGAAGTGAAGCCATCGTAGATTGTGTTCCGTGTTCCAATCAATTTTCGCGACTTTCGCTTGACATTTTCCCGGGGACATTAACGGATTGCGACGGGGTAAACACTAATTTATTTAAAGGCTTTCGCTATAAATAACGCTGTCGAAATAGCCGCCTTAGCTCTTGGAAGCGGCGATAAACTTCTCCGTATTGTTTTTATTTTTTTTTGCGGCGTAGACAAGACAACGGAGTGATTCACCCCGAGTTAACGAACCTCGGAACACTTGATTCCGTTAAGAGCCTCATGTGCTTCCCCGAATGGTTATGTATCTTACTTGTTGCCATGTGTATCGCAGAAACTATCTGTATATCCGACCGAAAGATTAGCAAATTGCCGCCGTCTGGTCTCGATCAGGTAATAATTACAAAGCCCAGCAGCTGGCAAATATGCATTTTGCTATCTTTATGACGTCTGCAGTTCCCTGTTTGCTTTGCCGATTAGAGAACAGTGATATATATGGTGAGGCTGAAGAGTAGGTGTGTCTACAACGCAATTCGCAAATCGCGCCAGTTTTTTCCTTCACAGCTTCGATTATAATTATAATTTGCCAGCCCACTAATTAGAGAACCTTTGATACCAGAGCCGCCCTATCAGCTGCGGAGATTCCCGATCACGTGCCACACGCTTGACTAGAAACCCCTGCTCATGATCATCATCCCACTTTGAACAATTCTACTATTTCCACGCCCTGACTTGCAATTGTTTTCAATTAACAGAGCACGCTTCATTAAATGATTTCTAATATAGCGCAGCTGATTTGATTGCTATATGGTATATGGTATATGGTATATATGATTGTAGATTGTTTTAGGAGAGCAGGGAGGGAGGGCGAAAGGCGGTAGGTTGAATGTTAAATGGATCAGTCAGCCACAAAGTGATTGATCTTCTAAAGCGCACTCGAAATTTGATAGGACACCAAATGTTATTGATCTCTTGTCTACTGGTTGATGATCTATGAGGTTACAAACCTACACCCAAAAAAATATGAAACGTAGATCGATTTTACATTATTTAATATCAATTTAAATTTGATATGCGGCCAGATAAATTTGACCTGGTCAGTAAAAACGATATGGGGTTTGCATGAATTGAAATTTACATGGCCATATCGATTTTACGGGAACTCTGGTAACCTGTTTGAGAAGATACTACGAGATAGCCTCCCCCACTTGAGATTTCGTCATCAAAATCGCAGCCGGAACACAATTTGCATTCTACGTAGTCGCGTGTCAAGTTTTCCGTGGCGGAAATGACATTGAACCCCTGAGCGAATGCACTTGCTGCATTGCGATATGATATGATGCGATCCGAGAATAGGAACCGGTTGCGAAGGCGGTTGATTGAACGATCAGGGGATGATTCAGGCCATTAAGCGATCAACTGTGTGCGGCGATCGCATATTTAACCCAATTTGCAATGGAATTTTTACTGATTTTCTCTATATATCTCTCTCCCATTGCAGACTGAACAAAGCGGCAGCAGGATATACGGATTTCCCAAGCAGGGCGACCAGCGGGAAAAGCTCCGGGGAAAAGAAAAGCGGTCAACAGCAATCGTTACACTGTTTCGCGCGGCGGGGAATGGTATATTTCTTGGGGGATTGGGGCATGGGAGATTCTGACTTGTCGTCATATCAGCAACATGTTCCAAATATACAGCAGCCGCAACAACGCATCCATGGACATGATCTCCTCTTGCAACAGCAACAGCAGCAGCAGCAGCTCCCACAACAGCAGCAGCAGCAACAACAGCAGCAGCAGCAACAACTTGTGGCACAAATCTCCAGTAGCCTAAGCCAGCTGCAGCCGCAGTTGCAGTTGCAGTTCGCCAGTGGCTCCAGCTTCCTGCAACAGGGCCCCACTCCCTCGCCATCCCAGCAGCAACATGTTGGTCCTGTCAGCAGCAGCAGCCTCGTAACTGCCAATCTCCAGCAGCTGTCGGTGAGCAGCAGCAACTCCAGCAGCAGCAACACTAGCAACAACAACAGCACCAGCGGCTGCAACACTCCCACCAAACCGCAGCAGCAGCAGCAACTACTGCTCCCTGAGGCAGCTGCTCCGGCTGCCAAGTCGCTGAAGAACCCGCAGCAGCTAAGCAAGGATCTCCTGGACAATGAGGATGAAGTGGCATTGCACCCGCTCTCCAACCAGGTGAGTAATGGTATTTGCTGTTTCGCTGTCTCATGTATCGTCGCATCGTTTGATTTTGAACATTTTGGGTTTTGGTGCTCTATAAAATTCGATTTTTCATGGTGTATTAAAGAATTGGCCTTGCGTTTTTAAGGATAAAAAGCTACCTAAAGAATTCACGTTTCAGTTCAGTTATTATTTCAGTAATAAACATGATTACAATCTCTACTTTTGACGAATTTACAATTGTACACACCAATTCGGATTTTTTTAAATGTTCTAAAGAATTCGCAGTTTCTTATATGAGACTATTAAAACTTCTTAAGAATTTTAGATAGTGTAGTGTGGCTAGGGATAAAAACCGCCCCTAAAGAATTCGCATTATTTTCAGTTATTATTTCAGTAATAAATATGAGTACAATCTTTACAATTGTTAAACCCGCGATTTCTTATATGATCCTATAAAAACTTCTCCTTAAGAATTTTAGATTGGTAGTTAAGGATAAAAACTGACCCTAAAGAATTCGCGTTAATTGTTAGTAATTATTTCACTAATAAATATGATTACAATCTTTATATTGACGAATTTACAATTGTAAAACCCAATTCCGACTTTTCAATATGTTCTGAAGAATTCGCGGTTTCTTATATAAGACTAAGGCTTATGTGGGATCCCTTCCCATATCAAATCCCAATGAAGAAAACCCCATCAGCTATATAGAAATTTATTTTAGCCCTTTAGGCTACCTCTTCTTGATCTCCAAGAGTAGGGCGCTGTACAGCGACTGGCAGAACTCCTCGAGACCCGCGTACGTGTTCTTCTCGATGAACGCCTTGACCACCGCCCACACGGACTTGAGGAACTTGACCTGGGCAAAGACCAGGACGTCCGTGTACTCCTCGACGGTGGCCCTTAGGCAGAAGTGCACCAGGACGACGAAGGCGTCCGCGTAGGGGATCTCGGCATTGACGCTCTGCACATCGATCGAGTACAGCTGCCCGGGTTGGCTGCATTCGCGCATGATCTGCGTCTCGGTGACCTTGGCCGTTTTGGGCCCGACATTCGCCTGCAGGGCCACGGTCACCGTGACGATGCGCTCATTCTGGCCGTTGGCGTTCCGCTTCCAGCCGCCCATGCGCAGATCGGTGGACTTGCGCCGCTCGTGAAAGCTCTGCAGGAACGGCGAGGCGGAGAAGAGCATGTTGAACAGTGCGTCCACCTGCACCATCAGTCGCTCCTGCAGCACCTTGCGGCCCTCGTGCGTCGCACTGCACCGGGCGGTCAGCTCGTCCGGGTTCCTGGACCCTAACATTATCGGGGCCGTGTTAAATTTGAGTAATTTCGATTGGCTCGCCTGCAGTGTTTTGCGATCGCCCTTGGCCTGTTTCCCTCGCTTACCGGTTATTTGCCGGACGTTTTCCCTGCTCGTAATCGCCGTGCCAGCCAGGGAATTGCAACGTGTATTCCTGCTGTTTAAATTGCGATTCGATTTGCTTCTATCCGTCTGGGTGTAAGCTGATGGCCTCGGTGATTTCTTTTTCCCGCCAGCGGTGGTCAAGTCGATCTTGGAACGACCTTTGTCGCCGCCGCTCTGTCCAGTGGTCGAGTTGCGCCGGTTGCCCCAGAAGAACCGATGTTTTGTAGTCTCGTCGGCAGGATCCTCGTCTGGATTTCGACGGGAAGTGGAGCTGCGGTTCATTCGATTGTGATTGTGATTCTTGCTGCTGCTGCTGCGCGCACTGGACGGTTTGTCCATCACCAATAGTCTTTCGATTGGGTGCTTCAGCCGGGCCTTGATCGACTTCATATTCTAGCCAACGCGTTCATTGTCATCTTCAATTAAAACATTGTCAATGACATTATAAAAACGAAACACTCGAATTTAGTCAGTTGGGTAAAGGAACTAAACTGAACCCAGGCCAAAATTTCATGGGTGTCTACGGTTTGTTTGCTCGATAAGCTAAGCGTTTTCGCACTTTTAAAGTGACGTAGGGAACGATAAGATATCAGTAATCAGGGTTATGGCCACGCGCGTCAGTCAGCAGGTTCTTTAATAAACCAGTTAGATGATGTTTTTGATAATAAAACACTGTTGAAAACACAGCGGATATGCTAAACAAGAATGGAAATAGTCATAGCTTATTTTTCATTGCTTAAACCGAAAGTACATTTTATTTTAGCCCCCTGTTCAAGATAATGCTTTAATAACGCCCTAAATTACACACTTGAGCTTGGGGAAATCGGATTAGATTTAGCACCATAAAGATTAAAACATACCATCATGCTTTTAATATAATTCTTTAACTTATCTTATTAAATAATATATATTTATATTACTTTCAGGTCGGAGGACACACTCGCCTGTTGCTGCTCAACCAGTCGACGGTGATTAAGCCGCTGAACCTGCGCGAATTGGACTTCTACCAGAACATTCCGCAGGACATACTGAAGTTTGTGCCCAAGTACAAAGGTAAGATACCGACTGTTTCACCACCCGCATCAAAAACTGATCACACCTTTAAATACCAATTATCGATTCTGTCGAAGCGCTTCATTTGCTCTTTCGTTTCGAATTAACTAATCATACAATCGAACAATAAAAAAAAAAGAAACAAAAAATATATCTATATATCTAAAACATTCTGAATCGCGCCAAGCATTTGTCATGTGTCTTGAGTTCCGAAATCGCCAATTTTTTATTGAATCGAACTTTTGTTTTTGTACTAACTCTCTCGCAACAAACAAAAATGATAAAGCCAAACAACCAACCAATTTGCGTTTGCTCCTCTTGTATCGTCCCTAGATCAAACCAAATCGCATTCGAATATCATTTTTATTTATAGTATTTTTTTGCTCTACAACTATAATATCTAAAAAATATATGTGATATCCCTAGTCTGTAAGTTGAATATTGAAAATGGAAATAAAACCGATCTCAAAAAAAAAGAAAGCAAAAAAAAGAAAGAAAGAAAAACAAAAATAAAAAAAGAAAACTGACGTGAAAGACTGAACCATATACAATAAATATGTAGCTAACCTATAGCTTTAACGATTTGTAATACGAAAGCGAAGATCGAAAATAAAAGAACCGAAAACGTTATAGCCGCCACATGCCACAGAACATTCTCTGCTCTGACTCGACGACGCCTGGAACTAGTCACTAGTCCGGGTCGCCAGCGCCCTGGTTCAGAGACCTTTTCCGATAAAACCCCCTTAGATTAGTAAAACAGACAGCAATGGGTAAGTCGCAAACCAAACAACAACCAAAAAAGAAATCAAAAACCAACCAAATACCAACCCAAAAGTAAAGTAAAGTAATTGTAATATCTATCGTAACTACAAATAGTATCCCCTCCATAAGGATTGTACAGTTTTTGCCAGCAAAAGCTGTACAATCGCCTGACTGGAAGGGGAATTTAATTTTGAACCCATGATGCACTCCCTCGATTCGGCGCATATATCGATTGTAATGGTTGCCCGGATCGGGGGGCGTGTCCCCGCCACTACATGTACGTCTATGCTCGTATTATCCAAAGGTTCGAGGTGCCTGCCTGACAGACCCGATCGAGATCTGCCGCCCGTACCAAAGCAAACCTCACCGAACCGAACTGAAATGATCCGAACCGGAATCATCCCGGAAATGGGAAAAAGCGAACCAAATCTGAGTGTAAAGAATCTTTTTTTTCCCCGCCATGCAACATAGAAAATCGAGTTTTATTTTATGTGTTTGTTCAGAACATCGCACATCGTGCCGCCCTCCTTCCCTCGAACGTTGTGTTGTGTGTGTGTAGTCATCGTCGCCGTCTCCTCCGCTCTGATCCGCTCGCCTCGTCTCGATCTCGATCCCGATCCCTAGCGATCCTAATGAGTCGGGTCCGTCCTGCTCTCTCTGTCGGTTAGAATGCAGGCGAGCCAAATCGAATGGGTTTGTATGATTAAAACACATCTATCTATCTAATTTACCTATGTTAATTTACCAATATATACCATACAAATACGATACGATACGATTACAACACCGTATGATAGTTAAGATTATCCCCGTTTATAGTACGTTAATTTAAGTTGAGGAAAAGCGAAGAAAAGAATCTGACAGTTTTTGTATCCTATATTTCCACTTTCTTTTGCACTTGTTACTGCGTCGGTTCTCTATATCTCTCTATCTAACTGTTTTGCACCAACTTAGCTTAGGAATAGGAATATAGTTACCACTTCCATTTAACCGCATAAACATTTGGAAGCCATCTGATTCCGTCTGATGTTGGAAATGCATGAAGCACTTGTGTCGAACTCATTGCACCAAAAAGAAATTGTTCAAACTCTGCTCATTTGATCAAAGAAATCTGTTAATACTCCTGCTTTGATCACCTGAGCAGAGTTTCATTTCCATCTTTCATGAGAGTTTCGTATTTGTCTGTTCTGAAAAACATTTCGTGTCTGCTAACCAAAAATAAAACTGAAACTCGGGAACCGCTGCCTCAGCCTCCATTTGCCACATCTTAATAATCCTCCTAACCCATCCAAACCCGTGTCGATTCGATGCTAAAACTACAAGAAAAAAACCAACTACAACCAGATGATAAGAGATCAGATCTTTCACAGTTTAGTAATCCCTTTCCCCGGCTCGTCTCTGTGTCCATTCCAGGCGTCATGCAGGCCACCACCATGGGCGGAGTGAAGCTGGACAAGCGCTACTCGCCCAGTTTCCGGGATGAGGCCGCCGCCGTTCCCGTCCGCAAGATGAGCGCCTCCAAGAGGAAGCGGGACGAGGTGCTGAGGTGGGTACTTCAAGTGAAAAGGGGTCCTAAACATATATTAACCTTACATCTCCTTGCAGAATGAAGGTGCACAAGAATGGACAGGCCGCTGAGGTGATTAAAAGCATCTCACAACTGGACAACACCAATAAGCAATGTAAGTTAATCATTTACAAGAACGAAAAAAGGGATAGATTTCCAGAAAAGAGATTAATAATATGGTTCACTCCCCTTTAAAAGAGTTTTTTTTTTCCATGTAAATACTTAAATCTAAAAAACCAAAAAAGAACGCCTATCAGATACCCGTTACTCAGCTAAAGGGAGAGCGAGGGGGATGGAGATATAAAACTTTGATCGCGCATAACTTTTTAACGAATGGTCCGATTTGAAAAATTTCTTCTACAATTCGATAGGTATTGATAAACACAATAAAACTGCTTTATTACTTTTCCGAAATCTTCAAATGTGTGGGCGCCAGACACATTTTAGAGTCGGAAACGCTTCCTTCTCCCTATTACATACTTTTGCACGAATACAATATACCCTTTTATTCTACGAGTAACAAGTATAAAAAAAAAACTTATTATCTGTTAGACTCACATAAATAATTTCTTTTAGTTATCCGCAATTAAAGTTTTAAAAATGGAATACAATAGATCTTAAATCTTATTAGTGAATTCTTGAGAACTTACAATCTAATTATATTTAGCTCTGAATATCATTTTGTGTCTTTCGAAATCCTGAACAAAGTTAACTTATGTTACTACCCTTCCTTGCAGACTTCCTTATGCTCGAGAATATCACCTCGCAGTTCCGGAATCCCTGCATTCTGGACCTCAAGATGGGCACTCGTCAGCATGGAGACGATGCCTCGGCCGAGAAGCGCTCCAAACAGATGGCCAAGTGCGCGGCCAGCACTTCGGGATCTCTGGGTGTTCGCCTGTGCGGAATGCAGACTTACCTGGCCGATCTGGAGCAGTATGCCAAGCGTGACAAGTACTGGGGTCGTGAGCTCAACGAGGGCGGCTTCAAGACGGCTCTGCACGACTTCTTCTACAACGGCTATCGTCTGCGAATTCGCGTCATCCGCAAGATTCTGCAGCGCCTGCTGCAGCTGCGCAGAGTGATTGAGAAGCAGTCGAGCTATAGGTTCTACTCCTGGTGAGTTTTCATACTTTATTCCTACTAATTAGAATTATTTTTAATTATTTGTTTTATATGAATGAATTAATTAAAATTTTGAGTTTAATAGAATTGAATGAATGAATGATTTCCGAAATAATTCAAAGGATAATTACTTTTGAAGAAGAAAGGGCCATAATTTTGTCATTAAATCTGAATGAATTTTATTTTCTAAGCAGTTAACATTGATTTGTCAAAAGAAATCACAAAAAAAATGTGGCAAATTTAAAAAATTCATAAAAATTATTCAATTATTCAATTCCAAATGAATTAGAAAAACATTCAATTTATTTCACATAGAATTGAATTAAACGAATGAGAAATTTCAAAGAAAGGAACATAATTTTGTGATTAAATCTGCATGAAATTTATTTTCTAAGCAGTTAACATTGATTTGTTAAAAATTTTCCACTTTTTGATCTCAAAAGAAATCACAAAAAAATCTGGCAAATTCAAAAAATTCATAAAAATTATTCATTAATTCATTCAATTCGAAATGAGTTAGAAAAACATTCAATTTATTTCACATAGAAATTCTATGATAGAATTGAATTAAACAAATCACAAATTTCGGGGCATACTATGATAAAACAAAAATTGAATGATTTACGCAGGGCTCTAATTTGGATGCGGTACTTATTGGAAAATCTCATTTACAGCTCCTTGCTCATTGTGTACGAGGGCTTCGAGGAGAACCCCATGGCTTACCCGCCCTCCATGGGTGTGGATGAGTGGCCAGAGGCACCCAGGTCGGCTACCGTGCCCGGCACCGTCTTCGACTATCATCCGGAGAACAGCATAGACGAGGAGGACGATCTGGAGGATGAGGACGAGGCGGGCAACGAGGCTGGCGATGAGCTGGAGGCGCACGACGACACCGACGAGGATCTGCATCTGGTGGCGGCAGACAGCGGCAACGCATCGGCCACCAACAGCAGCACAGGAGGCGATGCCTGCAACTACGATGCAGATGCCTCCAATGACTCCAGCTCATTGCTTAATTTGGCCACACGGCGTCATTTGCACAAGCGTGGCTTCGCAGAGGCAGCGGCACGAGGAGTCAAGCAGACGGCGGCCAACAATACGACCACCGATGAGGAGGAGGAGGAAGAGCATCCGGCTGCCATGCCACCGCCACGCAGTTGTGGTGTTATGGCCGCCAAGGCGGCGGCGGCGGCAGCTAATCTGGCCGGCAAGGGCCAGGGCGCATTCATTCCAATCTCTGAAGAGACAGTATTCCTTGATCCGGAACCAGCGCTGCCCAGCGTGACGACCTCATCGCCACATTCCGGTGACTCGTGGATGAACTACAGCAGCAACAGCAGCGATGACTTCTCCGGATTGTCGGAGCAGATCAAAGCGGTGGCCAGCGGAAGGCAAACATGTAAGACAGTCATTACTCTGTAATATCTAAAGATTGTACAATGTTTTCCCCTTGTTTTCAGGCAATAACAGCAGCGATGACGCAAGCTCAGATTACGAAAGCAGCATCATTGGACCCACAGAGGCCATGTTCAAGCGCTATAAGTCGCAGCAATCTTTTGACGCGGCCGCCGCAGCTGCGGAATCCGCTTCCTCCCCGCCCCTCACTGCCGGCAACTCGAGCATCTCCACCAACGGCGGCGGCGCAACAGTCCGCTCGCTACAATCGCCCGCCTCATCCAGCGCCTCTTCCCTCAAATCGGTCAAGGGTGCGGTGAAGAGGCTGCGCTGCAACGATGATGATCAACAGTCGGCTGGGGCGCTGGGCGAGTGCTGCGAGTCCAGGGAGGCCAAGAAGTCGACCATTACGTCCTCGCCCGCGTCCGCGGTATCCTCGCCAGCCAAGACGGCGCCGCAACTGCGCAGCTGCGAGAGCATCTCGACCAGCATCTCCAATCCGAACTCCCTGCTGTCGGGCCTGCTGCTGGACAACAACAACGAGCAGCGTCGCAATGCCGCGCTGCAGCACAGCTCCAAGTCGCTGGACATGTCGGCGCCGCCCACCGATGACAACCAGTGCTTCGTGGACGTTCGCCTCATTGACTTTGCCCACACGGCCTTTGTGGCGCGCAACGGCAGCTGCATGCTGCCCACTCCGGCGGCAGCTCCGGTGCACCACGGACCCGACGGGGGATTCCTCACCGGCCTGGACAGCCTCAATCGCCTGCTCAACGAGATTCTCGCCGAGGAGCGCATCTAAATGAGGAGGGGGGATAAGGAAACTGGGGGGAACACAAGTTAAGAGTACAATTTGATTTGAGAATACCTAAATTGTTGTAGCAACATGCGTTAAATTATGAAACAAAATCAACACTAATCTTTAGAAATTCGAAATGTGATTCAAGCAAACCTATTTAACAACCGGATACATATAGCCCCTAACTTTTAAACTTTAACCGACTCGTAACATTAAGTGAACGGGCGGAGCGTGTTCCCCCGAATAATCGCAGCATTTGTGTGTGGAAAACGAGGAGATAATTTGTGAACAAGTCGCTTCCAAAAGTAGATGAAAGTAAATAGTTTGTTAGAATGATGGGATTGATTGTGCATTCAGATCGAAGGCAAAAGTGCATATGATTTAACTTATCTTCTTTTTTTTTGAGAGAGTTCTCGTGAAGCACACCTATATATGTATTGTACGGATCGTGCGTTTTTATACCTAGCCATTACATTACAATGCAAAATGACAAAGCGACAGAGCGTAATGATCAGTATTTCGTTGTATGTATCTATGCTTAAAGTCTTAGCCCGTTTCCTTTTCCAATTGTAGTGACAAAGTTTCGAAGAGCGAGAGAGTTTACTATATATATTATATAAAATACACGCAAAACACACATCTTTTAAGTTAACGATTAAAGAGAGAAACGCTATTAATATATAGATCCTACAAATATTACTATTACTTATTTTGTAACTAGAGAATTAAATGGAAAAACAATTTATGTATATTTTCACTTAAGCACGTTTTAAAATTACAAATGTTCTACGAATTGCAACAATACCTTTAATGAATAAATAAATATGGAAAATTAATTGATTGATTTTTGAAAAAGGGAAGTTGGCGCAAAAAGTGACAGGCAGGTGTGGTATTTTTTAGTCACTCCCTGCGATATATCGATAAATCAGCTGTTTACGGGCTATCGTCTACTGTTCATCTCTGAGGCAACTGTGCGTATTAACAATTTTTTAGGGAATTATATTTTTCTGCTGATTTGGTTTAAATAGGAATATTTAGGTGTGGTAAATTAGTTGTAATTGCATTTTAATAGGGTGTACACTTTGTACATACAGTTTTTCTTGTATAGCAGGCCCCACAGCTTGTCAAATGTAAACATTCTTATGTAATTGTTCAGGGCTAGGTTAAACATATGATATTTCGCCTGGAGGATACTGACTTTTTCCGAATTCCAGTGCAGCAATGGGCGGACATCACGGAGAACCCTACACGGTGCCCCATGCATCGGCCTACAAGGTGGAGAATGTGCCCCAGCTGGTGGAGGTGAAGGAGGCGCTGGCCCGTCAGGGATTAAAGGATCCCTGGCTCAGGTGAGTTCTTGAAACTGGTCCTGCTCCTACTCACAAGTTATCCCTTTCCAGGAACGAAGCCTGGCGCTACGAGCCCAAGGCCTTCGGCACCCACAGAACCCGCCTGAACACCTTCCTCTTCCGCGGACTCGGCGTGGGATTCGCCGCCTTCCTGGCCACCGTCGCCGTGGAGTACGCCCTGGGCATCGGCAAGGGTCAGGGCGGCCACGGACATGGTCACGGACACGAAGAACATGGCGACAAGGGCCACCATTAGCTATACTAAATAAACCCCGTTGTGCTATCGCTCCAAAAATCTGTTTATTCGCAATACATATACGTGTAGGGGTTTTCACTAAAGCTAAAGTAATCCTCCGATCAGTTAATCCGCGGCTTTAGCTCGTCGTAGCACGATCGCAGGAAGATCTGGGGCTTTTTGGCCGGGTTGAAGTACTCGTGGCCCTTGGACCAATCGTAGCCGACGGCGTACGCAAAGATCTGCCCGTTGGCATTGAATCCGCACTTGGTAATCGATTGATCCATGGCCTCGCTGGACTTGAGCTTGGTGCGGGCGTCCTTGTCCCAGAAGCTGAAGGTTCCGTCGGAGCCGACGGTCACCAGGGTGCCGTGCACCGGATGGAATGCAATATCGTTGACGGCATAAATGTCCTGGAAGCCCGTGGTGCCCGTGGAGCGGTGGCACTTGAAGGTGAAATTGTCTTTGGGATTCGCCGGATTCACATACTGTATGGCCACGCGACCCTCGATGCTGCCCAGCGCATAGCCGGTGGGCTCCTTCTTCTTGTCCTTGAAGATGGAAATGGCACGGTGCTGGTACTTCAGCGGACTCTCCTGTCGCTTGTACTCCGTGGGGCTGTTCTGCAGCGAGTATATGATGAGGCCCCGGTTGGCGGTGCCCACCACGGCCATGGGGTAGTCCACATCGGCGCAGTAGCAGCGCTCGGGCAGATTGATGGCCATCATGGGATTGGGTGAGCGGGTGTCCCAGAACTAAAGGGGAAACTTTGAATGAAACGGAGGTTCCTTTTAGTAGATTGTGTTACCTTTAGGGTCTTGTCCCAGGAGCCGGTCATCAGGCATGTGTACGAGGGACCCTTAACCATGTGACACGTCTTGACGGGTCCATCGTGGGCCGCCACCTGCATCACCTGGTCGGAGGCCAGATCCCAGAGCTTCACCTGCTTGTCGCAGGAGGCGACGAACACCTTGCTGCCGTCGTCCGACCAGCAAACGTCCAGCACTGGTCCGCCCATGGTCTTCATGGATTTGGGCACCGTCGCCCCGTTTTGCTCCACCTCCCAGCAGCGGACGGTGCTGTCCCAGCTTCCGGCCATCAGGAAGTTCTTCTGCACCGTGCTCGGGCTGAACTCCAGCGCCGAGACGGAGTCGTCCGGCGGCGAGGCCACCTCGAAGTCGTTCATCCGGTTGGTCGATTGTGTGGCGCCAAACATGATCTTTTGCTTGAGATGTCGCAAAATGTTTGTGTTTATATTTTTTCGCCGAAGAAGTTGAACCTATCGGTTATCGGTTTCAAACACGAGCGCAGAACAGTGTGACCAAGCAGGGCAAGGAGACCGCGTTGCGATAGCAGAGATAATAAACAATCGATATTTATCGAGCTTTTTGGCGGGCATTCAAATTGATTTCAAGTAATAAAAGGCTTAAGCAATATAAATAATATTAAGAACGGACAAATAAGAACTAAAAAGAAACATATGCCCAATCTTAGAAACATAGGATTGTTTTATAATATAAAATGTACACTTTCTTTAAAAAATGCAACCAAATTGTAAAATTGTATTGATTTTATAACCTGGCCAAAAGTTAAATCGTTCATGTATGAAAACAAGCTTTCCCTAAATTGTTAATACATTTTTTTCATTAAAAAACTTAATGTAAGGTACTTAAGTAGTACTTTATTATTTTAAACTTTAAAAGTTTTGTCACTTTAATTATTGGATGACCATTTTTGATGATAATTTATAATGATTATCCGGATATTAAATCTTAATTAAAACTTTTGTTTTCTCCAGTTTCCCAGAGATTACAAAAGGTGATTGCACCCAACTCGTCGCATCTCGCGATATTCTTACCCGTCACTCCAGTAAAACCAGTAAATGCGAGTGCAAAGGTGGCACTCGCTTTTCGGTAATGAATTGTTGCTTTGTATGCCACTGTCAACTCGAAAAAAAACCCCCGAGAATTGATATTCGGCACTCGAAAGTCCGTAGCCAAGGGCACCTATAGGAAAGCGAAATGTATTTAATTAATCAGTACCTATATCGATAGTGCCTTATATGCGTCGGGTGCTTTTTCCGGTGACAATGAAAATAGGTCAATGCTCAAGTTTTCAGTGCACCAGCATCACGATGATTAAGAGGCCAGTTCTTAGAAGTTGTGAATGGCACGGCGACCCGACCGCAGATAATGGAGTGCTTATGCTGAAGAAAACATTTTTCGGAATTTACTCATTGTATTATCTGGGTAGTTCACCAAGCTCCAATGAAAATGTGAAGTACGCTCAGTTCCGGGGATTTTTTGTCCTTAAGCCAAGAGTTAGAAAGAAAAACACTTCGACTGACTTCTGTTAAACATACATTTTTATTTGGTTTGCATCAGATTAATCATTCTCGGAATGAAGTTTAAGCTTTGTTCACTGAGCGCTATATTACGACTATAGATACATACATATATATTTCCCTAATCAGTGGGTGGCTTTGTGATTATTAATGGATATTCTAGACTAGCGACGTGGCGTTTAATACTTTACGATGCTGAATGGGTTATGATGTAAGTATATATTTGTAGCAGTCGGAAGTCACTAATTGGACTTGATGACTATATGCAGTCAATAGGAACCGTTCAGTTCGGCGGCAAGAGTTGTTGCAGTACACTAATCTTTGGCCTAAGATGACTTAGAGAGAGCTCCTTTTCTAAATGCTCACATTGATGGCATTCTTGATCACAATATTCCCAGCTCCGTGCTGGATGGTGAAATTGCTATCGATCTCAATGCCCCCGGACTTGTTTTGTTGGGAATCCGTTGGCTTGGGGTTTTTCGATCGAGAGCTGGACTTTTTCTTGGCATCGCCGCTGAGATCCAGTGATTTGACCACCTTGAGCAGTCCATTGCAACCTGTGTAGTCCACAACTTGCTGTGTAGATTTGCTGCCCAGGTAGATCCTTCCATCGTTACCCGTATACTTTATAGATCCACTATTGCTCTGGATCTTTAGTCTGGTGTTATTTCCGATAATTTGCAGGTTCCCAGAGTTGCTCACTATGCGTATCCGGTTGCCATTGCCGATGATCCTCAGATCCCGAGAGTTATTCTCGATGCGATACTCCTTGCAGTTGCCCACCAGATCCTTGCTCGCATAGATCGTTGTTTCCTCCGGCGGCGCGGTGGTCCTCTTAGTTTTATTGGGGGATTTACCCTGCTCTTTCTGGCAAGTAGAGCACTCGTCATCATCGTACGAATCGCTCGCCGAATCGGTCTCTATCACACGAACGCCCATTTTAGTGTGAATTACCTCAGATTTCGTTTCTTTCCGCTGCTAATCACTCGTAAAAATCACCGATCGGTCGGTCAGTTATCTCATTCTCTAGCTCTTTTTTCGGGGGCTTTGCTATCTCTCTTTCTCTGTCGCTGGGGGAACTCTCGGAATGATGAGCAATATCCAAACGTATGTCACCACAGCTGCTGTCTAAGGTCAAAAATATCCAATTGTGTGTGCCCACGATGATAATATAATACTGGGGGATCGTCTGCTTCCGCCAGGGGAACTCCCTCTGGTTTGTTGTTATTGTTTTGGTTTTGTTTTCAGTTTTGCGCTTTTGGGGAACGCTTTCGCCGTGCTCTCGAAACACTGGCGCTTTGGCTATTGAACGATAATGCCGCTCGGGAGCCGCTTTTATACCAGCCTGAGAGTCTAGCGGCGGGGCTTTTTTATTTCGCCCGAGGGCCGGCACGAAAATCACCTCGTAGGCATGAGGGTTTCAAATTTGACCAGCTGGGAAGACCTTTGATAAGGTCGCCGAAATTTATTCGGCATGATTAATACACACCTGTTGGGCCCCTTGCAATGGGCTCGGCTATCTCTTCCAATTAGTAAGGCTTATTCATAGGTCCTTTGGCCTCATTTGGTTTCACAAACTAAAGAAGACCTATAGTGTACAGTGAAAGAAAAATCATTAATAATAGAAGATTATTTCGGACAGTGAGAAAAAATTATTACTAATGATTATTAAAGATTAAAATAAGGTAACCATTTTACGTAATTTTTTTAAATTTACTTTTACACAGAGAAAGAAACGGAACAATGTGAAATGGATATTGTTTCATATCAATTTATTCATAACAAAATGGTAATGGTCATATGAAAATATACTCGATTGATAACTATTTTTGGTCTTTATTTTCTCTGTGTAAATACATTTTTGTATACATTTTTTACTGTGTAGTTTTTGTCACCAACAATAAAAAAATACAAATTAAATATATTTAATTATGTAAATTTCCAAAATGTAACTTTTCCCCGTGTAGATTTCTATCAGTTTACGATGTGCAGCCAAATTTTAATGGGGATTTTTGCCAACTCCCCTTATCATTATTAAGTCCCTTGATATAGACTGGCTGATTTCGGTTTGGGTCGTAAAAGTCATGCCAAAACGCCATATAATTGAAACCACACTTGATAAATATTTACCCGGTTGTCAAGTGATCTTTTCAGCTGAGACAACCGTTTCCTAGTCGAGAGTCCCGAGCCTGTTTGTTTGTAAACAGAAAAACTCGCACCCGCAATTTGCACATCTGACTTTATTAGCATTTGATTTACAGCACATACGATCCGAAAGCTTCCGGTTTCGAGTCGTCTTTTCTCGATCTTGGCATTATCTGCGTTCGTTTCAAGTTCAGCTCCCCGTTTAAATTTCGATTTCAGTCGGCTGTGGAGCTTGGAGGCGAGCGGAACCTGGAAATCCGAAACATATGTATCTAGATCGCCATTTGGATAAACACGCTTTAATGTAAACAGTTGGGCCAATGTTTGTTCGTGCGGGGAAAGCACCGGGGCTTTCCAGATATACTATATACCTATCAATAAATAGAAGGGGTGCACTACTGCCAGTTGCGTAAACTGATTCTTTGTTGTATTTTATTTTCAAGGTGCATTTCTGTTGACAAATCAATTATCTCTTTCGGAACATTATAAAATGATTTATTTGCTAAATCGCAATTTTAGGGCAGTAAACGGGGACTTTTCTGCAGTTATCTGAAGCGTACTCGACAGCAACCAAAAAAATAATAACAAAATGAAGCCATATTAAGTACAAATCGCTAGTTCAGTTTGTTATATCAGCTAAATCGTGTATGGTACCAGATATGCCTCGACGCAGTTACAGCACAGGCAAATGGAGAAATTGTGCGAGCGAAGAAAAAACCCCCTTTGTATACCCATCAAAACTGTTGGCACCTGCAGCTACTATCTAGCACGCGTCTAATACCGGTACTAATACCCCCACCGACGAAAAAATCACCGATGCCAAGTCGTTTTATCTGTTATTTAGATCAGAGAGAGGGAGCCGTTTGTTTGTTGTTTTTCAAGTTCTGAACCGAAAATAAATGAACTTTATGTTACTTGTTCTGACAGACACTTGATAAGGTGTGAACAGTTTTGGGGGCTTTTGGTAAAGATAAACTAATGAATGACCTCCAGAATCTAGCAGATAACATTGGTCTTTTAAACATTAAAATTTAAAACTCTATAAAAAATCTGTTTAACATTTTGCTCTTGGGAAAAGGCATATTCTATTTTCCTTTGGCCTTTAAATTTTTTTTATTTGTGTTTAAAGAAATACTCATAGACGCTCTTCATATATATTCTTCTTTTTAAAAGCCCGCCCTAAATGACAATCACCTGGAAGTGTTTAAATTTCCGTCCCTAATACAAAAGTTTATTGTAAGCTTTTATTGTGAAAATAGTAAAACTAGAATGAAATACTTCCGAATTGATTCATAAGCAATCTAGACATCATGGAGTCAAAATCAAATATCATATCAATTGGAGTGGAGGGCGAAGAACCTTTGGACAAGGCGTCAAGACTGAAAATTCATAAACGAAATTTCTACAAGAGGTTTACAAAACGTATAGATAAATTGCTACTGGATGGATCTAGTCCGCTGAAGGATACCCCCGATGAGGATTCTGTGGAAAGATTTTGCGCCACAAGCACACGAAGAAATGGGACTCAATATTACGAGTTCAGGCCAGACGATTTTACAAAGGGAATTGTCTTATCTGGACCGGCATTCGATCCCAAAGGCCTAATTTTAATAGTCAAGGAACGAATCAGCAAAGAGCACTGGATAAATGAAAGTGTTATTAAATACCATAACAATTCTTGGGGTGAAATACAAGAGCTTGTTTGGGACGCCATAATGGAAGAGGACAGAAGAATATATAATTACTTGCGGTATTTACAAGAAAATCGGTAAAAATTTTCAGTTAACATTTTAAGCAAATATAATAATAATAAAAGGTGAAATACTAAGTCCACCCCATTATTTAGCATTCACAAAAATCTATAAACAAGAACAAACCATCACTAACTTAAAGCTTTAATGCAAGCTTTAGTTGATATTATTTCATTATTAAATATATAAAAGAACCTCCACTCGATTAAAAACACGATAAGGTAAGCTGAATTCTTAATATTTTTTAACTGTCTAACAAATAAATTACCTTTCAGAGCCCAACATGACGTCAAAATCGAATGTTTTGACTATAGGAACAGGGGCCATAATAGAGAGAGACACAATCCCAAAGAAGAATATAGACTCTTTTCAAGGCGATTTTAAAGAACACATGCAAAGAATTCTTTTAAATGGAGCTTTTAAATTCACTTCCTAATGAAACTGCTATCGAAAGGTTTTCAGTGAATGAAATGAAGAGAAATGGCCACTATTACTACGAGTTTGGACCGGAACCGGAAGAAAATCGCTGGTTATCCAGCGGGCGACCATTTGAACCCAAGGGTGTTCTAAACCGAGTCAAGAATCGAATAAGTAAGGACCACTGGATTACTGATAACGTGGCCAAGTATAAAAGGGATTCCAGAGACTTTATACAAGATACAGTTAGGAACGTTTTACACGAGGAACAAATTGAAATTTATCAATATCTGTGTTATCTGAATGAGAATTCTACTAAAAAGTGAAGTTTGTAATAATCAAAATAAGGTCCAGCCTAACTTGAAAACATATGTTATTTACCATTCACAAAAGATTATAAACAAAAAACTACCATCACTAATATTGTGCTTTGATGTGAGCTTTTGTTGAAATTATTTCATTAGTAAATAAATAAAGTAACTTATCAGTTGATGTCAACATTCGATCAGGTAAGCTGGAATCATTATTTTTTTTAACTTTTAACCAGCTACAATATTTTTCAGAACCCAACATGTCGTCGAAATCGAGTGTTTTAAATATAGCAACAGAGACTAACGAAACTACAGATAGACAAACGATTCCAAAGAAGAGAAGAGCCTTCTTCCAAGACGATTTTAAGGAACACTTGCAAAAAATTATTTTAAATGGAGCTCCTCCACTGGAAAGTGAACCCAATGATAAAGCCATTGAAAGGTTTGCAGCAAATCAACTTAAAAAGAATGGACACCACTATTACGAGTTTGCACCGGCGATGAAAATGGGTGGCTGGATTATAGACGGGCCCACATTTGAACCCAAAGGAGTTCTGAGAAGAGTTAAGGATCGAATAAGCAAGGACCATTGGATTGCTGATAACGTGGCTAAATATAAAAAGGATTCTAGAGAATTTATACAAAAAACCGTTAGCGATGCTTTAGACGAGGAACAAATTGAAATTTATCAATACCTATGTTATTTAAGAGAACATTTTGGTACAAAATAAAAACACATATTTAAAAAAAAAAAAAAAATAAAACTTAAAAACATGTTTTTTACCATTCACAGGTGGTTGTAAACAAAATCTTACCATCACTAACTTTGTGATTTTCATGTAAGCTTTCCGGGTAAATTATTTCATTAGTAAATAAATAAAGTAACTGGTCAGTGGATGTCAACACTTGATCAGGAATCATTATTATTATTACTTTGAACCAGCTACAATATTTTTCAGAACAGACATGTCGTCGAAATCGAGTGTTTTAAATATAGGAACAGAGACCAATGAAACCAAAGATAGACAAACGATTCCAAAGAAGAGTAAAGCCTTTATCCAAGACGATTTTAAGGAACACTTGCAAAAAATTCTATTAAATGGAGCTAATCCACTGAAAAGTGAACCCAATGATAAAGCCATCGAAAGGTTTGCAGCAAATCAACTTAAAAAGAATGAACACCACTATTACGAGTTTGCAACGGGCATTAAAATGGGTGGCTGGATTATAGACGGGCCCACATTTGAACCCAAAGGAGTTCTGAGAAGAGTTAAGGATCGAATAAGCAAGGACCATTGGATTGCTGATAACGTGGCTAAATATAAAAAGGATTCTAGAGAATTTATACAAAACACCGTTCACAATGCCATGTACGAGGAACGAATTGAAATTTATCAATACCTATGTTATTTAAGAGAAAATGTTGGTACAAAATAAAACACATACTTAAAAAAAAATTAAAATAACATTTTAAGAGCCATCCCAACTTTAAAACATCTGTTTTTTACCATTCACAGGTGGTTGTAAACAAAATCATACCATCACTAACTTAGTGCTTTTAATGTAAGCTTTCCGGGGAAATTATTTCATTAGTAAATAAATTAAAGAATATTACAATTCAATGTGCGAAGCTAAACTCGTAATACAAAAGATCGGTTTTTGATACAAAATATGACGACGAAATCAAATGTGTTGGCTATTGGAACTGAAACCAGTGAAGACTTCGACAAACCTGCGATATCAAAAATAGGAAAAGTGTTGACCGAATTTGATTTAGAGCAACATTTGCAGAAAATTTTACTAAACGATAGAAAGCCATTGACAACCGTTTATGTAGATGGATCAGTCGAAACGTTTTCAGCGAATGAAAATAGGAAAAATGGACAATATATTTACGAGCTAGGTCCAGGTGATAAGATAAATGGTTGGATGATTAATTGTCCTACGTTTGAACCAAAGGGCGTTTTAAATCGTGTGAAGAACAAAATCAGTAAAGACCACTGGATATCTGATAACGTTGTTAAGTATCCAAAGGATTCCAGAAATTTTATAATTGATACTGTTTGCAGCGCTGTGAATGAGGAGAGCTTGGATATATATTATTATTTGCGCTATCTAAACGATCATAACAATAGAAAGTAAACGTTAAAACATATGTTTTTTGTCATTACACACGGTTTATAAACAAATTAACTACCATCACTAATTTTGAGCTTTCAATGTAAACTTTCTGTTGATATAATTTCATTGGTAAATAATAAAGTTTTTCTTATAAAGAAATCAGACAATATTAAAACTTAATGTGAGAAGCTAGGCTTGTCAAATCGGAACTTAATGTGAGAAGCTAGGCTTGTCAAATCGGAAACCTGTTTTCAAAACAAAATATTTTTTTGAAATTAAATATGACGGCGAAATCAAATGTGTTGACTATTGGAACGGAGGCCTATGAAGTTTTAGATAAACCTGCAATTCAACAAAGCCGAAAAGAAATGACAGATTCAGTTTTAGAGCAACATTTGCAGAAAATTTTACTAAATGGTAGGCCAAACGTTTATGTCGATGGATCAGTCGAAACGATTTCAGCTAAGGAATATAAGAAAAATGGACAATACATTTATGAGCTTGGTCCAACTAATAAGATAAATGGATATATGCACAGTTGTCCGACGTTTGAAGCAAAAGGTGCTCTAAAGCGCATAAAGAACAAAATCAGCAATGATTCAAAGGATTCGAGAAATTTTATATTCGATACTGTTTTCAGCGTTGTGAGTGAGGAAAGCTCGGATATATACTTTTATTTGTGTTATTTAAACGAACACAGAAATAGGTAGAAAACGTTAAAACATATGATATTTGCTATTACCGGTTTATACGGTTTATAAACAAAACAAGTACCATCACTAATTTTGAGCTTTCATTGTAAACTTTTTGCTGAAATAATTTCATTAATAAATAAATAAAAGACCTGCTTCTAACAAAATCAAACATTATTAAGACAATTACAGGTAAGCTAAAAGAGTGATATTCTAAAACTGTCCACTTACTCAGTTATTTTTTCAGAACTAAATATGACGTCAACATCAAAAGTTTTAACTATTGGATATGACAACTACGAGTCATCAGAAGAATTGCAGAAAACAAATAAGTTTGACTTTGAAAAACGTATGCAGAAATTAATCCTCGATGGCTTAAAACCCCAAAATGTCGATGAAACAACCGTTGGAAAATTTGCAGCTACTGAGATAATAAAAAACGGAAAGCAATATAACGAGTTTGGCAGTGACAATTTAAAATACAGAACAATTATATGTGGTCCTTCATTTATTCCTAAGGACATGCTTTCACGTGTTAAGAATCATATTGATAAAGAACACTGGGTCAACGAAAATGTAATTAAAATTCGAAAAGATTCCTTGAACATACGCCAAATTGTTTCCGATGTTATGAGAGAGGAAGAAATTGAAGTCTACCAATTTCTGAGTTATCTTAACAGAACTAAAAGAAAAAAGTGATTTTTTATTGTAAAATAAATAAAAAAATAAATTTTAAAACATATGGTTTTTGCCATTACCCACGGTTTATAAACAAAACAAATACCATCACTAATTTTGAGCTTTCAATGTAAACTTTCCGCTGAAATAATTTCATTAGTAAATAAATAAAAGAACTGCACCTAACAAAATCAGACGTTATCAAGACTAGAACAGGTAAGGCTGAAAAGTGAAATTCCAAAACAATTTACTCAGATATTTTTTCAGAACTAAATATGTCGTCAAAATCAAACGTATTAACTATTGGAAACGACAACCGTGAATCATCAGATAAATTGCAGAAAACAAATAACCCTAAAGCTTACTTTGAGATTGACTTTGATAAACATATGCAGAAAATACTCCTCGACGGCGAAAAACCCCAAAATGTCGATGAAACACCCGTTGGGAGATTTGCAGCTACTGAGATAATGAGAAACGGAAAACAGTATTACGAGATTCGGTCCTGATAATTTTAAAGAACGGGACAATTATAAGTGGTAGTTTCATTTAGTCCTAAAGATATGCTTTTACGCGTCAAGAATCGAATTCATAAAGAGCACTGGGTGAACGAAAACGTAATTCAATACCGAAAAGATTCCATGGTGCACATACAGCAAATTGTTTCCGATGCTTATGAGAGAGGAAGAAATTGAAATCTACCAATTTTTAAGTTATCTTAACAAAACAAAAAGTTAAAAGTGATAATTAATTTTAAAATAAAATTCCCTAAAATCTGTAATAAACTATTTTACTGTAATTAATGGCTGCCAGTCGAAAAATTAAAAAAGTTGGGTATTTTTTTATTTATTAATAATATTGGTTCGTCCATCACTAACCCTGAGCTTTTTAAAATAAAGTTTTTGTTGTGAAATCGATGAGTGTGTTTAAGATTACATTACCTTCTTCAGTGGTAAAGAAGAAGGTACCTTAGTTAAGTGACTTTTTAGGTATTCACAAGATCGGCGGGAAGTAATGGCAGATCAAAGAAAAGATTCCAAAGCCATTAGAAATGGTTCATCCGAATTGTCTTCAACAAATATTGAGAGGCCCAAGCCAAGTAGAGGAACTCCCCGAATCAAGAATGCAATAAACGAGACCAATTTTCCAGCTATTTTGTGTAGAACAATGCTAAAAAGCAATATTCTTCCTCCTCCACCGAAAGATGATATTTGGGTTTACACACAACTTGTTTGCTTTCTGTATCTTGAAAAACCTGCAACTCGAAAAAGGGTTTATCATATGTTCCTGTCAACGGAAAAGGATGTGAAAGACGACTACGAAAAAGTGAGAAAAATATACGAAAATCGAAAAGATATGAAGATCGTGAATCAGTTAACCGAAAACGCACTATGTGCAAGGACCTTTTACCGAAGGGTTCAGAAAACCTTCTCAGATGCTGTGTGGAACAAGAAAGGCAATATTTTCGAGACGGAGATGATTGCAGAGACAGATATCTGGGCGATTTCAAGACGGTTGAATGCAACCCGCACCGAGGATGACGAAAAACTTTTTAATTACATCAAGTTTTTGAGCGTTAATAAGAGTTAAATAGTTGCAATTGTGCGATATTCAAAAACTTCAACACAAATATTTTAAAATAAAGTATTACATTTAACTGCCAAGGTTCACCCTAATCTTGAAACAGATGTTATTTTTTACCATTCAGAGGTAGATGTCAACAAATAAAAGTGACTAATGTAGGTAAAGCTTTTGATTTTGGTTCTATGTGAAATTATTTATATTTGGATTCAACAAGCAGAGTATATTTCCACTTAAAATTTCAGTACCTCCACAAACACCTACAGATACACACGATATAGGAGATTTAATAAGCCATGGAACCTCAAGCAAATAATAACTCCAGCAGTAATCCAAAACCATCCGAAGTACCTGTGCTTAATATATCAGGAAAGGTGGAACCAACTCAAAATACTCACCGCATTAGGGGTAAAAAGAAAGCTGATCCCGAACCTCCTACAATTCCATTCGTTCCTGAGCCGCCAAAAATCAACCCGACTTCGTTTCCATATATAATTGGAAGGATATTATTGAAATCTAATGATTTACCTGCGCGTGTTGCTAAAGTAAATCTATCAGACTTTGAGCAGGATCTTTGCCTATTGGTCATGGAGAAGCCATCTTCAAGAAAGCTAGTTTTTCATATGTTTGTCTCAAACGAAAAGGAGTTGGAAAGAGACTATTTAAAAGTGCGAAAAATGTACGAAAATAAGAAAGACATCAAGATTTTGGAGCATCTCACATTGAACACCCTCTGTGCCAGATCGTTCTATCACCGAGTTCAAAAGAAATTAACCGATGTGGAGTGGAACAAGCAGCGCAATATTTTCGAAATTTTGAAGATTGGAGATCGCGATATTTGGAACCTTTCGCAGAAATTGTATCAGCTAGAAAACGAATTATATATTATTGCATTATACTTTTTTTTTTTTTTTTTAAATTTTTGTAAATAAACAGCTAGATAAATAAATTCTTTTTTTTTTTAAAAATAAAAAATAAAAACAAAAAAAAACCCCCAAAAAAAAAAAAAAAAAAAAATCACCCCCTCTTAAAAATTTAAAAAAAAAAAAAAAAAAAATTTTCGTTTAGGACTTCGTGTTGTGAAATAGGGGGTTTTTTTATTTTTTTCTTTTAGAAATTTTTTTTTTTTTTTTTTTTGTTGAATGCGGTTAGCACAAGCTTTAATTTTTTAATTAGCTTGGTGATTTATAAAAAAAGTAAAATAAAAATCCTCAGCACAGGGGTAAATCACCACAAACTGGGAAATGCTGAAAATGGGTTTAAGCCTGAAAATATGCTACACTAATCACTTGATTTTACTGACGTCCTATATTTTTTATTCTGCTGTATTATTTTATATTAGCTTTGTCAAATAACTAAATAAATGTATTTAAAATAGGTGCGAATTTACCCTTAGCGTAGGGGGGGGAAAACCCTTTTTTTAAATAATTATTTTTTTTGCGAAATTAGGCGCTAAATTAAAAATCATTGACGCAGAAATGCACATTAAGCACTTATTATATAAAAAATGTATCTTATTCCTTTTTAATTGTGGTACCGAAAAAATTTCAACTAAATGTAGTTTTGACCTGTTAAAACACATTTAATATTATAGTTAATTATCTTGCCTTCTGGAAATGATTATTTAAGGACTAAAACAAAAAAATTTTTTTTTCCACCACTTATGGATTCTGTGCTATTGCAGGTGACGAACTTCCCGTGTTGTGAAATTCCCCCCCCCCCCCTACTTATGTATTTCAATTTGGTACAAAACAAACCTAGTACTTAATCGGTGGTTTTCGGATATAATAATTCAGTACAACCGTGGGCATTATACAAGAAAGCATTCAAAGAATACAAGAAATTCTCATAATGGAAGCTCAAGCGCTAGAAAATAGTAACACACCTTTATCTTTATCTGCAAGTGGCTCCAAAACGGAGTCATCAGAAATACCAGTGTTAAATATATCCGGAAGGGTAAAGCCTGATAGGAATACCCCCCGCATAAGGGGAAAAAAGAAGCCAGCTCCGATTCCAGAAGAACCCAAAGTGAATCCATCCACATTTCCAGTGATTCTAAGCAGGATCCTACTAAAGACCGATGTGCCACCTGTAACTGCCCCGAAAATAAATCTAGAGGACGACACACAGTACCTTTGTTTCCTGTGCCTCGAGAAACCAGCCACTCGAAAGCGAGTCTATCACATGTTCATAACGACGGAAAAGGAGTTGGGAAAGGACTACGAAAAGACGAGGCAGCTCTACGAAAATCGGAAGGAGTTCAAATATGTCAACAACATTTCCGTGCAAACAGTCTGTGCACGGGCTCTGTACCGCCGAGTTCAGAATAAGTTCACCGATGTGCAGTGGAATAAGCTGGGCAATGTGTTTGAGATTGATAAGGTCGGAATTATGGATATCTGGGGCATTTCTGACCGAGTTTATGCCATGCGGACCGAGGAGCATGAAAGACTATTTAATTACATCAAGTTTATACACTCTACGAAGTGTTAAATTTTCGTTTTTAATTTTTCACTAGTTTAAATTGTGATATCTTGTATTAATTTTTTGTATTAAATCGCTTCCTTGCACATACTTCAAGCATGTTAGATTTTAAATTGTTTGATTACAGTAACTTTCTGTAGCTTATCTTAAATTGGGTGAACCCGTAGTGACTCAACAGTTGCTCCAAAATGTACCCGTTGGTGGCGAAAAACACGGCGCCCTGCGCTCCGATCCAGTAAAAAGTGTTCCACGTCCGGAACTCCAGCAAATAGGCCGGCAGCAGCCACAGTGCCTGGGCGAGCAGCCAAAGGCAGAGGAGAGTAAAGCACCTTCTCCACGACAGCAGCTTAAAGTTGTTCAAACAGAGCGGTAGGATGGCCAGGTACCAGATGAAGTACTGCGAGGTGACCACCGAGTTGTACGTGACGATGACGAAGGCCAGGGCAAAGATGCAGAACGGCAGGGTCTGGCGGAACTGGCCAAAACTCAGGCTCAAGTAGAGGATGAGCAGGAACTGTGGGGCAACCACTAGGAGTTTCAGGATGGCAGAGGGTTCGGCCATACTAGATGCACTGCCCAGATACTGCAGAAGGAACTGCAGCGAAAAGTTGTGTCGCGAGTCCTTGCGTACAAAGTGATACAGATAAGCCTCGTAGATGTAATCCCAGCCGTACATCGAGTAGAATGTGTAGGTGAAGCCCACCAGACTGACGAGTGTTCCGATCACCAGGCACAACTGTTGCCTTGTTGGGACGCAGGATTTGGCACACGAAATCGAGGGGTGTTTGTGTGAGGCGTGTGGACAGTGACAGATAGTACGCCAAACTAAACAGCAACGGATACAGACGCAGATGGATCACCAGGCCGTGAGCCAAGCCCGCGCAGAATATAAGCCAGTGACTCCTGGCGACATTGTGCTCTGATTTTAGCAACAGATAGATGGTGAGTATCACGAAGAAGCTTGAGAAGCAGTCGCCGCTTCCACGGGTTGAGATAACAGCCGTCAGTGGATTGTAGAGCCAGAAGCAGGCAGAGGCGCGGGCCAAGTTCTCCGGATGGCTTCGTGCGTCCAGAGCGTCCAACGATTGATCCGACTCCCGTGGCCTGTTGAACTTGCTCAGCAGATGCTGCACGGTCTTCTGGTACTGACTCTTGATCTCCATGTGCACCAGGCGGTAAATCAGCGTGGCGATGAGTAGATCGAAGGTGGCATACAATAGCTTACCCCACGCCGGATGGAGCAGTACGTTGAGCGTCTGCAGGTAGGCCATAATCGGGCTGTAGCGGTAAGTGTGCCTGGCGAAGGGCGTGTCGCCATCCAGCACTCGACGAGCTCCATCCGTTACCACTTTATAATCTATATCCGTGTAGGGCACGGCAGACTGACTGTCGTGTATTTGTCCGTAGCAAATTAAAGAGATCCGCAGCAGGGCGGAGATTAGGATATGGGTGCGAAAGCTGGTCTCAAGGATGCGACGACCCAGTCGCTGCCATCCCGATGTCGCTATCTTTGTTTGAGGCATTGTGTTTATTATTGCTTCGTGATTGTCTACAGCTTGGTCTTCATTTCCTGGGCGCTCTTGCGGATGCAACTGATGAACTCCTTGAACTCGGCGTCACAGATCTTGTGCTGAACGTTCAGATCCCGCGTCACGCACACCGCATAGGCAGTGGCCTTGTCGGCACACTTGGTCAGCAGGAGCGGATAGTTGCGCAGTCGTTGGTTGGCCTTGCGCACCGATTCCATGTCTCAGGAAGTCGGGAACTCAGCGCTTGTGCGGCGGCACCTTGATCTCCAGCGGCGGCAGGGGATCGGCGATGAAGCAGTCGTACAGGGGCTTCGAGAAGAAGATCAGCAGCGAGCCGGTGAGGAAGGAGATCTGGAAGAGGCGTGGATTCCGCTGGATCCACGAGCGTTTGGGCAGCACAGCGGTACGCCTGCGCTGATTGGCCTGTTGCTGCTCCTTTTTGTCTAGCAAGTCTTGGATTTCCTTGGGAGGTTTATACTGCGGTGTGGTCATTATTTGTGTCTGTAAAGGGTGGGAGCATATTGGAGTACCGTTGATTATAAAGATCTTGTCCAGAACTTACGACTTGCCGGTTGGGTTCTGCTGCCCCTTGGATGCTTCTGGCTTGTAGGACTTTTCCAGATCGATTCCACTGCAGCAAAGCGATTCCTTATGCCACTTTAGACAGCACTGGCGCATCGCCTCCAGGACATCCAAGCACTTGTCCTCCTGGTAGTGATTCTCTGCAATGAGTTGCGTCAGCTTACATAATCATGCAAAAATGGAGTCATTGCCGGCTGCTTACCGTTCAGGCAGGCTTGAATGCGGCAGGCGTTGGCTTTGCAAGGATCCTTGCGCGTGTTAGACATGTAATCCTGCCCCTAGTTCCTGAGATTTTAAATCCCAATTGCAAATGTGTGAAAAATACAGGCTGTCAGATGTGCTGCTTCTTCTTTCCTTTTCTTGGCGGTTCTAGCCATTCGCAGTGCCACGAAACAAGGTTGCCAGATCGGACGAGGGCTCGCTGTAAACTTAATAAATAAAAGCAAAATAAAAAACCATTAAATAAATAACAGCAAAAAGAATTATTGCTTTAATTTCAGAGTAATTTTTTGTTTTTTTAAAATATTATTTTTATTTCCAGCTAGTTCCCAGTGAATACCCCGCCTGCTGCCACTCACCCACCCACGCCCACATTCGGGCACCAAGGAACTGTTCTTGTGTGAAAAACACACACACATTTGTTTTATTTCGCTAGGACCCTCGACGATTACTTCACAAATCGGAAAATGCCGTCGAAAAAGAAAAAATACAACGCACGCTTTCCGGCGGTAAGTGGAAATCCCGGTGGGCGGCAGGAAAACCGCCGCTATTTGGCGGCCATGAACGCCGAAGATGGGTTATCAGTTTTCGTGCATGTGTGTACATATGTACATCTGTGCATACATACAAACACGCCTCGCATAATCAGAGGCTCGAAAAAAACAGAACAGAAACCGGGTGCTCAAGATTATAATGTGTTTCCCTATATACAATCCATTATAGGGCCGCATCAAGAAGATAATGCAGAGCGACGAGGAAATCGGGAAGGTGGCCCAGGCGGTGCCCGTTATCATCTCGCGCACGCTGGAGCTCTTCGTGGAGTCGCTGCTGACCAAGACGCTGCGCATCACGAATGCGCGCAACGCCAAGACGCTATCGCCATCGCACATGAGGCAGTGCATCGTGTCCGAGAAGCGTTTCGACTTCCTCAAGGAGCTGGTGCGCAACATACCCGACATCAGTGTCGCCGAGGAGGCCGCCTACAACGAGGACGATGTGCTGCGCAGCTCCCCGGAGGATCAGTACCCCGATTCGGACACGCCATATGATCTTAGCCTGCCATCGACGTCCATGCGCTCGCAGGCGAACGGCACCGCCGCCGCCTATATGCGCTCCATGAGTCTGAACAATGGAGCCGGGATGGGCGGAGGCACCTCCGCCACCAAGCGGCAGTATCAGCCACAGCCTGCGCACATCAACCATCCAAATCCCATCACCACCACCACCACCCTGCCCGCCAAACTGGCCCGTTCCGAGTCCACGCCGGCCTACACGCCCCGCGGCCGGCCGCCCAATCACCTCAAGAAGCAGTCGATGCAGCTCGACACTGCCATACCTGCCCCGATCTGCAGCTACGAACTCAACAAGCCCATCGTGAAGATCGACTACAGCCACATGCAGATGCAGATGCCCACGACGAACCTCTGCACACCGGATGCCTCTGATTCCGGATCGGGATCTGGCGCCGGTTCCGGGGCCTTCAACTTTGACATCGCCGCGCCGGTGATCAATATCGATCTGACGAATATCGTGGCCCCTGGAGGAGGAGTAGGAGCGGCGGGCAGCCGAATGCACCCCACCACCACCGCCACGGATAACAACAACGTGAACCAAATGGCTGGAAAGAGCAGCGCTCCCATCATTCCAAAGGCCACCGCGGCATCAGCGACCCCCACTGAAACCGTTTTCGAATTAGACGAAGACTATGACAATATTTGATTAGGATCTATGTGAATGCGCTTTTAAATTATTGATACATTAATATGTACTCTAGGTCTAAGTAAACACACTAACCTTTTTTTGCAAAATAAAGACCATGCTGGATTTTAAGCTGACAAAATGGACAATTTATTAAATAAGCGTATCATCATAGTAGGTAGGAATCGTCAAAGAATCAGATTTTTTAAATACCTAATGTCTATTTTCCACCTAAACTGTACTATAAATTAAGTAAAATGTTTCAATTTATGAAAAATGTGGAGAAGCCGCCTCTTGGCGACCGAAAGTCGTATATGCCCATTCCAGAAGCCAAGTTAATAGGCGAAGTCGAGCGATACATTGCCCAGCCGGAGTTTTTTTCGGATGTTCAAGTGACAATAAAGTTGCAACGCATCTTCTATTTGCAGTACAGCGAACTGGCTGCCAAGTTGGAGGTTGATCTTACAGCGGTTTTAACGCGTTTGGATGCTGCCAAGAATAATTTGGAACTGGTAAAGAAGTTCATGGACAATCCGGGTGAGGAGTTCCAGAGCCTGGTGCAAGTAACCCGTGGAGTATTCAGATGGGTTACCGTTTTGCCAGTGAAAAAGGTTACCCTTCAAGTGGGCTCGGCTCTGCAAATGGATTTTGATCTGCCGGAGGCGGAGGATTTTATCAAAAAGGACATTACAACCTTGGTCAAGCAGCGACTGCAACATGAGCACGATATTGACTTTTTGCAGGATCAGGTGAACACAATCGAGATGAACCTAGCTGTTTTATACAAGCATTGTCTCGATAAGGAAAAGCGAGCTTTGGAAGGAGGTTTGACTGGTTTTTCTTCCGGTTCTTAGCAAGGAAAGGTTTAAAAATTCGTTGTTTAAACATTTCAAGGATCATATTTTTCAAGCCTTTTATTGCAGAATATGTCAAATTTAATGTTACTGAATGATATTTTTTTCAAAATTAAAGAAAAAGGTCTTTAAATGACAACTTTTTAATCATAAAAATTTAAATTTTAATTTAATGTGAACAAAAATAACAACATAGTTGCTTTTAAAAACCAATATTTTTTAATATTTCCTTTTTTTATTTATGTTTTTTTATAAAAATCAACACATTAAAATCGATTTTATATATCTATCTCCCTCCCCCTCCCTTTAGCTGAGTTACAATTTTTTTTCGGGACACCAACCCCACACACCCCCCCCCCCCCTTTTTCTTAGAAAGGTAATATAAAAAAAAAAAAAAAAAAAAACAAAAAAATTTTTTTTTTTTTTTTTTTTTTTTTTTTTTTTTTTAAATATTTACAAGATTTATAAGTAAAATTTATATAGTAAAGTTTAAAAATAAATAGCTTTTGCTAAAAAATATATTTAAAAACGATTAATTTAAAGAGTTATCCAATTCAAACTCTCAAAATGGCTTTATTTATATATTATCCCTCCTTATAGGCCGTAATTGCTTGGAGTTTCCCTTTAATATATACATTACAATTACACCATTAGTCTTAAAGAGGTCAGAAAGTCGGGACCGCGGGATCCTACTTCGTGCCCTACTAAATAGTGACCTTTATTTTACCGCGTTTAGGTATTTATAAGCGTATACACATCATAATAATTATTACTTAATTTCGCCAGGGAGTACCGCTTAGTCATTGTGTAATCCTCGGTCACAGCCAATTACAATTGAATGCCTTTCAATCCCCTTCGTCCAGCTGTAGGATTTCCTCTAGCATTTCGTATATTCGCACACGCAATCTGCCAGCCACAATTGATATTAATTTGTGGCCAAAGTGGGTCAAACTAAGGAACTTCCCACCTCATAAGCACACCAAATAATATGGCAGAGGACAAGAAACTGACAAAATTGAGGAGCCTGAGGAGCAAAGTTAAATATCGCGTGGGAAAATCTTATTGCAACCGAAATTGCCCGCCGCTCCCAAAGGTGCAGTTTCGAATTATATGAATTTTCAGCCACATGGGTTCGGCATAATTGATTAGGGTCAGCAATATGATTAGCCAAGCCCAGATTAGATGGCTAATTCCCCAGTAGCCAGCAGTTTAAATGGCTTCTTCTGGGGAACTTCTTCTAGTGGAATGGCAATTGAATGGAAAACCTGGATCTGCACACCTGCATTCGTGGACTCCACTATGTCCACCTGTCTTGAGTCATGGCGAAAAAAGTTTGAAACAATAAAAACAACTTGCGGCGCGCCGCCAGTGCCAAGTTTTCATGTCCAAGGCGTATTTATGTCAACCGGAAGTAGGTTTACTGACCCACGTATACCCGTGCGGGCTGCCCAAACGGACTTCGGCTTTATTCGGGGGTTTCTTCACGGGACCCGAGTGGTCAGTACGCGGAGTTCCAGAGCGCAGGACGATGTATAAGAAGGTATTTGCCCACGGCGGATTAGTTTTTCTACGAACGGCGAGTGCAGTGCATCGGATCAATGCAAATGCGCGTTGAATTTTTTGGGTATTCAGTTTTTTATTTAAAAAGTGTTATTTTTTTGTTTAATATTTTTCACAATAACTACAAATAACGGGCGATCTAAAAACTATACAAAACTAATTAAAAGAGTGCTTAAAACCTGATAATACGTCGGCTAAATCGAAATCGCCTAAAAGTTTAAAACTCCTTCGTGAAAAGAAAAAGCCTAAAACAATTAACTCATAGATGTCTCTAGGAATTCCCCGAGTTGTGACTCCGTGACTCCACTTTTTGCTGGACTTGGGGTTCGAGTTGGTGGGAGTTGGCCAAAAAGGGGCGGTTTCTGGGTGGCTAACACGACATTAGCCAAGGATTTTCCCGGCACTGCCACTTCAAAGTGCCCCCTATTTCAGGGGGGCTCTCGAGGGTTTGGCTTCGGTGGCCTGTGTTTGCACACATACCTGTCTTTAAGCGTTATTGCTGCCATTGCCGTTGTTGTCTTGATGTTGCAACAGTGCCCGGGTGGCCCGGCCAGGCCAAGGAGTTGTAGCTTTGGGCCAAGTGTTGTTGACTCCTAGCCGCTGCACAAGGCAACGCGCAATTTGTTGCGGTTTTGACCCTATTCCAAAGCCAAGGAAAAGTGCAGTGTACTCGGCTAGGGGCTTCGTACTCGGCCGAGTACGGGAAAATCGTTCTTAGGTGGAGCATATCATAGTATTTATAAGGAGAGATCCTATAGCGAAGTGTTACTTTTTTTGGTAAATGATATTAATACCTATTTAGTTGAATAAAATATGTAACTGCGGTATAAAATATATGACTCCAATTTTAGGATCTGTCAAAATCAATACATTTTTCATTACATTTCATATCGAATGTAAAAATGCAAAGCGATCACAGTAAAATCCATGTAATTTATCAGAATTTTTAGTATTAACCTTTGAAAGGTTTATCTTTAATTTTGAATGAAATTTAAAATCTAAGGGTAAACTGCCAAAATCATACTAGTAATCCAACATTCAGTTAATACATTTTTGAAAACTGTCAGACGGACTTTTTTGATACAGTTTAAATCGCTTGAGAAATCCAGTCTTTCAAAATGCCTCTTTTTTGCAATATATCTACTAGATAATAACTACCTTTCATTAGTTAGTATGGTAATATGGTTGCCTATTTTAATTATATTTCCTCTTAATAAATATAATTAAAAAAAGCAACCATATTTTTATAATAGTAAATCAAATTAGCATCTGAAAATACTTTGTTAAGTGTGCATTCAAGTGAAACGAGCGAAAGTGCGTGATTGTTTCACATGCGTGCATTTAGTAGATCACTGCCATCGAAATCGAACTGCGGGGCATCCCGGGCAATATGAAAAATGAGTGAGCTGAGCTGAGCTCCTCCATGGGGCAGTATAGTATAGGAATACGAGTGCTTGAACATCGCGTGCCACAGACATACCAACAGGTGTCACAGCCTGCCAGGGGAAATAATCAAAAGTTGTCTAAGAGGCAGAAAAAGCTGAAAAAGAAGCACACGCCGAGCAGATGAACAAAACATGCAAACAACTAATGCAGCCGCCTCGCAGAGCGGCGAAAAGCGGAAAATTCGCGTGAAAAAACTCGCGGCGAATTGGCTTCCCCCGGTTGCTTTTCTTTTCGGCTTTTCAGTTCGCTCAAACCCCGTCTCAATATCTCAGCGGGTCTGCGTGTGCAAACTGCTGGGGAATGGAATTGTGTGTGGGGCCATTCATTGTGTGCTGTTTTGGATTTGAAGTGTATAGTAGGCAATATTTCTCCTGAAGGCCTGCCTTTTTGCTCACTTACCGCTGGGCGGCCATCAGTTTAAGTTAGGCAGCGGCCACGTTTCGTCGCGTTTCCATTATTTGTTGCGGCTTTTCAGCAAATACATTCTATTTCGGAAATATTGTGTAAACTTTAAAACCAAATGTAAATTATATAATGGGCTCTGAGAGCTCTGAGAGCTTAAAACAAAAGAAAAGGAAGCCAGTGTGGACGTGGCAGTAATTAAGAGACGTTATTCAAGTGTGACCGAGTCCTAATGAGATGCAGGAAAACTGCGTGTAATGCGACAAACGGTTTAAAAATACAAAACCCAATTCGCGAATGGGCAGCTAAAATCAAGGAGCCGGCCAACTCCGCACACGCGTCATGGCCACAACAAGAAATATAAAAAAAAAAACAAAAAAAGCCGGCCAAGTCACTTCCTGTGGCCCAAAGTGTGTCACCGAAATTCGAGCGTCGGGCCATAAAATGTAGGTTAAATATTAGGCAGAGGAAAATCAATGCGAACAAAGGCCATTCATTCACACCTACCTTTCGGCCCAACACCTTCTTTCCCGGGCTACGTCATTCTGCAAAAATATCTGCGTACTCAGATGGGAGCCACACAGCTCCAATTAAAACATCGCTTATTTTTGGGTGATAGTCTCAGCCCGCTGGCTTTGGCTTCCACATCTCCCGGGTCGTTCGACTTCAAGTGCAGTCACTAATGCGGCAATTTGCAACATGCAATCCCGGTGCAGCCAAGCCAAAGCCGAAGCCGAAGCAATCGCAATGCAATTCCCTTTCCCCCGGGGGCTGTTGAGACCTCCTCATCAAGTTATGCTCTCGTTAGCGCCCAGCCAAGACAAGCTAAAAGGCGTTTGGGAGCTACAGATTGGGAGCCATATAGCAGGTGCATTCCATTCCTTGCCATACCATACCATACCGATTCCAAATCCAATGGTTCGGGGCGGGTTTATCAGCGCCTCACACGCAGCTATTTATAGGAGTGAAATGGCATTAGAAAATAAAGCCGTGCAATAATAATTACTCTACTGTTTTTCGCCATAACCAGTGATGTTGGAAGGGGAGCTATCTAGGCAGTTGTACCTAATTACTTGTTTTTAATATTTATCCATTAAAAAAAACTGTAAAAAATGTGGGTTTAATTGGGAAATTATTATATTGGGTAAACATACTTTTATTGCCATTTTCTCATCTTTATGCTATGCTAAAAATGGGTTTTAAACTAAGAAAGTTAATTGATAATTTAATAGTTTGAGTCTAGCTTAACATAACATAAATATATATCTGTAGTTCGCTGAACATTTTTATTGAACTATACTTTTTTTAGATATTTTACTTGCCAGTTAAAAAAGATACAGCTTTCAGATAACCAGAAAACTTAATAAGTTCAAAATACCTACAATGTATCAAAGAGATTTGAGAAATATTTTAATAATTAAATTAAATACCTATAAATAATATGGTCAAATGTAATATTATACTCAAGAACGTCTTATATCAATGTAACTAGGTAAACAAATCTATGTAGTACCTTTCCCATCACTGGGAATCGCCAATAGAACCGGCAGTCCTTCAGTCTCGCTCTCCGGTTTTTGGTCTTGGGTCTCCGGTTTTGGGTCTCTTTTGGGTCGTAGTCGTACTCCGTAATCCTTTGGCGAAGGCGTCGCGTGTACGTCTCTCTGACATTGCAAAAAGCCGGAAGGTCTCGCTGGTCTGTCTGTAAAATCAAAAGATGTGTGCAAACGGTTGGGTGTTGTGAGTGATTTTTAAATACATTCTGTTGCTTCGAATAAACAGCTCCTGGCGTCATTGGTTTTGTGGCACTTAAACTGAGCAGCCGAAGGACGAAAGCGAAGGGGGTATAACTATCCTGCGTGGGAATCCATATACCCTTCCACCATCCACTGAATTTCGCGCTAAAAACCAACAATGGATAGAAAGTCTTCATAGTGAACGCATGAGGGCCGGAGATCGGTTAGCACCCATGTCAAGCCATGCAGCAGACCCTCTCGTACTCATCATCATCGCTATCACCATCCCCCTCCCCGATGCCCAAGCCATCCGCATCAGCAGAAGCGTCACCGCCACCGCCACCGATCCCGAATCCCAGCCTAAATCCCAGTTCGAATCCCAGCCCGCGTCCCAGGTCCACAGGCGGCGATTCCAGATTCCAGCCGTCCGTCATCCCGGTGGACTATAGCTATCGCACCCACACCACCCGCTCCATTCTCTCCGCCCAATCGATGGCTCCGTCCACCTTCGCCTCCAACCAGAGCTTCGTCCGCCAGCCCTCGGAATCGGATGTCCAGCCGTATAGCAGTCTATTTGGGGACCCAGTTCCTCCACCCCTTCAATCCGATGATTACTTTGGATCGGCGGCCTTTGAGACGTTGCGAACGGCATCGGTGGAACTACCGAGCTCCGAGGAGGATGCACTGGTGGCCGCCGTGGCGCTGAATACACTGCTACCCGGCGCCAGGGAACGCATCTTTCCGAGTGTTCCCTATGCGAGGACTCCAAGGGGATCCCTCCTGCCGTACCTGCAGCCACCCGACATCCAAATCCTGCCCAACTCGAGCGGTGGTTCCAGTTCGGAGCAACTGGGATCGCCCAACTATCGACTCCTCGCACCCGACGACATCCTCAACAAACCGGACATGTACGATCTGGAGAACGAAGTCGAAGAGTACACCGTGGTGGGTCAGAGGATGTCCTTCGACGGGCAGGAGGAGGGGGAGGAGCCGGCGAGGACTCCCAGCCAAGCGCCTCCGAAGTTGAGTGTGTCCAGCATTACGACGGAGGATCACAGAGGGTGGGTATGGTTTTAAACCAAGAATATCTAAATATATTTCAAATAATCTTAGCTTGCTTATTTAAATACTCATTTTAATAATATACTTCCCATTTAACATTTTATACGTTTTTAAAATTCTTACGTCCTTTAAATGATTTTTACCCATAAAATATTTTTTTTTCGCTATTTCCTTACCATGAAAAGAGTACCCTTAAACGTTCTTAAACTTAAAAAACCCTTTTAGAATATTTAATATTAATAATTTAAGAATATTAATTTAGTTTTACTTAAGTTTTTACGTTAATTGCCTTTTCAATATTAATTGATTACCTATTTTCCTTTTCCGTGTCTTTTATCCTATGAACCTTTACAATTAATCGTTTTCTCCTTTATGTATTACTTTTTGTCTTTAATAATCTTATTAATTAAGACTTTGTTCGAAAGTCAAATTAATATTGTGTACCCTTATAATGATTGCTGAATTTATTGTTTTAAATCATTTTATCGACATTGTATTCTTGATATTATAAAAATAATTATTGTATTTATAATCTCAAAAAATCCTTTCAGTTTGCTGAGTGACTCCTATTCTGGCCGGGACTGGTTCCGTCCGGCGCCGCAGCATTTTCCCGAGTTCACGCGCATCCCACGACTACGTCCCAGTTCCAAGAATATCATGTCCATGAAACAGGACGAGGGACCGCTCTCCCCGCTGGCCACCATGATCCAGGACATGAACAGCTCGAGCAGCGGAGGCGAGGAGCGGGTGGCGCCCAGTGAAAAGCTGTCAGTCACCAGGGACGTTGTACTCTCACCGCAGCAATTTTTGGAGGAGCAGATGGGTCTGGAAATGGGTAGCCAGAGGCATTCTCTGGAGGACTATGGAATGCCATCGCCCCCGGCTGCCCCGCCCCCTTTCCACAGATCAAGGACACAACTAATGGATCAGGAAGACAACCAAAGCGTGGAGCCTGCTCCAAGCTTAAAGCGGGAAATGTCACCCATCATCATCAGGGATTCCATTCCCATGGGAGGAGATTATAGGTTCGACATTTATAAATCAATCTAGGCTACAGTAATATCCTTATATCTCATATCTCATCCTTTAGAGTGGACCAGCCGCGTCCGCACAAGAAGACTGCTTTCACCATTCTTTCCACGGCCCAGGCGGTTCCGACTGCGCCAAGGATTCCCAAGGATTCCATAACCAGCCGAAGACACGCCTCCATTCAGTCGACATCGACGACTACCTCATCGCCGGCCGGCAGACCACAGATCAGTCCACGCCGGAGATCCATCTATGGCTCCGATCCCCGACTGCCCGAGTTGAACTCCTCCATTACCAGTAATCACCACCTCCTCCAGCAGATGACCACGGATGACTCGCCACGTCCCTCGGTGCAGTTCAATATGAGTGGACGGCACAGCCGGAGCAAGCTGGCCATTCCGCAGAAGGGCATCCTCCAGCAGCGGGACTCGCTGACCTCCTCCATCGACACCTTTACGCCGAGAGCTCAGGTCAGGAGAGGATCCATGGGCAGGAGTCCCACCCACAGTCTGCTCCTCCCCTATGGCCAGAAGATCAGGAGCATGGAGACGCTGCCGTTGATCACGGATCCGCATCGCAGCTCCATTCCCCGCCTGCACTACGGCTCCACCATGGATCTGGGCACCCCGGAGCCGGCTGTCTTCCCACCCGGAGCACTGCCGCGTCCACTTAGGCCAAATCTGAATCCCACGCGAAGGCAGCGCGGCCTGCTGAAGATCATCAACAAAGAGGAGTCGCTCAACCCGCCGCGTTCCAACTGGTGCAGTTTGGATGACCTCAGCAGACCCTCCTTCGATGCGGGAACTCCCAAAGCCCAAACACCGCAGGCCATTAGACGTCGCTCCAGCTCCACTTCGCCGGAACGTCGGAGTTCCACGCAAACGGCCTCGGATCGGAGGAGCTCGAATTTGAGTAGCGTCACTGCCACCACCTCGGATTTCAGTTTCCGCCGTCCCACGCTCTCCACACTGCCAGCGTCTCAAACGCTCTCCAGGTTGCGTCGCAAATCGGATTCAGGCACCGAGTCCCAATAGGTTGCCCAACAGGATTCCCAGCTTTGGTCAGAGGAGGCAGTCCATCTATCAGAGGGATCGGGATAGGATTGCCAAGCCCAGCACATTGTCACCCATAATTGGAACTCCCAACAAGGATAGTAGCTCTGCGCACAGTCCCACCCATAGGAGCTCACTAATGGGTGATGCCGCCGAGACTCCATCGGAGGTTTCTACAAGGAGGGATTCGATCTCCCGCATCCCGATAAGAAAAAGTCCCGAATCTCGCTCCAGTTCACCACTGAAAGATTTCGGAATCACTGCCTCCGGACGAAGTTCAAGGAATAGCATTAGTAGGTCTCCTTCGAGGGGCATGAATCGTTCGCCTTCGAGATCCTTGCATCCCAGCAGAACGCCTTCCAGGGAAAGTGGAAGACCTGGTGGGGATTCGCGATCCGCTTCCAGGGGACCACCTTCCAGGCCAAGCTCTCGATTGGATCAGGTCAGTTCCCGCGTGGAAAGGTCAAGTTCCCGCTTGGAAAGGTCCAGTTCCCGCGTGGAAAGATCCAGTTCCCGCTTGGAAAGATCCAATTCCCGTTTAGATATGAGCAATTCCAGGGGTAATTCCCGTGGAAACTCACGTGCTAACTCCCGACTGAGCATCAACTCCTCACTGAGATCCTCCAGCATTTCACCCGCCACCATGGCCAGGAACAGGAGCATGCGAGCCACCACGCCCAGTCGCCGGAAATCCATCTCCTTGAGTCCAGCAAATGCGATGATGATGGGTCGTCGGAAATCCATTAGTCCCGAGGCTTTCACTCAAAACAGAAGAGTTTCCAGTCGGGGAAAGCAGGAAGTTCCAGAGATCCTGTCTCGTAGGAACTCGCGTTCCCGTATTCCCACCAGATCGACCAGTAAAGTCGCCTCCAAGTCCCCGCCGTCTTCCTTCAAGAAGAGATCGAAATCGCCGGAGAAAGTGAAAACCATGGGAATGACGTCTAGTAAAAGTAAAGCTGCTAAGGTGACAACCACCAAGGGAAGCCCCAAAGCGAAGCCCAAGATCCCTGCAAGTGCCAAACCAAAGACCAAGACGGAGTCCTCCATGAAACCACCAGCTAAGAGTGCTAAGAAAACTCCTACAGGACCTAAACCAACCACTGAAGGAAAAAAGCCAACTGGCAAGGCGATTCCACCGAAGGATGCAAAGATGGAGAAGGGAAAGGAGAAGGTCAAGGAGGCGGGAAAGAGCAATGGGACCAAGGAGCCAGTGCCTCCAGTGCGAACCAAAAACCAGGTTACTAAGAGCAAACCCACTGGAGAAACTACAAAGGAGAACAAGAAACCACAAGCCACCACAAAAGCCCTTGGAATAGCGTTGGAAAAAGGAGCTAATGGTTCCGAATCCGCAGGTGGGATACTGGCTGCCCAGGTGGGAAACGCAGTGCTCCAGGCGGTTGAAGCAGTTCCCGCGGTCACCAGCGAGGTAAACGTGCCCTCAACCCCAGGTGGCAAAGGATCTGGAGGAGCCAACATGTCCAAATTGGTGCGCATGAGCTCCAGGATGAGCCTGCTGAGCAACAAGAGCACCAAAAACCGATCGGATTCGCCACAAAACCGAAAGGTGGCCACCGTGCAGGAACTGGCCAATGAAACTGAAGGTGGGTCTTTCATACTCCCTACAAGAAACATCTAAATACCTATTACTTCTTTTAGAAAAAGTTGCTACCAGTTCACAGCAACCCATGTCCAATGATGCCGCTGCCATTCTGGAAAAGTCGCAGAAAACCCTGGAGAATATTCAGAAAACCGTCACCGAGGCCACCGACGAGATCCACAAGACCATTACCGAAAATCTCACCGATCTGAAGAGTCTGGAGAATGACCTTGCCGCCGATCCTTCGCCCACTCCCGGTTCTGGAACCATTTTGGCCAGACCCGGTGAATCCGCCTCGCGAACTGGCACCGCCGATGGAAGCATTGCTCCTCAGAGTTCAGGGGAGCTGCCCAAATCCCCGTTTCCACCCACGCAACCTATCGAAGCCTCCGTCTCGGTTCTGCATCCCAATGAAAGCTCCGCCGATCGAATTGCCAGTGTGCCGGAGGTGGACTGCGAGAGTTCCGATCTTCCAACGGTGCTAGATGCATCCGAATCCGATCTGGGTGCCAATGTAATGCCCACGCCCGAAAGTGGAGCGGACTTTAAGGTGGACGCAAAGCGGAGATCGCCAGACGGACAGGGAGGATCCACTGCGGGAAGCGGCGGTCTTGCCAAGTGAGTAAACAAAGGGTGGGAACACGATAGGCATAGATTTAAGAAGAGAGAGAAGGGAAGATTTACTAAGAGTTAAGGGGTTTCTTAGGCACCCTGATAGTTACGAATTGTCAAGTGGGTCACAGTATTCTAACCAACTAAACCCTAAAGCCCTCTAAGTCCTCTTATGAGGTTTACTTTTATTTCCCGTTACTCGTAGAATGGAAAAGTGACATATTAAATAGTCGTGCAACAAAGTTTTTGTTATGTAACTTTCAATCTTTTTGGTTAAAGAATGGGTTCAAGCGTTTCCAAAAGACCCTATAAACTATATACCTATTCTTGATCTTTTAGGATCTTACAATAGCCTTTAGAAAGTCGTAATTCTAGCCATGTCCGTCTGTCCGTACTGTCATGAAATCGGTCTGTACTGTCTGTCTGTCTGTTTCTGTTTGTCTGTACTGTCTGTCTGTATGAACGCTGAGATCTTCTGGAAACTACAAAAGCTAGGGGGAAGATTGACATATTTTTTGATTACATGCAGATTTCTAGGATTACCTACGCAGCGCATAGTTTGTTTTAAAAGGGTTTATTTAAAACTTTTCCACCTACATAACGGGCCAAAATAAGCTATCGCTTCAAAATATCACGATTTTAAAAATTTCAATATTTTGGAAAAGTCAAAAAATGCATTTTTGTTGTGTTTAAAAATACCTATTCCGAAATGTAGAAGAAATTTTTTAAATCGGATTCCATTTTTATAAAAGTTACAAAGTCGGATCAAAGGCTTTTATCCTCCATCTCCTTCGCATTCCCTTTAGCTGAGTAACGGGTATCTGATAGTCGGGGCACCCGACTATAGCGTTCTCTCTTGTTTTTTATTTTGTTTTGTCAAATTAAAAATAGTATACAATACTAAATTTAGTAGAAAAATGGCACTGGAAACTGAAGTCCTTCGGCCGGGCTCTTATGAGGTTATATATTTATTTCACTGAAAAGTGAATGGAAAAGTTTTTTTTTTTTTTTTGTAACTCATATAATTTTACATTGATAAGCCAAATTAATGGCTATAAAACGTATAGTATAAATAGAAACAAACAACAATACAAAACGCATTACTGTTTCAGGACACGTGAGACATGACATGAATGGAAAAGTTACATTTAAAAAGTATGCAACAAAGTTTTTGATTGAAGTAATCTTTCAATCTTTTTTGGTTAAAAAATGGGGTATTCAAAAAGTGTTTAATAAAAAAAAAGATCGGAGAAAATTCTCAAAACCAATTTATGGGTCTACATCTTTTACGATCGTTACATAATAATAAGACTTCTAGAAAGTGTAATTAAAATTGTTCCTAGCAATACTACATCTTTTATTTAATTTTAAACATCTCTTAGAATATAATATTTAAGGACTGCAGATTTTCCTAAGGTAACTTATAAGGTTAAGTCCCATTCCCCCTTCAATGACCTTTCAGAACCCCTTTTATTCGTTACTACACATACTTAATATACTTTTACTAAACACCTTGAGAATGGTTATTGTCCTGTTGTTGTCGCCAAAGGACCCACCGACAAACCATTACTAAATTCCCAATGTTCGCTATGACCATTATGAATATTCATCAGTCAAGTCGCCACACAATCTGTCCGTTTCTACTCAGCCATGATTTGAATGTTTCGGCGGGAAGGCTGACCAGAATGACTACTGATACTACTAACATTTTGCCTCGACCCTAGGATCCCCACATAAAGCACCAGCCAAGGCTTACAGCGCCTGGCCAGCCAATTTACATACAGGAAACCCCCAGAGGGGATGGGGTTGGTAGTTAGTTGGCCAACAACTATGATACATAAAACTTTACAGTGCCGTGTGGGCAGGAGTTCCGTGCCCTAGACGCTGCTGGCACAGGTCCGTCAAGCCACTCATAAGTGCGTCAATAAATTTCGAAGAGGAAAAGGTGGGAATGGGTTGGCCAAGACCCTAGACCCTCTAGCACTCACCCAAAAGAACCGCCTTTGAGGAAATCCGTTCGTCGGCAGGTCGCGAAGTCCCAATCGCCGTCGCAGTCGGCGAAGGTAACGATGTCCTTCAGTGCATTGTTTTCCAACCGAGCCATGCGAGAAACCCGCAAGAAAACCGTGTGACCGACCAGCGTTACAGTGGGTATTCCCATATTCGGAAAATCAATTTCCCCTTGGGAACTTAAGTCCACTCTCCGCCAGAGCCCACTGTACAGTATAGCGTGCGCGGAAAACACGGGGAAAGTATTTTCGCAACACGGCTTAAGTTTCTTGCCGCAATAACAAATCAGTTCGGGCCGGACAATCGCGCCAACCGCAGCACTAACTCGCTGGGAAATTCTTTCGGAGCTCGGAACTCGGAAAACTCACCAGTCGATGATTTCCCAGCAATTAATACGAAATAACCAACCAAGATAATTCGGCAAAATTCGAAATGCTGAACGGAACGCCCAATAACGCGGTCATTTACACGGTGGATCTGGCCCAGGATTCGTTCATTGATGGCGACAAGTACTTCTTTAGGTAATTAGGCACGAGATCCAATTATAGGCTATCGCTGGAAGTCATCTGATGACCTTCGGCAGGCATTTAAGGCCCCAAGAAAGTGCGGAAAACTTACTCCATTCATTTCGACTGTTTCGCAGTATTGTTTGAATTTCGAACAGGAGCGGGTCAAATAAATTTCCGACCTCCAAATTGCGTTTGGTCGTTGGCTCGTGCACAACGGAATTACAGGCGTGCTGTGGTTCAGGAATAAATATATATATAGTATATACACTTTCACTTAGCAAAGCCACGGGCATGGACCCATAAAGAAATTGTGTAAGCGTCCGAATAGCAAAACTCTCGTGACATATTTTAGTGGTATTGTGTGTGGCCCATTCAAAATCGACCCAAAAACGAAACTTCATTATGCCAAGATTAAAGTTCAAAAGCCAAAGACTTAGCATTACACGCCACGAGCTAACTGCAACTGCATTATTCATAACTTTAAGATACTCGATAAAGAACTGGATCCATAGGCCCACGCTAATGGTAATTCACTTCCGAATGTGATTATATTTCACGCCAGCAAAGTGCGGAAGTGATTCAGGACTATCCCACAAACTTGAACTTTCCAATCATACAGCACTTCCGCCGCCTGGCACTTGGCCAATCCCTGAAGCCATAAAAGCCTATATCCGGTCGGCTGATAGTCAAGGACACTGGGGTGGGCCGACCACGGCTAGACGTTACTTTACACCATGTCATAATCGGTCTGGTGGCTACTTTTTCCCATAAAAAAAAAGTTAAAAAGTCTTAAATAATATTCAGTTTGAAAGATTAAAATTATTTATGAAGGTGTCTAAAAGTAGGCAACACTTTATTTTACATCAAAAAGTTCAATAAATTGTGAAATATTATTATTTTTGCAAGTGTTATAGAACCTTGGTGGTTTTTGTGATATTCTTAACTTTAAAAAAAAAAAAATTAAAATTAAAAAAAATAAAAAATCATGATTAAAACTTCGAGCTTTCGTTGTTAATTGAGGGTTGTTCTAAGAAAATAAATGTATATTTTTTTTTTTTTTTTTTTTTATATTAAAACAAGAAAGGAAGCTACCTTCGGCCAGCCGAAGATTATATACCTTTTTAAAAAAAACTATAATCCCTGGTGCAGTTATCATGTTTATTTATTTATTTTTTTAATAATCTGCCAAAATAAATTTTCTTATATTTGTTTGGGAGCCTTAAGATATAGTGGTCCGATCCGGCTGGCTCCGACATAACTACTCCTGAATAAAGAAGGCTTTCGGTTTCATCGCGATAGCTTTAAAATTGAGGGCTTGTTCGCATAAGAAAATAAATGTATATTTTATTTATTCGGATAACGTATCTTTTACTGCATTGAAAAAATCTGACTGAAATTAATGAATGTCCTCTAGGGTATAAAAAATGTAAATGTTTTATATTTTTAATCCCGTTTGAATTAGGAGCAGCAGTCAGGAGTTCCTCGAGGACAAGGATAATGCCAAAAAGGGCGGTCTGTCCGGCTGCTGTTCCAGGCTGTTCATGCCCTGCCGCCGATCCCGGTGCTCCCGTTGCTGCCGGCGCCGTGAGAGGAACCAGTCCGCCGAGGATCAGCCCGTCCTGTGGAGCGGCAACAGTAGTGCCACCACGGCCACCAATGTCCAAGTGATCGATGAGACCAAGCCGAAGCGCAAAAAGGCCACCGATTGGCTAAAGTCCAGCTGCTGCCGGAGCTGTCGCAAGAAACCCGCCTCCTCCGAGGGCGAGCCCGATCCCGTCCAGGAGGAAGTGGCCAAGAGGACCAAGCAGGAGGCCAACATGAGCACGGGACCAAAGGCACGCGGTAAATGTGGCCTCTGCCTGAGCAAGGTGTTCTGCTGTCGCTCGGTCAACAAGGTGGATCCCACCACGGGCGATGAGACGGAGCTGAAGAAGTGCTGCTTCTGCATACCCTGCCGTCGGGGTAATCGACCCAACAAGAAGGGCAGCACCGTTTCCTGGCGGGATCAGGACCCCGAGCTGGGAATAAAGCCCACCGAGTCCTCGGTGGTGGAAGGCGCCTCTGAGGCGGCAATGTCAGCGACCACGGATGCTGCGAATAACCAAGTTAAAGAGTGAGTATTTTGGGAAAGAATGTTTTAAAAGTGAAATAAAACCTACACAAAAAAATGCATGTTCCTGTAAAATCGATATGGTCATGTAAATTTCAGGTCAAGCAAAACCCATATAATTTTTACACAAAATACTCTTTTCGTCCAGGTCAAATTTTCCTGGCCACATACCTAATTAAAATTGATCTTAAATAATGTAGAATCGATCTACGTTTCATATCGATTTTTTTATGTGTATTAAACAGAGTTTGAAATTAATATAATCATGCTGGATCTAGGATTTTGCTGTGGGGGTGACATCAGAACAATTTTTTGTTTCATACTTTTTGAATACCAAAATTGCTTTCATTTTTCACCCGAGTGGGGGATGATCTATCACCCATATCACCCGCCGTGGATCAGCGCAAAAAAAATTTTAACAAATAAAAACTTAAAAAAAATTACTTTTTACTTAATTATAAAATTTTTAAAATATTCCCTATGATTTTAGGGGATGCTGCAAGCGTTTCTGGCTGATGTTGCTGTGCTGTCGCAAAAAGAAGCGTCGTGAGTCCAATGCTCGAAGAATGAGTATCAAGGCGCCGCCACCCAGTGAGGCAAGTATTCCCTTTAAAATAGATTATACAATATCTAAAAACAATTTCTTTGCCATCAGGACACCCGTAAAAAAGCTGCACGTGGACCTGGTGGAGTATGCATCGAAAATGAAGGGGGCTATTCCAGTGTTGCCCCTTTATTTGGCCTGGTTCTGCGCCTTTTGCAATGTGATTTTTCCAGGTTTAGGTTAGGGTTGTCAGAATGGAATTTTTTAAGCAGATACTAAGTTAAAGATTTCCCTTTATTAAGGAACCCTACTCTCTGGACTGTTTTGCCTGTGCGTGGGCATTCCGCGCTTCTCACAATTCGATAGTGCTCGTGCCAGGATTGGATCCTTCATTATAAACATTATTGTGGCGGTTTCGCAGTTCCTCACCGTGCTCTTCTGCTTTGTGGGATGGGGCTGGTCCATCTGGTGGGGAACCATAATGTTAAAATGTGCAAGTAAGTGAAAACAGCATCATATTAAAAACAGTGACACTCATAATCATAATCATGAAATACCCCTTTCAGAGAAACTGAGCAAGATCAAAAAGGTGGAGCGTTTGGAGATGGAGGAGGAGCAGCGCCAGGAGCACCTGGCGGAGGCGGTCAAGAACGGAGAAACCGAGGCGGCCAAGACATAGTCCTCCGTTCCCGGATATAACTAAGTTGCTTTTTATACCATTGTGTACATACTTTTGTACAAAACATGTAGATTCCACAAAAACATGCACTTCCACATGAACGAACTTCCAGATTAAGCAAAATGGAACAGAACTTCCTTTAACCATGAAGTACATTAATGTAAATGTATTAAAATCATTAAACTTCCACTAAAATATTTAGGTGTTTTTATATTGCCCACTAAATACTCGTAAAATGGCCAAAATAACTAAGTTTCAGATTTGAATGCTAATTGATTGCGAATTAATTACTAGTTCAAATTACTTTTTGGGGCGGGAAATAGATTTTTGACCAAATCACCCAGATCTTGCGGGTTTTAAAGAGTAATTTTAACCAATTAAGACCAACTGCTAAAATATTGAGTTTTAGAGCAGGCAACAATTTAAACTAACAAATTTCTAATAATATTTGCACCTTTAACATTTTTTTGAAATTTACTTCAGTCCTAAAAAAGTTTAAAAGGAATCCCCCCATTAATTCCCATTTGGTGTGACCGCACCCCATTTGTTTTCATCGGCATATGTACTTTTCGCCGTGCGGTCACTTTAATTCGTTCTTTATAAAAAAAACACGGCGGTGTTCATTAAAAAAACGCGACGTCAACTTGCGAATTTCCCACAATTTGGCCGTAGAAAATGTCGCACCTCGTGAAAATGGAAAACGGACAGAGCCAGACCATCCAGGAGATGCTGGGCTGCATCGAGCGGTGAGATTTGGGCATGATTTCACGATATAAAGGAGGCTACACAAACATAACCTCGCTTTTTCCTGTGCTCATAGATACAATCCCGATCATCTGAAGACTCTGGAGGCCTATGTGCAGGATCAGGCGAAGAACAACACCTACGATTTGGAGGCCAATCTGGCCGTGCTGAAGCTGTACCAGTTCAACCCGCACATGCTGAACTTCGACATCACCTACACCATCCTGCTGAAGTCGCTGACCAGCCTGCCGCACACGGATTTCGTGATGGCCAAGTGCCTCCTGCTGCCCCAGCAGATGAAGGACGAGAATGTGCAGACCATAATCAATCTGGCCGACACCCTGGAGCGCGCCGACTTCACCCTCTTCTGGCAGCGGGCCGAGGTCAATCGCAGCATGTTCCGTCACATCTCCGGCTTCCACGATTCCATTCGCAAGTTCGTCTCGCATGTGGTGAGCACCACCTTCCAGACGATCCGCAAGGATCTGCTCAAGGAGCTGCTCGGCGGCATCGAGGACTCAACGCTGGAGAGCTGGATCAAGCGCAACGGCTGGAAGCACCAGGGCCAGGGACTCGTCGTCGTGGCCACGCAGGACGACAAGATCAAGACGAAGAACATTACGGAGAAGATCGAATTCGACAACGTTGGCGCCCTGATGGCCCAGTGCCTGTAGATGCTCCTCTGCATTCTTAGTCCATGTCCAAATTCAAATTTCTACGAATAGTAATTAACGGAAACAAAATAATAAAAGCCTGTGCCCGTACAGCTAACTTATTTTGTTGTTTATTCTCTCGATCGGAGCTGCTGCTCCCCTTTCAGACTTCCGGAACTACCGCCGACCTTAAAACGTACACGTACAGAACTAATAAAGCGCTATCCTATTTATGACTGCTTCTTGAACTTTTTCAATATGGGAAATATCTTGTCAAAGGCATCGTAGATCTCCTGCCGCACCTTGGCGCCGGTGAGCACCACCTTGCCGGACACGAAGATGAGCAGCACGATGCGGGGTCGCACCATGCGGTAGATGAGGCCGGGAAACAGCTCCGGTTCGTAGCTGCTGAAGTTGCAATGGGTGAGCACCAGGCCTTCCAAGCGGATGGGGAACTTGACATCGCAGGAACCGACCATGTTTTGGATCTTGAAGTCAAGGAACTTGGCCTGTAAAGGTAAAAGGGTTAGCTTTACTGAAGAGTTTTTAATTGTATTACTTAGACTTACTGGAAACCCGAGCTTCTGTATGATGCGCGCATACTTCCTGGCCGCCAGTCTGGAGTCGTCCTCGCTCTTGGCCCCCGTGCACACCATCTTGCCGGAGCTGAAGATCAGGGCAGTGGTCCGTGGCTCTCGAATTCGCATTATGACGGCCGCAAAGCGTTTCGGGTTGTACTCGGCATTCCTCGCGTGCAGCGCAATCTTCTTGAGGTCCAGTTTGCAGCACAGATTCACCGTGGACACAATGTTCTGCAGTTGCGGCACTATCCCCGGGTCTGCGGATCCCGGCGTGGCCGGAGTCATCGGTGTGGAGGGGCCCATTGTCTGGTGGATGTTGCTCAGGGCATCGCCGCCGCTGCCGCCTCCGCCGCCGCCACTGCGCTCGCTCATGGGCATCATGTGGGCCATCATGCTCTGCGGCGTCTGCGGCTGCATCATGGACTGCGGTGTGGTTCCTCCGCCGCCGGGCTGCTGCTGCTGATAGGATGCCGATGGCTGGTAGCTCTGCATCTGCTTGTGGGCCAGCGGAATGGAGGGTTCGTGGCCAAAGAGACCGGATCCGCCGGCATCCGACTGCTGCTGCTGCTGTTGTTGTTGTTGCTGCTGCTGCACGGAGCCGGAACCGGGGGCCGGCATCACGGGATCAGGTTGTGGAACCGCCGGCGGATGGTAGACTGGATTGGCCACTATCTGCTGGTCCGCTTCCATCTGGTGGAGCGGCGTTCCGATGCTCGGAATCGAGAAGTTCGGGCTGAGCATTTGGTCCATCTTGCAGATGGCTTAGTCTCGTCTCGTCTCGGCGGGATTAGGGTTAACTCAAGGCGATTCTATTTTAATTTGCGGAGCGGGAAAATAAAATAATAATAATATGCCTTCGTCGTTGTACCTGTGGCTCCTTCCGTGTGAATGGCAAACGCAGGGCTGCATTTTGGCGGCCCCATCGCTTACGTTGTGCATTACGTTTGCTTACGTCTTCTACCATTTTGAAATGCATTTTTTTTGGAAAGTTGCCTAAATAATTTTAATTTGTCTATTTAAAAAAAAAGTTATTAAAAAAAAAACTTTTTAATAATAAATTGTAATATCCCTCAATATTATTTAAAACATATTTATTAGTTTTATTTTATTTGTGTTGCAATTTGCCTCCTTACGTTGTTTACCTATCGATATTTGAAATGGCGCACTTTTTGAATGTATCAATGAAAACTACAAATATTTTATAGTACTAGCATTTTAATGCGTTTATTGTTCATTATAATTAGTGTAGATAGTGAGAACATTATTTCATAAGTGTAATTACTAATTAAATGCTGACTACATTAAAAATCGTTAGTTAATTTTTATGTAAACAGATGAAAAAATGGATTTTCTGTGGACGGACACAATAAACACCATGCTCAATTAACAAATTGAGACATTTGAATTGTAAAAACACAATTAAATGGTAATTAAACTCAATAACAAAATTAAGACACCGCCCGCATGGAAAGCCAAAGGTGAAGAAGCCAAGTTCTTGGCATTTGTCGATTTAGGATGAGTAAAAGTGTAGGTATTGCCTTGCTCATCGGTGACATTATATTGGTGGCCACCGGAGGGTGAATTTTGGAAGGTACCTTCCACGCCAGGAACTGTGTAGTGTCCTTAGTTCTGGCCCCGTATATAGATCTCAATTCCAGGTGTTCCGAATTGGTGGGGGCCATTTCTACCATCATAATTCTGCTGCGCATTTGTTGCTAAACGAGAAGAGAGTTCAATGGGTTTTACGCTTCTCAGGTTCCCACACTCAACTTACCGGCAAACAACAGAAAAGTAAGCAAAACAAATGCTGTTCTCATGATGCAGTTTCCAGTCACTGAGCTCGAATTCAACTGAGAGCAGTCCGGTAATTCGAAATCTATTTATGCGAGCCCCCAGAAAGCCGAGCTTTTGCCAATTAGCAGTTGAGAAATGGGTGACATCACAGCTTAGAATGCGAAAATGTTCGATCTTCCATGCCTGATCTCTACCATGTATTCAAAATAGAATCACCCTACAGGTCAAAACATATATTATTTGGCACATGCTTTCTACCCAGCTAATGACATTTTTAAAATTAGTTCACTAGCTTGGGAAGAGAAAGCAAACAAAGAGTGCATAAATATCTAGAGAGACATTTAAGCATATATAGACTTTGAGAATTGTTATATAATGTGCACTCAAAACAAACGAAGAAATGCGCCAGAGAGAGCAACATTTCGAAACTACAAGTATCGAATCCTGAAAATTAGGCAACTGAACACAAAAACATAGTAGGTTTTCAGATGAGTGTTGAACAATTTGGAAACGAACGCTGCTAAATTCAAGTATTACAGATAAAAGCAAAAAAAAATATAAAATAAATGGAGAAGATCTGCCAGTTTTTCCGCAACAACTATGTGCTGGCCAACTGCGAGGATGCGATCTACAAGAAGGCTTTCTCCCTGAATCTCTCCCACTACCAAATGTGCGAGGTTCCGGACATTATAGAGAAGTGCGAGACGCTGATGAAGCTATTCCTCAACCAGAACAAGTTGACAAAGGTGGGAGGAGAATCCCTCTATATAAATACTTAATAAATAATAAACTATAACTAACAGATACCCTCCTCCATTGGCAACTTGCTGCGACTGCAAGTCCTCACTTTGGACTATAATAAACTGGATGAATTCCCGCTCTGCATCTGCCGTTTGGTGCGCCTGAAGTTTCTCAACATCAGCTGCAATAGCATAAGTTCTTTGCCCCCGGAAATCGGCTATTTGACCCTCCTGGAGACTTTCTGGTGCAATAACACTGGACTTTTGGAGCTACCCACCGAAATTCGCAACTGCGAGCACCTCGAAACGCTTGGAGTGCGAGGTAATCCCTTGAAGAAGCTGCCAGATGCCATCGGTGCTCTGTCCGCACTTCGTTGGTTGACTGCCGAGAACTGCGAGCTCACGGAAGTTCCTTTAACCACTAGCACTGCTGGGAAATTTGGCGCATCTGAATCTCAAGGGGAATCGACTGAGGCGACTGCCCAGAATGCTGATGGCCATGCAGAAGCTGCGGTTCGTTTTCCTCAATGAGAACCGCATCGATGAGCTGCCCACGAGAACTCAGCTGGAGGAGCTGCGCACGCTGCACATGCTCAACTTGTCCAAGAATCCCATCAGCCTTCATCGCGAACTGCAGCTAATGGCTTTGGTGAGATTCCCAGCCTTGTTCTTAGCCTTCCCTAGTTGAGTTTGATTTATATTTCCAGCGCCAAACGAACCTTTATGTGGAATTGCCGGCGGATCCCGCGGCAGCCTGTGAAGGCCTCACCAGTCGAGCGAGCATCAACACCCAGGAACAGCAGGAGGATCAGGCGAGAGGCGCTGGCCAGGATGTAGACTCCTCCGACTGGGCAAATAGCGTTCGTACCAGCGAACTGGACACAACGGACGAAAGTACGCTGGAGAACAACATCGAGGATCTGAGTGTCATGCTGCCGGAAATGTCGCGCTTTGTCACCACCTTTTAAAAAGCATTAATGTGATCGAGTTCGGGTGTTATGTAGCACGCATAAATCTGTGGTTTATTCTCTACAACTGGGTGTTTTGTACATGTACCTCTAACAATCGTAGCGCCTTAAAAATGCACATTAGTTAAGTGGAAATTAGGTTGGTGGTTAAGGGGGAGTGCCAGGTTAACTAGACATCTTCTTCATCAGCTCCTCGTCCTGCATGGACATGGCCGTGAGCTTCTTGCCGATCTTCTCGTGAATGTCCAGGTACTTGGCCACGCAGCGATCGATGCAGACCATCTCGCCCTTGCCTGGAAAATAAAGGAATTAATATTAAACAGGTGGAACAAGTAAGGATATGTCTAGGTATAGAGATTTTAATTTATTAGCTTATATTACTAATTGTTCTAATCTTTACTTCACCGGCTCCTTTATATTTTGGTATTGATTTCTTTTTAGATGTTTTATGTCAAACCATTCTGGGTAGAAATTAGTGCGCTACTCACCGTTTTTTAGAGGCCAAATTTATAGTATTAAATTACAAAGCAAGTAAACTATTTATGAAATTTTCGTAAGACATATTTAAAAAGTAATTGAATGACGTAAATTGACTATTAACTACATGAAATAATGAAGTTGTAAATTACCACACTTGTGGAAAAAATTATAGCAATAACTAGATTACATTTCATATTCCTTTTATAAGTGAGCATTAGATGATACATAATAAGCTTAATATTTTAAAAGACAATTGGTAATGTACTGAAGTACAACTAAAAAAAGCTTTTTAAATACGCATACAAAATTATTCAGTTCTGAGTGTTTTATAGCGGCACTAAAAGCCTTTTTAAATATGGACCTTGATCTCTAAATGAAATACATATACTAATATTTGCAGAAAATAAATGCAACAAAGGCTAGTGCATAATGTTAGAGGGATTGGTTTATTTAAATATAGGTACATAAATGACTTGTTCTATGAATTTTTTGTATTAGAGGTATTATTTCTGTACTTAGGGTCTCTCTATGTTTCTATTGTCACACCTTCCCATAGATCCCGATACATCCTATGGATTCCTACATCTATAATCCCCCCATATAGTACTCACCCAACTCCGATTCGGAGTAGCGGGGCGGAAATACACTTCTTGTGGCAAGCGTTCGTCATGCGGTTATATAAATCGGACATCATTTCGATCTCCATCTCCTGCATCAGCTGCAACTTGGCCTGGTCGGCGGAACTGATCTGGGGCAGAGCCATCTTAGTGTGCGGATGATGACTGGTTCTCCTGGGTTCTGTGTAGTGTGGATACCACGGGGTTAATAGTCGAATCGCCTGTCCGATGCTGCGGTTGAGTCGTAATCGCCCTGGTTTGCCTTCCTCATGCGCTCACGCACTCGCATGCTCTCGTAACGCCGGTTCTCAACGGATTGTTTTGACAGCACAAAAGCGTACACGCCACCCACGGTCAGAACAGTCCTGGTTTCGGGAATTGAGAATTTCGACAAGCTAAAGTGAACCTGTGACCTTTTTACTATGTTTTTTCTACGAACCAACAGACAGCAATTCGCCCTGCGTTGCCCAACGACATAGCCTGCTACGAAAAAAATAGATACTAACGCCTTTTGGTAGTGTGCGGGATTTTTTATCACTGGCACGTGTGACAGTTGAAGCAATGGGGGTATTCTTTCTACTTTGAGTAACTGTATTTGGAAACTGTGATCTTGATTTTTGGTGGAAGATTGAGCTAGTTTTCAAAGCTTTATTACAAATTTAAATTATAATAATCTTTAAATTATAGTAAAATTTTTTTATTGATGCATATTTGATTAATGCAATTTCAGTAATACATTTTAGTCAGTTGATTTTTATAAAGCTATAAATTTGTTAATTCATTTGGATACCGTTTATTAACAAATTTTTAAAAAAATTTCATAACTAGTATACAAGAAATTCAGGGCCAAAATTATAATATGGTCTAACGGCAATGACTTTTGTTAATTAATTGTTTACTATTTTAAAATTGTAACAAATGATAGATAATTTATATTGTAGTAATTTATTTTCCTTAATATAAATGGAACTTATTTTGTGTACCTTTTTTTTATATTTTCCAAATTATCTCAAAATTTATTGTTATTTCAAAGTGACTTTTCCCAACACTTGTATCACCTAGAACGTTCCCGGCATCCAATTACCTGCGGTCACACTGCGTTTTATGAATTTTTATTTGCTCAACTAGTGTTTCGTAATTTTAAGTCATATTTTATCAATGAACTGAGATAAGGCGCGAGCAGAGCTGCCCCCAAAACCAAATGACTTCGCAGATCTACAGCCAGAAGAAGTTCGTGCCCACGCCGCCCGAGAAGGGTTCCTTTCCCCTGGACCACGAAGGCCTCTGCAAGAAGCAGTTCCTGCTCTACGCCAGCTGTCTAAGGAAGAACGCCCAGGATACGAGCCTGTGCCGCCAGGACGCCCAGAACTATCTGGCCTGTCGCATGGACAACAATCTTATGGAGAAAACCGAGTGGTCCAAGTTGGGCTTCCACGATCAGAAACTTTCAGAGGAGCAGAAACAATAGCCGTGGCTTTGAGCCATGAAACCCGAACGCAATGTGATGATAGCGGCCACCGGAAGTGTGGCCACCATTAAGATGGCCCAGTTAATCCGGGAGCTCTCCGACGAGCGCCTGCCCTTTAAATTCCACCTGAAAGTCCTGATCACCGAGTCAGCCAAGCACTTTTTTGAACTGGAGCAAATACCCGAGAATGGTGGGTTATTACTTCTTATAATATCCATTTATAGGATATTTACATAAAAATACTCGGCATAAAAGATCCCAATCCTTACTAACTCATATATCATCATTAAAAGTTAATATAATTAGTTAGTATAGTAGTTTGGTGTATTTTCGGTGTATTTTGATAATTTCCATTGAAGTTTGGCTTAAAATTGTAAGGTACTATTAAAAATGTTTCTTATTTTGGCAACGTAATTTGATAGGCATATATTTGTGAGCTTTCATTAAAGAATTAGACTAATTAGAATATTAACTGATGAAGTTTTTAGCGATTGATTTAGACTTTAGAACTTTAATAAAAGTAAAAAAATGTTCAGTACTCAAACAAATACTTTTTCTTTTTAAAGAAAATTACTAAAACTCCAATACTTTTCTCTTATTTAAATTCCAAAAACTCCAACCTTACATAAGCCCAATTTCATAGCCATACCATTAATAAGTCTTATTTTCCAGTACCCATTTACCACAACCGCGATGAGTGGATCACCTGGAACAAGCGAGGAGATCCCGTCCTGCATATTGACCTAGGCAAGTGGGCGGATCTCCTGGTGATTGCGCCCCTCAGCGCCAATTCCCTCTCCAAAATGGCCACCGTAAGAGAAAAACCATATTGTGAAATTCTTCGTACACACAAATAACTCTGTATCTCTTCTTTTACGACAGGGGATTTGCGATAATATTGTGATGTGCGTGGTGCGGGCCTGGGATCTTCAGAAACCTCTACTCTTCGCCCCGGCGATGAACACTCGCATGTACGACCATCCAATAACCCGGGAGCAGATCGACAAGCTAACCAGTTGGGGCTACAAGGAGATACCCTGCATCTCCAAGACCCTAATGTGCGGCGATACCGGAAACGGAGCCATGGCGGAGGTACCCACAATTGTGGAGGCTGTTTTATCTGCCTTTCAGCCGCAAAATTAACTTAGTCCAGACATTGTGTATGCACACAGAGTTTATATCGCAGAATATTTTGTTACAATAATTAGACAAATACTAGGGAATTGGCTATGAAATCTTAGAGATCCACCACCTTCATGTCCTCCAGCGAATTGTTGGCCGATTGGCTGATCAGCGCCTTCTCGGAATCCGTTAGGTTGATGAACTTGTGCTTGGACTTCAGCTCTTGCTGAATGGAGGAAAGCAGATCTGGCGAGCAACGTCCAGGCTTCAAGCCCTTTTGATCCTGCGACGTCTCGGCGGCGCCTGTGATCTCCATTTTGGGCTCCACAATGGTTTCCATCTGCAGCGACTGCCGTTTGCGACGCATCCGCTTGGAACCTCTGGTGATGAGCACCACGGCTGGGGACTCAAATGGCAGCGCCTGGATGACGGTCTGCAGGAGTTTCGGTGCCGACTCGGGTGTCTTTGGGTTACCAATCACCACATCCGCTTGGAGGGCACTGCGTGCTCGCTCGCGCTCCTCTTCTCGCTCCCTGGCCAGCATTTTTCCTCATCAGTTGACGGGCGCGCTTCTTGAGGATCGCCTGTGCCGTGGGATAGTATGCAATGACCTCGTTTAAATCCGATTTGGAGAGCACAAACAGGTTGGAATAGCCCTTGGATCGCACATCCGCTGTCCTGCGATCAGCTCCATTGATGCCCAGCAAACTAATCTCACCGAAAACGGAGCCTTCGGTCAGAGTGGCGAGCACCACATCGCTACCGGGACCACCCATCACCTGGACTTGGCCCAGTTTCACGATATACATCTCCCTGCCAACCTCGCCCTTGCGACAAACAAAATCTCCCGGTAGAAAGGTTACTGCCCTCAGTTTCAAGACCAGATCTCTGAGTAAAGCCTCTTCGCAATCGGCAAAGAGTTGCACCTTGGAGAGGGTTTGAATGTGCACGGAGATGGCGATGTCGGTTTTCAGGTTGATGGGTAAGGCATCTAGGATGTTGGATTCATCTAGAAATTTTATGATTAGTTGGAACATTCAGAAAATATAGATATACATTCTAGGCCCTGAATTGAATGTTTTTTTAATTTATTTCGAATTAAATGAATGAATGAATAGTTTTTAAGAATTTTTTGGATTTGCCAGATTTTTTGTGTGCTTTCTTTTGAGAACAAAAAGTGAAAAATTGTTAACTGCTTAGTAAATAAAATTTAAGTAGGTTTAATCACAAAATTATGGCCCTTTCTTCTTCAAAAGAAATTGTCGTTTGAATTATTTCGGAATTCATTCATTCAATTCTATTAAGCACAAAATTCAAATTCATTCAATTCTATTAAACTCAAAATTCTAATTAATTCATTCATATAAAACAAAAAATTCAAAATAATTCATTGAATCCATTCATGCAGGGCTCTAATACATACCCAAAGTCCGCTGCTGTTCCCAAGTGAACTGAAACCACATCTTAACCCTTGACTGCACCTCCTGGGAAAGATTAAGACGTCGCATGTACTCCAGCGTCTCATCCTCCAATTGGCGATACTCGTGCTTATTCCGCGTGGCCGTCGAAATAATGTCCCTGATCTGGCCGATGAGCAGAGCGAAGACAAACACGCCCATTAGCCAGGCCACCGTCATGAAGACGTACTCCCCCTGGCGTTCCGGCTTCGGATTCTTCCCAATCGAAGTGGCCGTCTTGGTGGCAAATGCAAAACACCTGACATACGGATGACCCTTGCCGCTGAAGACCCAGCGATTCTGTCCCAATCCCTGGTAGTCACTGTAGGCATAGTAGAGAGCAGCCGTGATGTGGATCATGTACAGCATGTAGGTCAAGGTTTTGGCCACACGAACCTTTTAAATTGGATGTCAATAGTTGATACAAGATATTTTAATCAGGAATAAAAACTTACAAAGTGTGGTGAAGATATCACCCGATCCAAAAGGCGAAACACTTCCCAGAAGCTTTGAATCTTGAAGAACCGAGGGAAACGCAACCAAACGGCACCTGTGCCCAGTTGAAGGTATAATAAATCCAGAGGGAGAAGGGCCAGAAGATCCAACTGAAAAAATATATTTTGTTCTCCTAGAAATAATCTCAAATCTTAACATAGATTTAAGGGCAACGTTTGCCTTGAGGGAATTTTTCCCTTGATTTTAAGAGCGTTTCTTCTTGAATTTTCAATTTTTTTTTGATCCAATTGATCTGAAACATCGTACCCACCTTGAATTGCAACTTTCTCATGTAGTTCTTCCTGGTGAGGTTCTTGTTCTTCACCCAAAAACCCTCGAAGAGGTACATAACCCGGTGTTTGAAGAATACCACATCCAGGAGATATATTATGTCGGCACAATAGTCGCAGGCGAGCCAGATGTTGGTGTTCTCCTTGGTCTGGAAGGGAAACGAGGAGCGCAGCGGGATGACCCAGGCGTTGTAGAGGAAGGATAGCGATACGACGCACAGCCAGGAGATGTAGATCTTGCCCTGGGGATCTAGGGTGCGTTCATCGTTGTTGGCGCCGCACAGGCTGGAACAAAGCCAAACATTCGAGCGTGGGGTGTCGGCCTCGAAGAGTCTTCCTCGATGTGGCGATTGACCCGCCGGCACCAGACGCACTTTGTGCTGAGGAGAAGGATGCAGACTCTTGGTTGGCGGAGGAGATGGTGAGCTCGCCGTGCTGCTGGAGGAAGGAGTGGGTGGTAGTTCAATCCGGGACTTGACCTTATTAGCTCTCGCAGTGAAGCGGCGCACCAAATGACGCACTTGATCGCGGAGGAACTGCTGACCCTGGGAATCCAGACTGCCGGTGCTGCTCGGCTTACGATGCTCCACGTCCAACTCCATATTCATTTCCGTTTCCGGTTCTCCGCCATCCACTGCCACTATTTCGCTCTCATTAATCGAAGGAGTTCCCCTTGCTCGCTCATTGCGATCGTCGTTTTGCAGTTCCGGCGACTCGTTGTAACAGATCTGCACATCCTGCTCGTCCTCATCGATAATGGGAATAGATTCGGTTGGCTCCTCCTCCTCCTCCGCTGGCAGAACCACCTGACCCGTGGCTGCAGCCAGTTCCTCGGCCCGCTGAATGGCAATGGGATCGGGCACAATTTCGGGAATGGCACCTGGTAGTGGAACCATTTCGAAGCTCTCCTGTTCGAGCACCCTCCTCACACTATCTGGACTCACCAGAGGCTTCTCGTGATGCAGTATGTGCTTGACCAGAGCATGGGTGGCGCCCACATTGTTCTGATGCTCCGTGGAGTCCACGCAACCGATTTTACCATTCCTAAAGTACAACCTGGAGTGATAGAACCGCGGGCTACCAGGTCGATGGCGTCGCGGTGGAGCCTTGTAGGCATTTATCTTGTAGGTGACCCTCTTCACCGGACTCGGGACACTTGTTCTCTTTGTTGGCGGACAGCACCTGCTCCTGCTCCTTCTCCTTCAGCAGCAGCTCCTCGGTGGCGCTGACAAACTGTTCGATCTCCTTCAGATCCTTGGTGATCTCCTCCAGACTTCGGCGCACCTGGGCCTCCTTTTCGCCGGGACTCGAGTAGCGGCGAACGCTTTCCGGCTGCCGGTTGATCACATTCCGCATGAAGGCATGCCGCTCCAAAGTGTCACAGAACTTGGGCTCCCTTCGCGACTTGGTGGATGCGGAGGACGAGGATGAGCTGCCGGAATGGGCGGCGCTGGGTGAGGTGGCCATGCGCTTGAGGAGCGGATGATGCGGCGACTGGAACTCGTCGTAGGCAAAGTTCTCCAATATATTCGGGGAGGATTTTAACAAAGATGCACTCGCCTCCGGTTCAATTTCGAGCTCCTCACTTTGGCGACTCAGCTGCAAATGAATGGATGAGCCGCACGTTCCGGCGATTGAGGGTCGGTTTTGTAGTTTTTTTTAGAAATAAATAAAAACAAGGCGAACCAGCACGCAAATGCAATAAAAACAACAAAAACGGGCGGCAGTAAGTGTGATTCGCATGGTTAATTGCCCCCAAACACCCGCACAATCGCTATTCGAACGCCAAAAGCTCATCTATCGAACTAACCATCTGATATTTGTACTCATGGAGTATTAACCCAAAGGGTCGCGGGTTCAACTAACTGACTTTGCAAGCTAAACTCATTAAACTGGAGTTTTGGACACGAACTGTGAACTTTAACTAAGGTTAAGGTTAAAATAAATATAGATTTGGGTATATTCTTGATAATAAATAAAAGAGAATATATGCGATTGAAACCTGACTTACAGGTATTATGGATTTTGGCATAGTACAAAATCGAACTCTCATCATAGATGAAATGGTATTATCATAAGTGGCCCAAGTGTAAGAATAGAATTCAAAGTTACCCAAGCAGTTTGTAATTCATCTTCTTCTGGTAATATTGTATTGATTATAATTGTACTATTAGACTCATTGGATAAAAAAAGTCACAACAACAAACTTTTAAAAACACAGGACGGCAACACTACTACTATTTTGACCGAAGCTGTATGCTTTTATGTTTTTTGACTATGTTTTCTAAAACTTGTTTCTCCCTTAATAAAACCCTATAATTATTCAAAGTATGGGTTTTGAAAGATAAAGAGTATATCTTTTAAAAAACTTTAACACCAAATTAAACAATGTATCCGTTTGCCTCTGAGAGCTCCGGAAAGTTGGCCAATTTCAGCATTTTTCGAACTTTGAGGTCCTTTTGCTAAGAATCCTTGCGTCGAGGAACTTTTTGGAAAACGCAGTTTAACTTTGGAATTCGTAACGAATCCAAAAAAATAGCATCCATCGAGGTAAATTTTTGATGCTGCATAGTGTAATCTTTCATTTATTCAAATCTGCCCATACATTTTTAACTTTGCTTCTTATATAATTTCTTAGTAAGAAATTATTACGAGTATATGACAATCTAGCATCCTATTTCTAATCCTCAATAATATCAATATGGGCCTTTTTCCCCAAATCAAAATAAAATATATACTTATATCTTACCTTGCGAAAACGTGCCATGCTGGACATTCTGTTGACCGACTTGCCACCGGGACAAGTTCAGTGTCACCGGTGGTTTCAGGGTTCAGGGTCGTTAGCCTTTAATAGCCTCTTACTCTGTAATTAAGCAGGGGAAAAGGAACGAGTTTAGTTTGGTGCGTGTTGCACACGGCGTATGATTAATGTGCTGAGTGGACACGCAAAACGCAATGCACTTGACCTTATCGAGTGTTATCTACTCAGCTTATTACTTTCAATATCCATATGCTCTACGCACTATTGATTTTTCCAGCTGTTGCAACTTGGAGTGCGCTCCTCTTTGTTTTTTCTCTCCTGGGTTTTTCTTTTACTGCTGATAACAAAACTCAACAGGTGGTTGAAAATTTATGAAAAGTTTACCTGGACTTTTGTTCAGGTATTCGGTTAGCACTGATTTGTTTTCTTAGTTTTTAATCCTTATATTGCAATTCGTTGGTAACAGTAAGTAGAAACATACTTTTCTTACTCCTGGGGAATATTTGGTGTTTAATAAAGGACTTCGATCCTAGACAGAAAGTCACCAACCGTCGATGCAGATGAAGATAAACTGGTCAGCGAAAGGCGGGACATCAATATAGTTAGTCTAAACAAAGTTAACGCAGGCGCATTTAAATACAGTGGTGCAAAAGCAATGGAAATTAAACCATAATTGAAAGAGTTTTTGTTATAAAAAGGATTAAAAACAAAAAAATTCGAGAAAATAATAATATTAAGACTATAATTATTCGAATATTTTATTAACTTAAAGATTAATGTTAAAATCCTTGATAATAACATTTCTCCCATCATATCAAAAGCTTCCAATGAACTTCAGGCATTCAAAGTTTTATTCAAGTTCCATTCATGTAAAAAGCTTGTCATCTTTTATAGCCCCAAATTAATGGCATAGCCAATCCCCAAACGTATTCAAAAAATCCACACCAAAGACTTGAGTTTTCACAATTTTTTGTATATATTTTTTTTTGTTTAAATATTCCATTCAGCTCTACATTCACAATTACATATTTGTAATATTGGTTTTTTGTTTTTCATTTTTTTTTTTAAATTACATAATATATATTTAAATATATATTTATGTATATATAGTTTAAAATGTATGTATATATATAACTTTTTGCTTTCGAATCGAGGGACTCAGAATTCAAATAACTTGATGCGATCGAAAGTGGCTAAAGGGGGAACGCGGGGAATCCCCTCGTTGGGGGCAGTGGGCTGCATGTGTTTAAGAAGAAGAGTGTCTCATACATATAGATACATTTATACGTACAAACCTAGAATATAAAGAACAGTTGACTGGAAATAATGTGTGTGTGATTTTAGTCACTTCTTTAACTTAGTTTTTTTATGGTTTATGCTGTGTGTGGCTTGGCATGTGTGTGTGTTTTCATGTTTATGGATTTAGTGCATATTTAAAGATTTAAGGTCTTAATTCATTTTTTTTATATGGTTTTTCATATTTTTTTGAGATTTTTTTAATTAAGTTTTTTTGTTGGTTTTCATTTTTTGTGGGTTCTCTTTTTGTCACTTAAAAAATTACATTAATAAAATGTATTTTAAAACTTATGCAGAAAAACGTTGCCCATTGCGGAGGCTGCAACCGTCTACTCGCTCTCGTCCTCCTCCTCCTCCTCGGAGGACTCTTTCTTCTTGGCCTTCTTGGCGGGCTTGGCGGCCGCCTTCTTTCGCTTCTTGGGCGCCCCCGAATCGGTGCCGCCATTGGCCTCGTACTCCTTCACCGCCTTGTTGTACTCCTCCTTCATCTTGATGGCCTTCTGTTCCCATTCCTGTGATAAGATAAATATTCGAGAATAAGTAGGTAATCAGAATTAAAAGGATATTAGTCTTTTGTAACTTACGGTCTTATCCTTCAGCCCACGCCAAAGTTCGCCACCCCGTTTGGCGATATCTGTCACCTTGCTGCCGGGATTATCCTTCTTGATCTGTTCGCGGGTCTCGTTCAGCCACAGCATGTAGGCCGAAAGGGGACGCTTCGGGCGATCTCCACTCATGTTTGTTACTGGTTTGGTTTGACTTCTTTCGAGGGAAATGTAAGGGCTGAGCTATTCAGCAGCTGAAAGGAGAAAAATTAACATAAATTAGTAACGAAAATTAAAGAAAAGAAATAACATTTTAAATAGATACAAAACAATGTCAAAAAATCATATAAAATTTAGAAAATTTGTAGTTTTTACCACTTCTGTATACAAAATATCTGGTAAACAAATTTCAATATTAGCTTCAACACTAAAAAAAATGGTTTACTAGTTTTTTAGGTGTGAACTTTTAATGAACATTTGCCTTCAAAATCGAATATATGATCTATTTATATCTAAAAAGTATTTAACATTTTTGTAACTATTTTTTTTAATAAAAAAAATTATTTAAAGTAATATTTTTAGATATTATTATGATAGTCATCATTTATGAAAATAAGCCTATTTGAAACCATCACTTTTATATTCCAAAGCAAAACAATTGATTCAATTTAAATCACCGACTATTTCCATATGTTTTTCCTTTTGCTCTCCTGACTCAGCCGATTGAATATTCAATAATTGCATTTTGGGCTGTGCGCAAACAGGCATTAATTAAATATGCCTGCCTGTACGCCCACGCACAGATTCGACCCCCGGCCTTAACCCCACTAACCACCCCAAACCCCCCCTGTCACCGCCCACGTAAACCACTGGAATGGAATACTTTTAATACATAATCCTTGCGGCTTTATATAACCCCCTACATAATGGCTATTTATGGCAGCAATATTTCCAATTAATTGTGGGTGTCGATTGCTTGTACATATATGTATGTGCACCTTATGTACTGCGAATCAGCACATATAATTGCTGCAGAGGGGTCAATGACCCAAGAGGTTTTCGTTACCGACTTTAAAGCGGCTATTCGCCTTAGCAAACGCAAATCAGCTGGGAGATGGCATGCAAATGAAGCGACAACGATGACGACAACGACAACGAGGACAGTCTGCCCCCCAAAAACAACAGCCGGGGAGTCACGGAGCCATGGAGCCATTGCACTTGACCCAAATCCAGGAATTCAGCGGCAAATGCACGAGAACGAGACATCGACAGGCACTGAAAAGGGGGTTCGGCTGGTTGCAGACGGATGGAGTAGCATAACGACGTGAATTGGGTTAACAAACGACTCGAAAGCAAAGGAATCTGCGGCGCCTGAGGAGCGAAATGAAGGGGGGTGCAGGAGGCAGGAGGAGTGGCGCATCAATCAGGCAGCCGCCATCGCACATTGCACATTGCACCCCCCACCCACATACATACATATATATATAGTCGTATCTGCGTATCCTGTGTCCAGGAGCAACAGGAAAACGGCGGCAAAATTGTTGCTAGTTCAACGCGGGCACAGCAACAGCCACACGCATCCACAAGATAGACGGTTCGTTGGTTGGTTGGTTGGCTGGCGAGGCTTCGCATATTGCGGCAACACGTGATCCAGCCAGGATTCCGCCACCTCCCTTATCCCCTTCCTATACAAATATATATATATCATTGCGCAAAGAGGGGGTCCTCCTAGAAAATCGAAAGCGAAAACCATTTCCCGTCTCTGTGTGTGCATATTCGGTTGGGTAAATATATCTGTATCTCTTGTTCTGCGCTGTGAGCTTGGTTTTTTCTGTACAAATGCGACCAACAAGGTGAAAACATTTGCAACTTGGCATAACGAAAAAAAGGAAAATAAAGAGGACTTTAGAGCTCTGAATAACTGAATACAAGTGAAGGAAACATTTAAAAAATATATAAAAAAATTAAAGATATAAAATAAATAAAAGAAAAAACAATACGGAAAATATATTTCCATCATTAACAAAATATTAAAGATAAGAAAAATATACAAAAGCTTTTTTTTTAATAATAAAACAATTTTAGTGTTTGAAATTTTTTTTAATTTTGAAGACAATTCAAAAAACTAAAATTATATATTTTCTATCTCCAAATTAATTTTTTTCCTCATTTTAACTCATAATTCCTCTGATTAACGGGCCAACTCATCCATATTGCTAATTTATTCCACAGCATTACGCATACGCAGCGTTGGCAACACTGGCACGGCACATTACGCATACGCAACGTGTTGCGGCCGCCCCTTGTGCATATGGCATAATGAAATCCCAGACTAACGACAAACAGAACCCACACAAAAGGCACACAAAGGACATTAAACGGAATACAAAATAAGGAGCTGCAGAAAAGAGAAGAGAAAAAACGCAAAGCCTTTTCAGTGGAAAACACAACTGCCATTTTGTCGATCTAAAATTGAAAAGCAGACGTCGACTGAGGCAGAGGCAGCGACTGAGGCAGCGGCAGAGGCAGCGACTGAGACAGCGGCGTTGACGTCAACTGAGAGACAACTGACAACGCTTATCTGGCCGACTGTATGTGTTTATGGCGTGTGTTTTTAATGGCCCGTCCTAGAGGAGAGACCTTCCATGCAGCACCACCAGTACAAATAGCAACCACCGAGCTACAGAGCCACCGAGCCGCAGGAAGTCCCTGCGAACCACCCAAAAAACACCCAGAAATACCCAACGAAATATTGGCTTGCCTGCAGCAGGAAGCTTGTGCGCAGAACCAGCATTTTAGGGTAGATACTTTCCCAGGGATTTGCGCACTGGATGGCCTCTATGTGTTTTTTCGCCTGGAGAGCGCGGAACGCACAGTGGTGACTTTCGAACAGGGGATACATAATGCTCAAAGTGCCCTCGTTTAATGGCCCTTTTTTCTCTATCACCGATTTCGCACAGTGTACGCTGTACAGTACAGTCGGGGCAAAAATAAAAGGGTAGGTAGGTCAACGCTATAGCGAATCGCAAGCAAATGAGACGATAGATGGCGCCATGGTCGATTTCATAAATTATTCACTTCATTTAATGCATGAGCAAGATTAATTTAGGCGAAGGAAATCTGTTAAAATATTACAAATATCTTTGTAGGGAAAATAAACTTATGATTTTTTAATTCTAACACATTTGCATTGTCAATAGGTTGTGACTTGCACTTTAACTTTTAATTGACAAGTACTTTAAATTTTAAATCTCAAACCCATTTACTTAAGGTTCATGGTGTAAGGATCTTCACGCCAGCTATTTTTAAAATATTCTATTAAGGAGATTTCTAATTTGTTAAGCTTATGCCATCTTTGCGATATACATAAAAATAAAACAAATTTTAAATTGTGTATAACTTTCTTTAAAAGAACAAATTTAAAAAAAGTATTCAGGACTGCGATAAGTATCCTTCCGAGTAAAGGTTCGTAAATCGAATCTATCTAATATCATCGAAAGTGAATAATATTTGAATAATATCTACTTTTACTTTTTATTTTTTACCAGATTGTAGTATTACCCCTACCAAGATTATAACAGAAGAGAGCTTCGCCAGATATCGCGAGTCAGAGAAAAGAGCGGGAAAAGATATGATCGCCAGTGACTTTGAGGAACCCTATAGATTAGCCGTATACGAATGCTCGTTGTCGTGTTCGATTAGGAAAACCAGCACAAAAGTGGCGGGAAAAGAGCTGGGTAACTGTAAATGCCCCCAGAACACAGAAGCTTTGCCGCTCTATCGCGCTCTCCCCAACTTATCGGTGTGTGCGCGTTTTTCTTTTTCTGGCTGTGTGAGTCAGTGGGGGGACTGAATGACAAAACTTTTGGCGCCATTTTTAGTTTGCACTCGAGAGTGCAGCACGCAAAGCGCTAAAAAATACAAAACAAAACACGCACGCGGCAGGGAAAACAAAAAATAACAAAAGTCACAATCAAATGCCGCTTAGGAGAAGTAAAAAAGGTTAAAAATCAAATAAACAAGGGTCACGATCATCAAGGATCCCTAATAAAAATTCAAACCTTTGGAGTCCAAACAATTTGTACCTTCAAAATGACCGTGAAACTAGGCAATTAATCATGTGACAACCGTCGTGAAAAGCAAAAGTCCCTCTTGACCACTCCAGAAAACAGGATTAGCCCCCCTTGTCCAACCAGAACCAAGTGGAAAATGCCAAGGAAAAAGGCTGAAGCCCAGTGAAGCCGCAGACGGCGACAGGTGGGTGGACAGCGGGTGGCCATTTCCCGAAGGTGAGACCCAAAGCCGATCAGAAATCAAGAGCCCCAACAAGCAGGTGCGACTGAAAGTGACTTGCACTGGGGAATGTTCCGCAGTCCACGGATGAGACAACAAACTACACTGGCCAAACAGTATTTTGATCGCAAAAATTAAGTTGTAGAATTTTTTAAGTGGTGGAGAATTAAAGATTTTCAACAGAAAATAGGTCCTCTAAATTCTTAAAATTTTAAATTTTTTTAAATTTAAAAAAAAATAATTTAAATTTTACTTTTTTTTTTTAATTTACTTTAAATATAAATTTGAATTTTATTCCCCAGTGTATAATTATTAAAACAATTTCGCCAGAATGTTATTTATAAATCGTTTCTAAACTGATAACAACATCCATTCAACATTTTTAGATTAAATTTGCACATTTACCCTTCAAAACACTGACTAACTCAATATATTTGTTGTTAATGATTTAATCAAACAATCTACCAAATCAATATTCAGTTAAACTAGAACAACGTCTTTATCAATTAAAATTTTAAGATTAAAAATTGGGATAACTAAAATAAAAACAAAAATTGTTCGGAAAATTATATATTTTAATCGCCAAATCACTTTGAAATATTTAACAAAACTGAACGAAGTTGATTTAATTTCTAAAAGAGATTAAAAACGATACTCCTATCTTTCAATTTCATCACGAAACACCCATTAACAAAAGTTAATTATTTAAATACATAAACGCACTACAAACTAACTTGAAAGCACATGATTTGAATTCTGTAAATTCTCACTTAAGCCCTGTAAGCCCAACGAAGCACCTACGAATGGCGATTAATTAGTTAAATACATAACCGCGCACATGATTTCACTTGAATCAAAGATTAATAAGGCCTGACCGACTAATTTGACGACGAGTGTAAATGCGCTTGGCCAGCGTGCAAAAGTGCAAAAAGTCGTATGAAAAATGCTCGTATATTGCCCATATCTCGGCAGCGTACGTACTTTGACTTGTATTTCGGTCTGCTTGTGCTGCCTCTGCTGTTTACTTCACTCTTCTTGGATACTGGATACTTGTACTGGATACTGCTGGTACTACTGCTACTACTGCCTGTGAAAATCGCCTCGCACGAACTGAGGCCGAGACCTGAACAAAATGTACTGTGGTGCTGTGCTGCTGCTACTGCGAGCTGTGAGTCTCTATAGGCAAGCGAACTGAACTGAAATTCAACTGAAGCAGCTGTACCAGGCAATGGCCATAGCCAGCTATACAGAAACCCAACCAAACCGAACCGAAACCGAAACAGAAACACACATAGAGTGGAGTGGCGAGAAAGAGAGGTGAGGTGGTGCGGAGAGGGCATACACAGCACACAGCACGGCAAAGGCAAAAGCAAAAGCAACGACGAACAGCGAGACCATCAAATAGCACGGAGTACGTACGTACAGGCAGCCCATAGCCAGAGCCAAAGCAAAAGTATCTGTATCTGAGAGTCGAACAACGAACACACAGGGCGAATCGGGGGTAGGCGACTGTATCTGTATGCGACTGTATGCGCACAGTGGCGGGCCTTCGGGTGTGCACGGCTCTGGCGAGGCGACTCATTTGCGTGCTCGCACACTGGCGGGCCGGCAAATTAGAGGTACAGCGCATGCACAGTAGAGGCACAAAATATTGAAACTGCTCTTAAATATAATTAATTATGACTAAAGATATTAATTCAGGGCTTAGAAAAAGGCATTTTAAGAGCAATAAAAAATAAATATTTTTTTAACATTTTTATATTATTAAAAAAAATATTTATTTTATAAATCCCTTATTAAAAACAAACCCTACTTAAGATTAGGCCAAGGCAAACACCCTAAATTCTAACAAGACGCGCATGTTCCGACTATTTTTGCCGCGACTGTACCCTGTTTGTTCATATAAAAAGCATGGAGCTGTGAGAACGAATTGCCAGTAGTATTTGGCGGCGCCGCTTTCCCCTCCCCCTCCCCCCTCTCCCAGCCCCTCCGACCAACCATCTACTTAATACCCCAGAGCTCGTCAAAAACGTCGTCACTGCCGCCCGCCCACCTGTGTACCGCCCACCCCGTTTCGAAAAAATTGAAAACACTCCTATTTCGATAATTTGTATCTTTTCCATGCCCTTCATTAAAACTTCTTGTTTTAATTTTCTTTTTTTTTTCCAAAAAAAAAAACCATATTTAACCTAGAATATTGATTTGACATTTACACATCAATCGATTGAATAATCAGCCCAACGAATCGGCTCGCACACTCGAAAGGTGTCTGCATTTCAAAAAATAACCGTCAATATTTCGCGCGCGCCCTCCATTCAAAATTTCAATTCAATACGAGCACGATGTGGACGAAAGCCATAGAGCCACCTAACCAAAAGGCGAAAGCAGCCAATGGCTCTATGTGGTTGGGGCTCGAGTGGTAGAGTGTATAACCCACGCCGTCGCCACCACTAAAAATTGGGTCGTTTGGTTTATTTAGCAAAATTTATATAATAAATGGCCACCGTGGCGATATTTCTTTAACAGATAATTGAGGCGAGACAATAACGAATCAATCGTAGTGGAGCACTTGACACTCACCCGTATGAAAAAGTCGCGTAATTTGCGTTTTAATTGCGGCAAATCGAGGAAATCTGCTCGGTTTTTGGTTCAGATTGCTGGCTAGCACTATACTGCCTCTACTGTTCAGTTCACTGTATAAAATTTTTCTTTCCACTGACAAACCGAAGCAAGCTGCCCGAGCTGAGCGAACAACGTACGTAGTACAGCTTTTGCCTTTGCCTTTGGAATATGAAATACACAGCGTAGAGTGAATGCCCAGAGCCAAGAGCCATACGGCCATGCCATACGACGCAAACGCAGGCAAACTGGGGGCCTTTCGCTGTATGCGTGCCGAGTATCTGTGTGTCTGTGTGCCGCTCAGCGATTTGGTACTCACAGATACAGAGCATTTCCCTGTCCGTGTGTATCTGGCCTGGCTGGCGAATACTCGACTGTATGGGTTTTTGCTTCTGCTGGGTTCGTTCGTTCGTTATATGAACAAGCACAGGCGGCAGAGCAGATGGATGGATGGAACGGATGAGGAGTGGAGGGGCGGAGGAGCGGAGGAGGTGGAGGCAGAGGCAGTATCAACGGCAAGAGCGCAGAGTCAGAGCATTGAACATGGCCGCCTGGTCTTGGTCTGGCCTGCCTGGTCTCTGGTTCGCTTTCGGTACCCATATATCTTTCACTTTTTTGTTAGATTTTGGTTAGTTTTAACACTAACATGGGGTGTACTGAGTATGCAGATATATTAGAAAAACATAGGTCCTTCAAATGACATCGAAAAATCGCTTAAATTTTATGTAGAAGTTTTAATTTTGAGACCACAAATGTTTTTTTTAGGTATTGCCCATAAATAATTACATAGGTAAATTAAAAATTATTACTAACATGGGGTTTACTGAGTATGCAGATATATTGGAAATATATAATTCCTACAAATGACATTTAAAAACCATTTACAATTTATCCAAAAACCTGATTTTTATGAACTTTTTTGAAAATGTATACTACAAAAATTGAGGAATCTGCTGTTCCTGGTACTAATTTTTATTATTTTATGACTATCTTGGGATGTTCTAGGTATGGGATCATGTAACAAAAAACTTAGTCTCAGTAATGGCATTACCAAATTTATAACTTTACATACCACAAATCTGATTTTAGGGTATTACTTATAAATAATTGAGCTAGTTAATTCATTTTGCACGTCTTTAGTACTAACATGAGTATAATGTTTATCGGAACATTTCGGGAGAATTGTAATCCTACTTTATATGCCATCTTATAAAAACTGAAAAAAATGTTAGCAACAAATTGGAATATTGGTTCCCTATATTCAATTTCTTTAATTTACTACTTTGTGAATATCTTGAAAATATATTTTTATTACCAAAGCCCACAAAAGTATTACGATTAAAACTCTACCTTAGGTCTTAGCCTTCGCAAAAGTTAAATTCGTAGGTAATTTTCACTATGCCCACGAATAAACAGAACTGTTGCATACTTTTTTGGTTCGCACTCGTCCTGAATAAATATCTGTGGGATTGATTTTTACCATGAAATCTTTCGTTTTAAAATTTTTCTTATAAGAAAATATATAATTATTATAACAATATTAATATTTACTTCAAATTAGTTAAAAGAAAGAAAAAAAGTAATATGGAATGTTCAGAAATATTTTAAATTCGTTTTTGGTTTGTTTTGAAAATTGTGTCTTATTGTTTTAAAATTAGGTCTAGTGTTACAAACCTGTCTTTGATAATAAAATAATAATAGAATAAGAAATACCTAAAAAATTAAAAAAAAATTTAAGCTCAAAAAAGATTTAAACTGGGTTGTAAAATTACAATAATCATATAATACATCAGCGAAATGACATCAGAGACGTGGTGTTGCAAAGGGCCTTATCTAATCGAGCAGAGTGACAGCCGGCAATCGAAATTAGGCCCACGAAATAGCACACTCAACGAGTCGACCAGTGCCGCCTGTTTTTCGTTCACCAGTATCTCGCTCTATAGAGCCGTCGAGCTATAGACCGCAGTACAGCACAGTTGTAGCTACAGCAGCAAAATACGAAAATACGAAGCGAACGAGTGTCTGAAGGGGAGTCGGTGCGAGCGAGACGGGGCGGCGGGTGCGAGGGAGAGAGGCAGAGGCGGTCGTTCCACATACGCGACTGCAAAGCAAACACAAACAACACACGAAACCGAAGAGCCCGATTCGCTTGCGTGTAGGGTATGCGCAAGGCAGTGGGACAATCTGGACCCGGTCTAATGATGAACCGCTTAACGGATTAACCAGATTTGTGATCTCTGATTCCTGATGCAAGTCCCAATGACAATTTTGCATTGGGAAAATATGATATGTCCCATCTTTATACGGAATTCATTTTACTATCTTGAAGATAAGAAATGCGGTTAGCACAGGCAGCTGAAAGATACACACACAGTAAAAGGCTTGAGAACTACCGATCTCACAAATTCATGGAACTATAAAACTTAAACGATATTTAAATTTAAAAGTTCATTGGAATATGGCTAATACAGTAGATATTCAAAGTGTTTACAAGACTATTTGGAGAATGGTATTATAAATAGTATCTTATGATGGTCGTATTAAAACCCAATAAAAACCTATGAACTGGTAGGAAATAGGTAAAATATCTCATGATAAAATACCTCTTAAAAAATTAAACTAATATTTTGTCACCTATTTATGTTTATAAAATACTACAATAAACTACCCTGGGATTTTTATCTTCTTTTGGTTTGTATTTGGTTTAAGATTGAGGATAGTAGAGATTTCTTTCACACCCTTAAATACAAAGAATTTTTTAGTAAACAAGATAATATCATTAATCTAGATCTATGGTAAAATGCAAATATCCTTTGGATGTTTTAGGCAACTGTATCCTTTGGCGGGACAAACAAGGTAACGAATTTTACAGATCGTTGACCTCAACCAAAAACAGTATAGGGGTGCCTAACCAAGAAGGGGTTGCTCTGCTGCATAAAATATCTCTGGTATACCTAAATCCGGAAAATGTTATAACATTTCAAGATCCAGAAATGCATTTTTTTTTTGCCCTGCTCATTATTGGTCCCACCGTGCCAATGGGTCGGTCGATTATTATGGTTGTTTGTCGTCTCATTTCAGCCGTGTGTCTGTGTAGTTTATACCATGAAGCCAACGGCCCGTCGGATGATATCGCCGGGGGATGGTGGGGTGGGCGATGGGTGTTGGGTGGGCTCGTCGCTGGTTTCGGTTTCGATACCCGGGGGGGGAGAGGTGAGGTGAGAGACCCAAGCGGGCTGCAGTCGGCGGACCGACGCTACTGGCGGCGACTTTCGGTGGTGGCAATTGTCGGCCAAAGGGGTCTCCTGCCGCTCATCAGGATTGTGGGCGAGGGGGGTAGGAAGGGGGGTCGCTACTCTTTCGGTAGGAGTATGCAAAAACGAACCAGCTAACGAGCCGAGCGAACTGGCGACGCCGCTTCATCGAAATGGGGACGCATGAGGCGCACATTTGACAGGATGTGGATATAACGAGCCTGCATGCGTATGTATGCTCTCGAGTGATATACGATCGAAAATTAGATGCCCTAAGTTGGAATTGTCAATAATATTATGATGATTAAAACCTACTTTTTCACAAGTTTCGATGCTACTGTTTTTTATAAGATTTTAATATTTCCTGAACTTAATCAATATTAATTTACTTTTCCTGGCAACGATTTTGTATATAATCCGGTAGATAAAATTGATTTAAAAAAAAAATGATAATTAATAAATGCGAAGAAAAATTATTTTTTTTTTTAAAAGATGCATAAGGGAATGCTTTTTGATGTATTCACTTTTGGAAATTTAAATCTATTAATTACCATTAATGATCTATTGGATAGATAACTCCATAAAAATATCCGTTCTCAGGAAAGAATTGTGAGTTTTCCATAAACTCAAAGTAGAGAAACTAACTTAATAATAAATAAATAAATTATAGTTATTTTTATTACAAAATAATTGATTTCCTTTTAATTAAAAACGGGATCGAGTTTGTCAAAACCGAAAGAAGCATATGGGATCCTTCGACAGAAGATACCCTGAAAAACACATTCTTCTTCTCTGCCACATTCTGCTGCAACTCTTCATCTCGGTAATGGCTTTAGAGTATAGAGGACCTCGGTCCTTTTTGTGTGTACCAAGCATTCCTCTATGAGATCCTTGATGCCTCCTGCCTCTTTCTCTTTCTGCCTTCCCCTGACCCTGCTTAGCCAGCTTAGGTTGATTCCTGCTGCTGTTGCCTGGACTACTTGGACATGCGAATGCGACATGGCTTGGTTTTCGCCTGCAAAACATCTCACATTTGTTCGGTATACGAGTATGTGCGGATTGGAGGGTCGAGCATTTTGTGCCTTTCATGGAAACTGAACTGCATGAGAGTTGCCTTGAGTAAGTGAATGTTGCCAGCACACAGTCATAGTCTCGCATCGTATATCCTTGTGCAGACAATCAGGAGACTGAAGTACTCACAGCAGGACGCAGGCAAACATCCCGAAACAGGGGTTCCGCATCGCAGGGATAAGGAATACGGGGCACTTGTTGTTGCCGCTCCTCAACGTTGCATCTTTTTTCACCCATCCCACTCGAACCAATATGCTTGGCATATGGACTAAATGTACTTGGTTCTTTTCTTTACCGTTACGTTTTATAGAGGGTCTTACGCGCTCCGAGCGAAAATAACTTTTTGGCGCCACTTCTTGTAGGGAATCGTTTAGTTAGTGATTAAGATGGGGCTAATAAAGTTATGATTTCCTCTTGGCAATTATTATGTAATAAAGTCGCAAGTAAATTTCGATAATTTTAATTGGATGACAGCTTATTGGAAAGAAGAGGGAGTTCTTTTACTTGTAAGGGATATAATACTAATTTTCGTTGGATGAAGAACTCTTCGTTAGTCCGTTTTCAATAATTTATTAAAATTCAAGGAATCTATGATTTGTAAGAAAAAAGGTACGAATCTTTTCGGATATGTGTATCTTTAATTTGATATTTCATAGAAAAGTATTATATCCTTAACATTTTTTCATTGACAAACGATTTTTTGCAATAAGTTGTTTATTATTATTAGCTTTTCTCATCATTTAGGCATTTGTTATATGATTCTCAAGGATCAAGGCTTAGTCACAGCATATAAAGCGAAAGAAAATAATCCTTATTATTTGATCCTTTTGTTTAAAAATACTTAAATCATTAACATCTTACTCTTTCTCCTCTTGATAAAAGTCGAAGGAACCTGCATACCATTTTCAAATTCAGAATCGAAAGCTAAACCATTTTCCTTAGAACGCCTTCCGTTCCTGGTTCTGAATACGATTCTCTTTCGATTTCTGTCTCGGTTTCCACCTTCCACGATGTTCGTTTGTGCCGAACAGCTGATGGTGGCGTTGCGATGATGATGCATGTGCGCCAAAAGGGGGAAATCGGGGCAAAACAATGGGGGCTGTTCGCTAAATAATACGGATGGCGATGGCCCGGCGACGCGTTGTTGTTTTGCCAGTGTGTTTTGGGTAGAAATCGCCGGCCGCTAGCAACAACGACAACTGGATGGAAATGGTATGGGTATAGGAATGGTATGCCCAGGGCCTCCACGGCCAAGTTCAGTATCTGTATCTTCGGCACATTCCATGGGGCCTATTGTTGCACCACCGACCAGAAGCAGAGGCAAAACCAACACGAGCAACAGGACCGACTCCTTTGTGACCCAATTTAAAGCGGCCATGTGTGGGCGGACTACAGTGCCAGTAATCTAAATCGACGGTGGTTTCTTGGTGTAGGTTTATGTAGATTTAATTCGAATGGTTACTAATTCTAAGATCTGTTTAGCAATAAAAACCGAATGATACTACTTTAATAAAGTATATTACTCAATAAAATATTATTGAACAATGAAGTTCAATGATTGAACGATCGAAGTTTTGGGAGCTTGGGAAAAAACTTTACTATTTGAAGAAGAAAAATTTTTAAAATATAAAAATACTTTAAGAATTTTTAAGAAACATAAGTTTTTGTGAGGGGCTTAGCTTTAATCCTCAGGATTTACATCAGTTGACTCTTTATCCTTGAGGACGTGTTAAATTATCTTCCATAAGATAAGCCTTTGCAGCATTTTTACTTTAGTATAAATAAAGATGCATCACAATTTTAAACTCAGTACAAACTGCGAAAAAAAATTTGTAAACCAGTTTGATTTTAATTGGTTCAACCTGTCATAAATTAATTTATTAGAATACAGTGAACTTCATTAGTTCACCATTTTGATATACTATGTTCTACTTTGTAATTTCTTAAAAATATCTTCAAAATGTTTAAGGATGTTTCACTGTAGGAGAAACAGGTGAAGTGGCCAAGTTCAATACCACCCGCTGTGGGTACTGTGATGGCATCGATCTTATCGCTGGCCAATTTGAAGGTCGCAGGTGAAGGCCCTGTGAAAACCGTTAAGCCCGACGTTTGTGATTTTGGGTAGGGTGTTTATATGTTGCGAATAAACTGGCAATGCTGATAAGCAAAAACAACAACGCTCGTCGTCCGGTTTCGGAGTCTCGGTTTTCTCTCTTCTTGAGAATTTATTGAGCACACGCAGCGGACGGATGTGTATGTGTGAATGCGTCATATTTGCTGAAAAGTCCAAAATCGGCAGTAAAAAGATATATTCACAATTGAGTAAAAAAAACTTCGATTAATCAAAGATTTAACTGAATTATACATAACGCACTACATTATGTCACATTTACACGCACTTTACACGTATTTTACACGGCCCACCAACACTCAGAGAGCGTCTCTGCCGACGTCGGCAGCGTTTCCATTTCGTTCGCTGCTCTCTTCGTTGCCTTGCTGTGCGGTATCGTATCGGTACAGTACGGTTTGCTGGTGCTGCATTTGCTTTCTCCCACTCACGGTGTTTTTGCCGCCTGGCGTTTCGGCTTCTCTGCTTTTCTTCCGGCGGCACAGTGCACGGCCTCCAATTAGAACCAGTACTCATAAATGAAAAAAGCAAACCTACAACTGTTATGAGTTTAAAAGAAATTCAAGCCACAAATTATTATGACAATACAGTTATACAATAGGTGTTTTTTTAATTAAATTAGTTTTTAATTTATAGTTAATATTGTCAAATCGACAATTTTTAACAATTTTTTAACAAATTATATTTAAAAGGCTAAATAAAAATAAACTTTTTTGTATAGATGAAATTTGAACCTCGGTTCAATTGCCTTTTTACTGGAGTAGATTTACATAATTACATAATCGAAATTCAAAGTTAAAGTTTCTTCTTCAATTTTATTAAAGTAATACAACTTTGTGTGACTAATATGATATGAGTATAAAGGTTACACTTTATTGAAGCAATTAATCTACATAGTTCTTAATTTTAAGTAAGATGAGGTCTCTTTACAGTTCTGAGTTTAACGTGTGTACCTGTAAAAATGTTTCCCAACAAAAGTAATTTCAGTTAGATCTTAAATCAAAAATAATCTTTCAAGTTATTCCAATTAAATAACTTAGAATCGTATTCACAGATAAGTTGTAAGGAATGCACTTCTTATAAACTACAAAATGAAACTTCTTCAGATCCTGACTATGTCCTTGGTTATTAGTTAAAGATATCCACATCGCACGAGTGACCGCCAATCTTGCGACGCTCCATGGAGATCATGTACTGAATCTTGGATTGCATCACCATGGCACTGGCCAGTGGCATATTTCGGATCTGAGCAGCTACGCTCAGTCCGAAGTAGGTGAACTCGTCTTCACCTCGCATTCCCACCCCCAGTCCAACTCCATTTACCCTCCCGGCTACCGATGATCCCAGTCCCAGTCCCAAAACCTCACTCTTCTCAGAAAGAGAGCAGGCAGTCGACATAGGAAGAGGCATCTGTACAGCCGAATGTGGAGCCGTATTGATCTCATCGACCTTGGGCAGCGAAGGCGGCGGAGTGAGGGGCTGATCCATGGGCATGGGTGCTGGAAGGATGGTAAACAAGGACGATGGCGTCGGGATGGATGGCAACTCTGGGGCAGACATGTCATCCGGATCCGGTTTGATCTCGGTTTGCATCTTGATGGGCTTCAATCTTGTGAGACGAATCTGTAGACGCCTAAGTGGCGGCGGGTTTGACGCTTCGAAGTCATTCTGGGAAAGGATAACAGAGAAGAAACCATAACAACAATTACGACCGATACTTTACAATTAGTTAAAGCACTGGAGTCACTAGAATCTGCACTTAAAGTCTAAACTCTCTGGCTTTTCTAGTTTACGAGATATCGTCGTTCATACTGATAAGGATTGCAATAAACCTATCTTTAAGTTCTTATCTTAATGCAAAAAATTACAAGTTTACAAAGACCGGTTGCTAGGATTGCTTTTAGACTATTTTAAGAATATTATATCTTACCGTGTCCAAGAATTCGGCCAGGAAGCCATGAAGTGGGGCAAACCAAGGTGTCTTTGGCTGATATCCCGCAATAGACCGGATCTTCTTCAGCTCCTGGTGGTAGCCAGTGCGCAGATTCTTGATCTTCATCTTCACGCCCTGGATGGTCAGACCTGTTTCGTAAGGCTCTATGTCGGCATTGATCCCGGTCTGAATTCGCCGATAGGCGGCGCTTCGAGCTCGCCGTAAGTAGGGCCGCTTGTTCCACAGACAAGGCTCCCGGCCGTAGAGCTCGACGAACTTGACCGTGCGCTCATCAGAAAATCGATAGGGAAGACCCACCACGCCGGGCGGTACGGGATTGGTCATGGCTGGGCTGCAAAATTGATCTTTTCGGAAGTACTTTCTATTTTTGGAGACCCCCGGTTTCTATGAATAATATGCCCTTGCAAAGCAAGAACGGAGAAAGCACGAACGATAACCTCTCCGCACAACTGCTGCTCTCCAACTGGACGTTATACATGTTGCTTTCTGCTTTGCTGCTGCTTCGCTCGGCCCCCATCGCCCCCTCTCTCCTGCAGTCTCACTCATCTTGTGTGATGCTTATGTTTTGCAAGTGTGCTTTCAAGTGGGAGGCAAAGCACGAACGAAAGGAATTTAGCACTGCTGCTCGAAAACCATTTCGAGACTGCTAAAATACGAGCATTTTACGAGCTCTTAAACGGAGATGTATTTTTATCCCGCAAACTGACTTTTTTGATTCCTAAAAAAGTTGCCTTATACCCCATCTTCATCAAATTACTGTTTAGAAAAGTTTTCAACACCCTAAACCCCAAAATAAAGCATGTAAACAACGATTTTTTCAAGCAATTCCAAAGCAGAAACGAATGAAAATTTGCTGACGACGTGCTTTGTTGCTTTTGCAGTGCTGCTTGGGAGAGAAACGGATAAGAGCGAGAGAGAGAGGGCGCAGGCCCGTTATTTGAGAGGCGCTCTTGGAGCACAGTGGCGCAGCCAAGGGGGTTTCGGCTCCAAACGAACATAAGGTGTGAAATCTGAAATATTTCAACCCCCTTGAAATAATATTTGGGGCCACTACTGTTCTAAACAATAAACTTTGACGCTACTGATGCTGCAAATACGCTCCAGTCACGCAGAAACTTACGCAAAATTTGGGGTCAGGACTCTATTTGAATGGGATACTGTGTTGCAAAATTGTAGCTACAAAACATAATAAATCAAACTCTAAAAACCTAAGATATTTTCCCCCTAAAGAAACTCTGCAAACGCCCCTGAACTTTGAATGCAAATTAACATGCATAAATACATACATACATAAACAATCAGACATAATAAAGCTGAATTGAAGTTGTCATAGAAATGTATGCCTCTCTCTTTCTGCAACTTGAGAGTGAAGAATCGGAGAGGGATCGCCAGCCATTAACAGCAGCTGTTAATTAACAGCGAGTATTATGGCTTGTGTGGTTTTGCATTAAAATTGAATTTTTCCTAGGCCCCGAGATCGTTTTTCCCTAATGCGCCCCTCTTGCAATCTCGATGCAACGGAATGCAGTTTCTTCCCTTCAGGTAGGTTCCATCATCTTTCATCTGCCTGTTTGTCTTTCCTTCTGCCAGCGCCCCTTCCCTAGTCCTGCCTTATCCTTGGCTATTGTGAACTTGCAACAGCGCGTGACATCGTTATCCTTTGTGCCTCCGGGAGGAAAAACTGCATCGGCAATTCTAGGACCCATCCTTTGTTAACGTTTTCGGGGCATTTACGATTTGATTGTGGGAAAATGTGTGACAGCATCTGCCGCTGAAAATCTAGTCGAAATGTAACGGTTATAACCCTATTGGGATTCTTAAAGAATTTTTTCCAGGATATTTTTAAAACTATAAAAATATTACATTTTTACTTATATGAACATGGTATTTTAATCGTTGGATTTCAATGAACAATCATTTCTCTGATTTATAGTAAATAAAATAAAAATCAAAATAATTTTCGAATATGGGAAATAATGGTCTAAAAGAAATAAATATGAAAATCTAAATAAATTCTTTGACAGAGAATCAGTACTAGCATTGCCTTTCACATTTGATCTGTTCGAGCATTTGTATAGAAAAAATCAGGTGAAAAATTCGTCAAGCAAAGGAGAACATTTCTCGTACTATAAGTGAACCGAAATAAAATATTTAAAAAGTGTTTACTTCAAACCGAAGGTAAGTTAACCAAAGATACCTAATATTTCTTAAGGGGAATCAAGATTTAAAAATCTATCTGATATAAATTAAAAGATTGCTTTTTTTAATGTCCTACAATTAACTATGCTAGTTGCTTGGATTAACTTTTGGCGCCATTTTTAAAAAGCGACCCTCGTTCTTTTTGTGGTATGCGTTCCGTTCAACCGAGAGAGTTTTGCTCAGGTTTCTTTGCAAGTATGCGTTCGCAGACGAAAATGGGAAACTGCCAAAAAGTCGCCGTCTTTTTCACAGGAATCGAAGGGAAAATCGCCCACAATTTGCTTTTCCCAACTAGTTGTACAATTGTTCCAAAATCATTTTCCCTGCTTAGCGTTTTATTTGTTTTTACATGCCATTCATCGTCTTCCGTTTTGCTCGCCGCCGCAGAGAGAGAGGGAGAGAGAAACTCTCTCTCTGCCGCGTCGCAGCCGGCGTCGCTGCCAGTCGGCGTTTTCGCCTTCCTACTCGCTTTCGTTCTTTTCGTGCTGCCGCCAGACGCGTTCTTCTGTACAGTTCAAATCGAGCCACACAAGCGAAAGGTTGGTTTCCTCCAGTCAGTTCCAGAAACATTGTGCAAATATAAATCAGAAAATACATTGAAATACTTGCCAGTCCTGTAAATAATAAGTGCCCAGTGAAGAGTGCAGTTTGCAGTCGAAAACTGCCGTTTTTCGCCGTGAAATCAGCCAGTGAATTTTCAAGCAGCGCGTGTCTGTACCCCAGAGCCACAGAAGAGCGGCGAAAGCGTTGCCATTTTGGCTTGACTTCCTCCTTTGCTCGCTGCTTCTTAGGCCTCGCCTCAAAATGGCCGCCGATGTCGCAATTTTCCCTGTTTTCGCTCAAAACTTGCTGTTTTCGGTGGAAATTGTTTGTTAGACGCCTGTAAAAACGCGCGCTTTTCTCGCCTGTACTATTTCATATGCGTTTTTGTGCATTTGTTTTTACCCGACATTTAGCGTTTCTCTTTTAATTCGCCGGTTCGGTGAGAGAGGGAGAGTAGAGCTCTCCCGCTCTCCGAGAGAGTAGTGCTTCCTCAGCTAATTTCCTTGTTAATAATTTGTTTGTTTTGTTTGTTAGCCATGAGATATTGGAAAACAAGCGATTTCAATAAAATCTATATCTAAAGATGTAGATATGTAATCTGAAAAAGTCTGAGAAAACCCAAAAAACAAAGCCACGCTCTCTTGAACATCTGCCGCCTTCATTTTTTTTGCGTACCTCTGCCGACGCCGACTGCGGCAGAGCAGAGCGAATACGTGTGAGAGTGCCGCCTTCATTTTTGGCAGTCGACGCCAACTCGTTCACTTTTTTTCGAAGAACAAGCGGCAAAGGTTGGTGAACGCGGCTCGATAAATAAAATAAATACTTGTAAAAAGCATAAATTTTGTGATAAATACATTTTGTACAAAGTGCGAAGCAGGCTGCTTGATTTAGTAAACGAATCACTTTGAAGTTGCCTTAAAGAGAGAGCGAAAGAGAGCGGTGATTAAACACGTTGAATTGTCAACTTTATTTACCGAAAACCCTGTTAAAACAGTTCATTTTGAATAGAAAATCGGTGTTTTCTTAAAGGCCTGTACCCCAAAATGCCATTTCCCTGGCATTTTTCACAATTTTTCTCGGTTTTTTCCTACACTTTGAGAGCGCGTCGCAGTCTGTACCAATATAAGGCAGTCATCGCATACAGAAAAAGTGTGTGCTGCCATTTCGCTGCTTTTCGCACTCGCCCTCGAAATTGTTGCCTCTTTTTAGCCCGAATAAAAGGTCTTTAAGCCCGCTAAATAGTTGCAATCCCAAAGGTCCACACATATTGCCCTGTAGAACGCCAATTAATTTCATATTAATTATTAAGTGGCGCGCGTTCAGGCAGGCAGAAGAAGCAAAAAGCGCGAGAGAGCAAGCGCGCGCGCGCGCATTTTTCGGTTTTTATTTCCCCATTTCGTTTGAGAGCGCTGAGTAGTAGTAGTGGCATCTCCCTTGCGCCGCCATTGCTCGCCTCCGGTGGTGGCTTGCTGTCTCGCTCTGCCGCCGCCGCTGTTGTTGCCTTTGCCTCTACTTTGCTTTTGGTACAGGAACATGGCGCGCTGCTAAAAAGAAAATGTGCTGCCCATAACATTTTGAATTAAAGTGTTTAGTTTTGGCCCGGGGAGTACAGTACTACAGAGCAGTTAAAGGTTATTAGTAAATAAATATGAAACTATAAGGAAAAATGCTATATAAATAGAGGGACTACTCTAAAATACAATGTTTAGCATAGCAAATATTCCTGGGCTGTTAGGTGTTTTTTCTGTACAGGAAAAGTACTAGGTTTTAATTCTGTACAATACTTTATAAGACTGATCTTAAAGTTAAACTACAGAAATAGATTAAAAATTAAAGTAAAAGTACAGTACTACAGAGTATAGTTTATACAGATTATTAAGAACAAATTGATTAAAAAACCCTAAATTAGTTGAGGCATGTTATAAGAAAGTATTCCAGCAGTTCCCAAAAGTCTTAAATGTTCAGAGCAAAATATGACTCCAGAGCACTAGTTATAGATTGTTAATTATAGCTGGTAAATACTAGGAAAATGCTCTTAACTATAGTCTGAAACTTGTTTCTAAAAATAAGTATAGACTTTGTATTAAAATGACTTTTTGATTAAAGAAGTTAGGGCGACTTTAATGCACCTATTATATGATATGAAATCTAACTAATATTTATCCCCTTTATTCCACTTACAGCCCGAAGCAAATAATACCTAGTGTAACACTTGTTAAATAGTTTCAACAAAACACAAATAATATGGCCGATAAACCAAAACGCCCACTCTCCGCTTACATGCTGTGGCTCAACAGTGCCCGCGAGTCGATCAAGAGGGAGAATCCCGGCATCAAGGTCACCGAGGTGGCCAAGCGCGGTGGCGAATTATGGAGGGCAATGAAGGACAAGTCGGTGAGTACAACTAAACCCTCCAATTACCCATGAACACCTTACTTACATGCCGTTTTTATTTCTCTCCTTAGGAGTGGGAGGCCAAGGCTGCCAAGGCCAAGGATGATTACGATCGGGCCGTCAAGGAGTTCGAGGCTAACGGCGGTGGTAGCGGTGCCGCCAACGGTGGATCCAAAAAGCGCGCGAAACCAGCGAAAAAAGGCAGCCAAGAAGAGCAAGAAGGACGAGTCCGATGAGGACGATGATGATGAGAGCGAGTAGACTGCTCATACCTACCCTTATCTCCATCACCAAGTCACACACACACACACAAAACAAGACCCCAAGAAACCAACAAAAACACTGCATTTGCATCCACAAATCCCCTTAATAGCATAGAAAGCCCAGCCCGATCGGTCATCTCATCAACAAACGAGATCTGTTCAGGTTGCAACTAAAACTACACAAACACACCCGAGAGAAGAACAAAAATACGTGAAAATAAGCAAAATTGTATTTATACATATGAATTTAAGTTTATAGTAGTCGTTTCTCTTATAATAACCATATACAAAGAAGAGAGGACAACCAACAGGAAAGGAGAAGAATGTCAGAGAAGAAGGATGTTTTTTTTTACATTTCTGCGGCGTTTCGTCTGGAAAAACGATGCGTTTCAGGGATTGAAGAGAAAATCTATCTTGCATATAAATTTTGTAAAGTAAACGATAACATAATTCCATTAAAAATAAAAAAAAAGATACAAAAATTGCAATTGTTCTCTCAGTAGTTGGATGAAAATGACTATCGTTCTGTTAACTTTGAGATCGGGCTGAAGAAAGGGGATTGTTTATCCACTTCACAGACAGAAAATACACGAGAAACAATACAAACAAAACACCGCAAATGAAACAAACGAAATTTCGCTCAGGTCTTTTCGTCATTTTGCATTAAACTTAATGTTTAACGTCTTGTTAGCTAAAGATGTATAGCAGAAGAGGAAATCGGAAGGTAGATGAGACAAGCAGATGTAATTGCATTTAATCGGTAGTTTTAATTGATAACTATACGTATAATTTAATGAGAAAACCAACAAAATAAAATAAATACATTTTTTAAATGCGTTGAAAATCGACCGCTCTTTAATTGCTGAAGAGAATGGGGAAAAAGAATAAAAACACCTGGTTTTTGGTACTTTAAACGTTTTATTTTAAATATCATTATGAATTCAATAGTTGATTCATGCTAAACTCTAAAATGATTTCCATCGTTTCCGGTAGTTATGCAAAAATCAATGCAATGACTTCTGTGGGATTTAGTGAACTATTATATATTATTTAACTATTTATCGTATGGGATTATCGCATACAAATACCATTAGAGTTCTTGTCTTCACTTTGGGATTATCAAATGTTAACAGATCTACAACGGAAACAACCCTTTAAACAATATCTGCGGTTCGATGATTCAGGTGAATGCTACGTAGAGATTAAAGCTTAAATTTAGATACATGCTCCTATTGGACTGGTGCCAGATCTTACAAATTAAGTATGGGGGCCTTTGCTTTTTGGTTTTCCACGGTGTACAAAACAGAACGGTGTTGCGCTTATTTATTATCGAGCTTAGACTACGAAGTTGTATGGCAAACAAAAAACAAAGTCTCTCTCAGAGCCTTTCCACGAAAAAGAAACGATATGAAGTCAAGAAACGAAAGAAGCTGTTCCAAAAGGGTGTCCATAGCAAGGTGGTGATACTATCACCGAAGATCTCCAACCATCAGCAGCCTGACCTGACCACACATAACTCATGTCTAATTGCGATTCAGCCAGAATATTGTCTTGAGAACGAAGTAGGCCAGGCCCAGACAGTAGACGATCTTCTCCCGCTGCGTGCGCTGCTCGTTGTTGATCTCGATGTTGAGCACCCGGCGATTCAGCTTGGCCAGCTGGCGTCTCAGATACAGGATCTCCTCGTGGGGCGTCAGCTCGCCCATGGGCGTGCCCTCGCGATGCGCCAACATCGAGGCATCCAGGTTGTTGTGCTGCTGCTGATTCAACTGCGACCGTTTGCTGGCACTGCCCGTGGTCAACTGGAAGAAATTCCAAGGAGAGGATTAGAGATTTATAAAGATGGCTTAAGGTTATTGTACCATTTCAAAGTGTCGGGTTAGGAAATATATATGTAGAGGAAGTGGCAAATTTTGGAGAATGTTATTGTAATTAAGGTGACAGTAAAATTGGGGGAGAGTTAAAACTCATAAATAGGGGTATGGTATACCATATCATAAAACTCTATGAAACATAAATTCATTTGATGGTCCTAACATAATATATTTGGAATTATTTTCTAATGAGGTGTTTTTTGACCTACCATTTTAAATAAATAAATTATTTTTTGATCCTAAAATATAACAGAATCTCTGATGAAAAAACAAGTATTTTTCTCCCTTCAAATGTCCAGTTCTAACATAATATACTAGGAATTATTTTTTGTTTTTGACCTACCATTTTAAATAAATAAATTATTTTTTGATCTAGAAATATGACAGAATCTCTGATAAAAAAGGAAGTATTTTTCCCCTTCAAATTTCCAGTCCTAACATATATATTATTATATTATTTTTAATGAGTAATGAAGTGTTTTTTAAACCACCATTTTATATAATGAAATTAATTTTTGATCTTAAAATATGACTGAATTTCGGATAAAAAGGGAAGTATATGTTCCCCTTCAAATTTCCAGTCTCTAAGCAGTTTCCCTATAAACAATCAACATTCAAAAACTCCCCCTAAATCGAAATTTCTGTATAGTCAACAATTCTTGTTTTTCGGTCCGAGCAATGACAACCAGTCCAATCTTTGCCGAAGTAGACGAAGGCGAGCTGCCCAAACTGGAGGCGATTATCAGTGCCCTGAAATGCGAGCAGACGGGTCACATTATGGAGGCGATCCTGCTGTACGAGGAGAGCATCTTCAAGTTGTCCCAAATGGCTGAGGCGGAGCCGAGTCGCCGCCAGCTGTGTGGGAAGTACCTGAAGACGTACGAGGCGCGGGCCAAGCAGCTGAGGGACCAGGTCAAGGGTCACCTGCACTCCAGCCGAATGCTGGATCACATCGGCATCGAGCAGGGTGCCAGGGGTAGGAGCTACCAGCGGTTGTTGGGTCCGTACTTGGACGACGGCGTGCGGGAGGCCCATCTCAACGAGCCTCATCTCACGGAGCCGCCGCATTTCAGGAATCTGCTCAACTTTCTGGAGGTGCTCGTGAAGAACTGTCGCTATCTGAAGTATATACGCTTAACGACTCGACCAGATGCAGTGGCTCCCAAGAATCAGCTACAGATTTTGCAGCAAATGAAGAACGACCTGGCCGGTGGCAATATCCAAATGAATTTCCAGATGGACGACAGCCTGCACGATCGTAAGATTGTGCTAAGCTCCGGGGTGGTCATCAAAATTGGCCGGGGTCTCCACTATTTTGAACCAGCGAAGGGCTCCTACAATTTGGGGCTCTGCGACTTCGATTTTCGCAAGTGCCTGGCCACCGAGGTGGACGTCTGGAAGTGTCGTCCTTTTGCCAAGCGGCTCAAGGACTCGCAGGAGGACGAGTTCCAGGCCGCCAAGGAGGATCGACCGCAGGCGCATGCCTACTCCAGCGATTAGCAAGAGTGAGAGTGGGATTTCCACATGGTCGGTTGAAATTAGGTCAGTCGCCTTATCGAATCAGTACTAGAAATTAATAAAAGCAGCAGGTTGTTAATCTCTTTGCTGACTGAATGGGCGGGAAGCGAAGCATGACCGCTGATTGCTTTTACTAGGTATTCCATTGCATCATGTCTTTATAGATTGCAAAGCTGCAAATCAATATGCAGAAATGAAGGATTTCAATCCAATATTGGTTTATAGAAGAGGACAAATAGCAGTGGAAAAAGGGGAATATAATTGTCGTGTATGCCAATTATAATCAAATAAAAGCGGTTCTATCAATTCAAGTGATACTTAAAACAGAAATCAAATGAACATAGGTAACTCTAGTGTCTACTAATACTGATAAGTCAACTAACAATTTCGACAGGCGTCGCAAAAGACAATAGATTTTAGCATTTTAATTCAATAACCTAATGAAAAATAAATCACTGAATAAAATATGTATGGAAATAAAAATTCGTGGCTTTTTCGAATGGCAAAACTAAAAAAAATATAATTTTTGAGGGATTTCGAATAAATAGTCATATATTTACTATTGCCCTGCTTATAGCTATCTATAACGTGCTTTAATTTCAACTAACTGAATAGATTTATTTTAAAAATTCAGATTGAATCCGAACGAACATTTCCAGTCAGTCGAAAGTTAAGTCAGTACTTTTAAAATCTGGACTATTTAATTTGCAGTGATTTACATTTAAGTAAAGTATGTTTAGATAAATAGTCGAAAGTCGAAAGCCTTTAAAACCAACTAAGGATTGAATATAAAAAAAAATTCCATTATTTATAGAGTAACTCGTAGCAGTGTCGTAGGCAGGATTTAGTTGAGGGGTTTTCAGTACAAATAATTATTATTTTGGATAGGATTTAACCCGAGAGTCGGTTCTATACACCCAAAATAACCCTCCCTGTTCATAGAACTATTTGAATGGAATTACAATCGAATGAAATATAAGTGAGTAGAAACCTGAAACCTCTTTATACATAACTCGAGTGCCCACTGATAAATCCTCTGTATATTTACTCACCTGGGAGTCCGATTCCACGGAGTGGGTGTCGTTGGCGTGGAATCCCATGCGGGCGACTCCATTGGCACGCACATACTGGGTGGCCGCGTGGCCCTCCTCGTCGTCGGCGTCCTCGTCGAGATCGTGGCCATAGAGATGATGACCGTTGGCCCGGATGGGCGAGCTCTCCTCGGAGGCCGAAGGAAAGTGGTGGTCGGTGAGGGTGATGACGCGCGGCGGCGTCTGGACGCGCACCAAACCAATTGAAGGGTTCTTGGGCAGAATGGAGTTCTCCAGCTGGATTTCCCGCGGCGCCGAGCGCGTCTCCAGGTGCTGATTGTGACCCAGGACCACGATTCGATCGGGCACATTCATGTCGATCTTGTCGTGGTAATTCCAGGAGCTGATCATCCCGTTCTGGTTGGAGAGCAGCAGATCCTCGTCGGAATACTCCCCGGTGGCCTTGATCCGCTTGGGAACCCGCATCCTGTCGTTGATTTCGTGGGCAAACTTGGCCTCATTGTAGAGATCATCGTCCAGTCCATTGAACATGGGCGTCGGCGATTGGGGGGTCACCATGGTGGGTCTCCTCTTGACAGATCCTAAGTCCTATATATATTTACTCTTTATTCCGCAGCGCTACTTTTGGTTTTTCCGTTGTTTTTCCCAATTTTTATTTTCAAGGAGGCGGCCGTGAGAGAGACGTTTTCATAACAAATTAGTAACCAGAATTTGGCAAGCGCAACATTTTCGTCTTGTTTTGTGTGCGTTGTGTTCGGTGCAATTGGTGTTTTTCGAATGCTTTCTACTTACATTGCTCAGGAATTGACAGGAAAATGTCCGGGAAATCCGTAATAATTTACAATTTTTCTCCTGCTTTTGTTATGTGTGTGAGGAGAATGGTGCTAGAATGCGCTAAAAAATCCCGAACATGACAGGACTGTTCTGTTATTTGCCAGTTGTGGCACTAACGGCGGTTTTATAGCTAAATTAATTAGGGGTTCTTAAATTATAAATTAAATGTCGTGATTAACTTGTTAACTTTTCGTTTGTTACTTTAACAGGAATTAATAAAATGTATCCTTAAACAACTAGTCACTGCTGGTTGACAATTCTGTAGAACTTTTTATAGCTTAAGATATTATTAATTTTGTTGTTTAAATTAAACGTATTTATTATAATATATTTTTAATGTATTAGTACTTTTATTATAATAAACTTATATTTTTTATTTTTTATGTAAATTTATTAAAACCTTTTACTTATTCGAACATTTTTATATTTTTTAATTACTATTTTAGTTCGAGTTTTTATTTTAATGACCATCTAGTTCTTAATAATTTGTAATATCTTGAAATGTTAACGTTAACATCACGCCGCGTGCTGTTAGGCGCATTTGGCGTTAGCCAACACTAAAAAAAATACCAACGCAAGGGCCGCGCTCATTTTACAACAAAATTTCCGCAACCGCCGACAGCCAGACGCGCGTCTTTTTTTAACCAGTGATTTGTGCTGAATTTACGGCGTTTCATTAGCGCCAGAAAGTGAAAAACTACAACTAACTAGCAGCAGCAGTGAGTAAACAAGTTTTTAAGTGCCAAAAGTAGTTAGAACTAAGTTAAAACAGCGATTAAATCAGCTACCAAGCAAGCGAGAGAGAGGGAGAGAGCGAGCGGGCTCTGCCAGCGTCGCTGCCTGCGGAATGTACAGTTGCGGCAGCGACGTCGCTTTTCCTTTCGGCGCGCAAACACAAATAAAGCAGAAACAAGTAGAGAAAAAACAGCAAAAACAACAAAGAGAACTAGAAAACTAGAGAAAACCGCAGAGTTACTTAAAAACATTTATAGATTGTGTGTATTTTGTAAACTATAAATAAAATATAGCACTCGCTGCGTGAGAAACTAAAGATGATAAGCTGACTGATGATTTTCATTTTGCAGCACGTTTTTTCGGCTCGTAATTCATCATGGATCGTCGCCTGAGACGCCCGCGCCGCACGGACGAAGTGTCCAGCGGCCCAGTTCTGCAGCAATCCTCGCAGCCCAGCCAACTGCCGGTGACCCGGCGAGCGGGATCCCTCACAGCGGCAGCAGCAGCCGCAGGAACCACCGGTCCCGCCACCCGGACACGTGCCTCCCCGTCGCGCAACAAGGTCACCGCACCGCCCTCGCCCGAACTGGGACCGCGCACCCGCCGCTCCAGCCGCCCGAGGTCGTCGGTGGGTCCGCTCACCGCAGCGGCCCCAGGATCCGGTTCCTCGCTGCTCGCCAAGGCCGCCATCAAGGCTCGCACGCCCATCCGAGAGGTTTCCGAGGTGAGTGCTTCGCCAAACCAGTTTTCCCGCGCAGAGAAAGAAAAATGTATACATTTATCAGTACTATTTTTTATGAAATATCTTCTATTTTCACCAATGAAGATCCAGAGCTATACAGAATTTTTTTATTTATATTTATGATGTATTTATGATGATCACCACAATATTATGGGTATTATCAGTTTACTATTCAAGTTATTTGTTTCCCCACTTAATTTTATGGATATCTTGTAGTACATATAGACAGGAAAGAATGAAAAACTTTTTGTCCATCGTAATAGTTATCAACAATTAAATAATATAGTAAATATCAGTAAAGTATTTGTTTTCTAATCAATCACTTTATATAACTTATCATCTTAATTGTTTTTGATATCACCTATAGAAGCAAAGGAACTTCAAATCAAGTATTGACGAAAAATGATTACAAACATGTTTGATTTAATGATCGTTTTAGTACTTCTTTATATTTTTTCTATTCTTAGAGAAAAATAACGAGCAAAAAAACGATAAATTATGATATCAAATATTTTACTACGAATATTATTTACGAAAAATGATTGCAAACATGATTGATTTAATGATCGTTTTGGAAATTCTTTATATTTTTCTATTCTTATAGAAAAATAACGATAAATTATAGTATCAAATAGTTTACTCCATTTGAGCGATACATTTCTTAAATTCTCATAAAATAATCAGCTCCAGAATTTATAACCATTTAGCATACCGAGTTTTTTTCTATGTGGTATAGGAGTATTTGAGCTGATAAGCTTTACCCCAACTGCTTATCAGCTCAAGGGCTGTTTTCATGTGGTACCAAAAGGGAATTTGGGCTAGAGATTAGGAATGTGTAATTGCCGAATTAAACTGGTGATTACCTTTGTTTAATTGTACCAATAAATAAATCGAAAAGCTTAATTTCCAATACCTCCATATAAGCCTGACTAAAAATCCCCACTAATCTCAATCATCCTAATTTACAGGTACCGTCGCCCGCTCGTCAGACGTCCAGCAGTTTGCCCCTGGCCTTGACCACCAACACATCCAGTGGGGCCCCGAATAAGCTGTTCAACACGAGCTCCACGAACAGCGGCAACAACTACAGTCGCACCACCACAACGAGCACCACAACCAGCGAGCGCATCGAGATTCGCGCCGAGGGCGAAAGTGAGGTGGACACGGACTCCATTCGCAAGCGAATCACCGAACGACTCCGCCGATCGGTGTCCAAAACTATCTCGAATTTGGCCGGAACCCCGGTGACAAACACCGAAGAAGGCAGTCGCTACAGCCGCAGTGTTTCGCGATCCGTGTACGACGATGAGAAGTCCTCGAAGCGCAGCTACTCCACCGGGGGAGGAGGACATCGAGGAGGAGGAAGAGGTGGAGGAGGATCAGTTCCGTAGCTTCAATGTCACCCGTAAATCGGCCACACCGGCGGAAATTTCGTGTCGCCAGCTGAAGGCTCCCCGCGAATTCGGAGGCTGGCTGGGTGCCTTCCTCCTGCTGCTCCTGCTGCCCACCGCTGTGTACTATCTCACCTGGAGCTGCACGGCCCGTAACTCCTGTCAGTTTAAGCGCCTCAATCTGGGCATTCTGCTGGATGTTAACTACCTAACACGTCAAGTGTTTCAGCCACGAGTTGTTGGCGCCTTTGCCGCCTATCAGGTGGTGGTTTTTGTCCTCGTGGCCCTGCTGCCCGGACGAAGGGTTCATCTCACCCGGGAGACCTACAAGTTCAACTGTCTGGCGGTGTCACTTACTCTTCTGATTGCCGGTGGAGTCGCGGAGTATCTGAAGTATCCGGTGGTGACCTTCATTCTGCGTCACTATCTACGTTTCTGCATTTTCGGACTCGTCGGCGCCTTTGTGGCAGCTGCCTGGAGTTACTGGCTCGTGGACACGGCCAAGTACAACGTGCTGCGTCAGACGCTGACCAATGATTATGGCAGGACTGGCAGCTTTGTGGTGGACTTTGCGCTGGGCAGGCAGCTGAATCCCAAGTGGCTGGGACGCGTGGATTGGAAGCAGTTCCAGTATCGTCTCTCCTTGATCACCACTTTTCTGTATGCCGTTTGTTATATCTACCAGACGCTCGTGTGGCCGCAAAAGCCACAAATGGCGGAGCAGGAGGGCTATCTTCATTTGGTCAAGTACTATTGGAACAATGTCAACTACGATGCGGGCACCCTGCTCTCGGCCAGCTGTCTGCTGCTCTACGTACTGGATTCGATTGTTTTTGAGCACCACCTGAGCTCCTCTTTCGAACTGCAACACGAGGGATATGGCTGCTTGCTGCTCCTGCGCTACGCAGCCACTCCTTACTTGCTGACGGCGGTTACCAAGTATTTCTACGAGCAACGCATACCCATCTCCTGCTGGTATGCTCCTTTAGGAGTGGCCGCCCTGCTGTCTCTGGGATTGCTGGTGAAGCGTTTCAGCTGCGCCTACAAGTACAAATACCGGCTGAACTCACAGAGTCCGATCTTCGCCAACATTGAGACCATTCACACGTATCAGGGAAGCCGCCTGCTGCTCAGCGGGATGTGGGGTTGGGTCAGGCAGCCCAATTACCTCGGCGATATCCTGGCTTTGCTAGCCCTGGCTGCTCCCGTCGCCCTGCGTCCTGCCTGGCCTCCAGTTTTGGGTCTCAGCCTGATCGTCCTGCTGCTGCTGCACCGCGCCACTCGGGCGAACGCCAGGAATCAGGCGCGCTATCACTCGTCGTGGCATCGCTACAGCACCCAGGTGCGCAGCTACATCCTGCCCAGGATCTACTAAGCACCTAGTTGACTTCTTTTATTTTTGTGGCCATTTTTATTTCGATTTCAGTTTGTTTTTATTTTATGTTTCGAATTTTGTATATAGAAATACGTATTCATATTCAGCCCCCCCATTCATTTAAGTACAAAATTTGATTTTACTCTCGCCGACGAACATTGAAGAAAATCCTTAATCACAAACACACATATAAGCTTAAGACAAAAGACTCCCAAAACATCTAGATGTACGAACTTATGCGCTTAAGATCTAGACACCTTAAATATATTCATTACTTTATTATATCTATATGGTATGCATATAGAAAGTACTTTTTAAACTTAAATATAAAATAAAAAATCTTTAGTTTCTATGCTCTAAAGAAACGCACAACGATTTGAGTTGTTATTTGGTTAAAATGGATGCTTGATGAGAAATGCTATCAGATTAATAAGGATTTCCCATAAAAATTCGAATTTTGTATGTGTTTTTCAGATGCTTTTATTGAATAAATATTTCGATGCCTAAGAGCTCTCATTTCGGTAGCTTTTCACAAACTTTTCTAATTTTTCCGGCACATTCGGCTCGATGTAATAGAACATCCTATCAATCTTTAGGTCACCACCTTTCACGGGCAAGTCGAGGTAGTAGATACGGTGGTCTTGGCCATCCGGCAAGAAGTTATCCATGGTGAAGGATTCTATGTTTTCCTGGACATGAATGCCCGATTCGAGTCTCGAGTTGATTAAATTCATATTCGTACCTATTCCCTCTGCAGTGGACTGGTTATCCAGAAATACACCAAATTGAGCCCTTTCCTTAAAGCTAGCTAGCTTAGCACATAGAAGATTAGTTATTCCAGTGTCCAACAGATAACCCCATACGATGATAGGATTGGAGGTGGTATTGACTATATACTCAAATACCACCAAGGCATCCCGCACAAGGTCTTCATCAGTGGGAAGCACAGGATCAGTGTCCTTATGGCGTCTGCTATCGAAGGAAAAAATGTGGTAGTTGAGCGTCCTAAGCAGCATAAACTGGTCTCGACGTGGGCGACTGCCTCGATTGAATTCCCTCTGACTTCCTTGGATATAGAGGATTATGGTGCCACCCGGAATCGCCAGTAATTTCTCGTAGAAGAACCTCTCGTTCTCGGGCAGTAAGACGGGAAATTCAGCCCGAATGGAGGGCACCAGTTCATCCAGCTCCTTTTCGCCGCCAGGAGCAGGTTTCAGATGGCGATCCATATCATAGGCCACTTCCTTCTCCACGCCAAGTTCGTCCTTAAAGCGATGCACTATATTGCTGGGCAAGATATGATACACACCAACCCGTAGACCATCTTTATCCTGATCATGATCTTTTACGGGGATGTAAAAGTTCCGAGTGGCATACAGTCCAACGTTCTCGGGCTTGGAGACATCATATTCGTACTGATCTGAAAAAGGAAAGAGGCATTCGATTAATAGAAAAATTAAATATTACATTTCTTTTCCATATTCTAACGTTTTGAAAGAGTTAAAATACAAATTCATTGGCCAAAGAAATCAAATGAAACCCACAGAGTTTTCTGTATCACCCCCGAATACAGAAGGTCTCTTTTTTGAAAAAATATTAAAGGAATTTTTTAAAAACTTAAACTGTAATTACATAATATCCCAAACGTAAATTTTCACAACTCCATAATTAATAAACGAACTCATAAAATATATGTATATATCATCCCCCTTAAGAATTCGTATCTTTATTTTGTATATTCGAGGATACTTACAGAAATCGACGAATAGTCCGAACAGGTGAGTTCGAATCCCTATTTTGTTTGCTGCAAAAAATTTAAGGAAAGGATAAATATGCTTTGAGCTAAGGATATAACAAGTTTTTATTTGGATTACCTAAGTTAGTTTTTTTAATATTCTAGGATACTTACAGAATTCTGGTTCGCCATGTTGAATATGCGGCATGAAATATATAGTAAAATATATCACCACAATGACTAAACAGAATAAGTTAAAGCACCACATCAGAACAACAATTGTCTTCCATGCGGGACTCATCTGGGGGAAATTGCCTAAAATATTAGGAAATCTCATTTTCGCCATATCACCAAATAAATAAATGAGATGATTTTCTCCGGAAAAAATCTATCCCTTGTTTTCCGCTTCCTTTGAGATCAGTCTAGTGTGACCAGATGGTATATAACGGTAAGTCCTCACTAAGAACCAATCTCTTGTTATCCTTGGGTCCGAACTTTGCTAATATAAGTATAGCAGTGACGTAAACCAATTTTGAAAAATATATTTTTTCAACAAAAATTAAAAATAGTGAATAACAGTCAAAGGATTTAGGGTAAATAAAAGTATAAATTACTTTAAATACATTTAGAGAAACCCTCTATAAATCGATTTTCACTTAGAACTTGTAAGACTTTAAGGTCAGCACACCCCAAGTTGATTTCAATTTGAATCCAAATACAAATTATGATGGGGCATTTTTCACGGAGTTAGCCAGAAAACTTCGGCTGATGATGATGATGGATGTCAGTCAGCGAATAAAAGAAGTAATTTTGTGTAAAAATACCCGCTCTACCGCCTTTTCGGTTGGCCGGACGTACCGCATAAAGTTGTGGGGTGTGGGCGTGCCCCGAAGCCGTTACAACTGTTAATGACATTTACGAATGTTTGCGAGCTACCGAGACTTGGTAGCCCCATCCGTTCCCTTTTCCCCACACACATAATGCCAAAATAATGACGAAGTCTGGGGTTGCACCTCCAAAAGGACATTACACTGGAAAACAAAATATTTTCTTCAATGTGTCCTTTTTCTTAAAAGAACAAAATTAATATTTGGAGTACCTATTATACATTTAGGGTATTCAATTGCGTTGCAAACGTTGTAAAGTGTAAAAGTGTAAGGCAGTTTCAACAACAATTTCTATACAAAATGGTTTTTAAGGCCTACACATGAAAACTATTTTAAATGGAAATTGTTGTTGGAACTGCCTTACACTTTTACACCTTAAAACGTTTGCAACGCAATTGAATACCCTAAATGTTTGGATATTTTTATAATATTATTTTAAAGTTTACTTGCACATTTATATTTTTTTAATTTTGTAAATAGTGATTATATTCCATTTGAATTTTGTAACTATCTTAATATCAAAGTGACATTCATAAAAATTCAAATTTTCATATATAATAAAAAATTAATTTTCAGTGTAAAATGCCGTAGAAAAATGACGCGGAAACTGTCAAAAAAGTAAGCAAATGGTGGGTGAAAAAATCATGGATGGCGGCTAGGGAAACCTCAGCGACGACATTTGCGGTTTGCCATACAAATGACCGACCGCCGCCGACTGCCCCGCCCACTTAACGAAAATTATACAATAATGGCGTCAACATTAGCAAATTGTGCGCTTGTCGCAGTTACCATTTTGGTCATTTTCCTACACCACCACCCACACAATTTCTTCCTTCGCTCTCCTTTAATGAGCGTTTAAATTGGCGGATCCTGGCTTTTGCCTTGGTTTTTTTGATTGATTGCCCCTTGATTTCAGTTTTGTGGGAAATGCATAAATGATTTATAAAGCATGCAAATTAAATGCTTGCCCGGTAGTTGGAAGTAATGATAAAGGAAATGTAAATGTAAAGTGAAAGAAATCGCATCGGAATGCTTATAGCCGTTTTCTCGTCCGTTTGTTAAATTTAAAGTAGGGTTACAACTTTGAAATCGTCTGGGAAATCAGAGTTTTAAGCTTCTTTTAAATTTAACAGGCGGATAAGAAAACGGCCCTTAACCTTTTGTACCTGCCTAGATTATTTAATTTTATTTAAATGGCATTTGTATTTTTTTATTGTTATCTATTTTAAAACTTATTTGAAGTGTTGGCAGGATAAAGAATTAAATAGAATAAAAAGAAAAAATTTATTTTATTGCAAAAACTAAAATAAAATCACAGATTCCAAGGTGAGTAGACTTTAAGAAATAATAAATAAATATTTAAACTTATAAAACGGAGATTTTCGGATACCTATTTTATTTATAACAGAAATTCTGTCTAGGAATTGTAATAGGCATAAGTATTAGCAAAACTTAGTAAACTGGTTTGAAAGCTTAAGCAAACAAAATGGAAAAGGTGAAGAAAAGAAAAACTAGACCGTAAAATATGAACAAACATACTCGGATAGGCAAGGGGTTTAAATCACGCCTTTTGTCAGCATCAGATAACGTTTGGCATAAATTTAGTTTTAATTGACTTAATGCTTGTACTTTTATCAAATAATTAATTACAGAGCCAAGTGTGGGCAACACCCAGCCAGATGACAAGATACTTTGAGATCAGGTAACACTTTGGTTGGGTCAAGAAAAAAGGAAGTGCTCCTGTAGAGGCGGCTATCTATATATAGTTTTTTTTTCTCTTTTTTTAATAGTACAACTTACTTGGCAGTGGGCGTATACAGTCGCTGCAGTTAGTTTGTCAACCAGTTTACTGGTCGTGTTTGCTTTGCGTGGGCGTTTCTCCCCCCTTTTCCATTCAATTATCTAGTTTTCTATAAATTTTCTTGGCTGCAGCCTGCAGTGAACTCGCTGCATTTTGTTGGTTTGTAATTGCCCCATGTCAACAAGTAAGATCGATATCGCTGCCACAATTTCAGTTCTGACATTTTCGCTTTTGTCGTTTGGTCGAGCAATAAAATTGTTATTGATTGTAATTAGGTTTGTAATGGGGTTATTTATGTGTGTCAGCCGTTGTTTATGTAGTGCAGTGTAAGTGCTGACTTCGGGCAAAAGTCGTGATTGATTGATGGCCAGTAAGTAATTGGTTGAAAATTGAAAACAACTTTTAGCTGCAATTTAAATCAATTTTCGCTGGGCCTGTGAACTGCAGGCCTATTTATAAAGCAAAAAATTTAAACAATTTAGTTAAGATCAATATTTTTAGAATATCTATTTTTTTTTTTTTAAGAGGCTTAGATCTTTTAAACTTGTATGCAAAATTTGTAGGTTAGGAATAAAAAAAAAAAAAATTTTTTTTAAAAAAAAAAAAAAAAAAAAAAAAAAAAAAAAAAAAATTTAATATTTTCAGTTAGTGGATTTAAATGGCTTCTTCCTGTACCCCATTTTTAAATAACCAAGGAGGACATAATTAATTCAAAGACTGCTCAATCCAAAGTATCACTGACCAAGACTTTTCAAACAATTTATGCAGGGACCTTGAAAAAGGCTCTTGACAAGTTCGTTGAGGCGACACAATGGGACAATGGGAAAATAAGACAGGACACGTTGAAGATTTTTTTGTTCGCCGGTTTCACATCCATCTTCATCAGTCCAAAGTTTGCATTTAAATTGGTAATTAACACAAAATGAAAGCGAAAGCGGCAAGAAAAAATGCGAAGCGAAATAAGCACAAATACAATGGCACCAAAAACAAGATGACATTGAGAAGTGAAAAGAGGGAAAGGCGGAAACAATCAACTACCCGAATGATAAGAAATGTGTGGCACAGGAAGTGAAAGAACCCGAGGGGCAGGATATCAGTTCAAAGTGCGAAATTGGTTGTCAAAGCTAGACCCAATCAAATGCACTGTTCAAACTTGTAATTTATTATGAATTTATTGAGAAAATATTTTATAACTGCACGATCTAAAAAAATATTTTTAAAGTATTTAATTTAATTTTTACATTATGTTAATTCTAACTGTGCAATTTTCATTTTATTTAAATTTAAAAAACTTAAGTTGCATATTAACATTTAGAAAAATTTAAAACTCTTTTGTTTCTTCTAACATTGACACATTATTTTTGAAAAGATACATTTACATTTACTTGAAGTTTTATAACATTACATTACATTTTTATTTTAAATCCTATTTTTGGTTGAATAAATCTGTAAAATAAAATTAGTTTAGTATAACTACGTCAAATCTCAGTGAGCGTAATAATTTCGTTGCTTTTGGTAACTGCACTGGCTTCATCTTCTTCCACTTTATCATTTCATTAAATCGCCAAAAGAAATGAAAGAAAGGAAAAACAATAAAATAGAAAATGGCTAGATAGTGGCACGTCCTTCCATTGAACGCTGCCAATTGAATGTAAATAAGAAAGTGACAGCCAAAATGGCGGGAATGAATGGGAAATTCGGAGGAGAAAATTCGGTAGGAAGAAGCTAAATCGTGTTGAGCAGGTCATTAAGGACAATCGCCGACCTGATGGCTTAGTTGACAAAAATGCGAATGAAGCCATCGGACAGGTGACAAGCAATTTATAAGCCATCAATTCTACAAAACAGAGTGGAAAAAGAAATATAGGTCCATTATTTCTGAAGAGAAAACACTGGAATTGAGATGTATTTTTAAATTCTTTGGACATTCATAAAAATTCTTTCTCTTCATAAAAACATTTTTCGGTAATTTTAAATGCCTTAATCTCCTGCCTAAAAATAATAATTAAAGTCAGCAGAAGATTTCCTTCTAAAGTAAGTTCCAAACTGAATTTTAATCAACAGGCCACAAAAACAAAAATCGAATTCGGCTCTGCAAATTAAGTTTGTATCTCCTTTTCGACAGAAAGCCAATTCCTGCATCTCCGGCAACAACAATTAGTGCAATTTCTTGGCCAGAACCAGGACGAAAAACCGAGAGCCATTACCTGCTCGACTTGGCCATAAACGTAACGTGCAAGAATGGGGATGGTGGGATGGGGATGAGTGAAAAGAATATGCCCAGGCAAAACAAACTTAATTGTCTGCACAGTTTTATTTACTCCACTGAGGGACAGGACAGGACAGGACAGGACTAACCATGTCCTTGCCACAGACAGATCCTGTAAGGGGAAGGAAGATTGCAAGATAGGTGGATGGGCCAGCGTCTGCTTGTAATTACTGTGCGACGAGTCCGAGTCCTACGAGTCCGACGAGTCCTTCGCCTGCTGCACCCACTTAACGAACATGGCCAAGACTGACCAAACAATAGGCCTCCGCTGCTGTCTCCGAACCCTGAGATGCACTGGGAGAAAAAATAAATAATATATTATTAATTAATCTTCCTTGATTCGAAATTTAAATTAAATTTGAAAATATATTTAATTATTAGCTATAAATATATCTAAGAAAATTCAAAAGAAAATATTATAATTTGGTTAAATAAAAATTGTACTATCCAATTAAATTAATTT